AGAAAATATTTTAATGACTTTTACTTTTTGTGAAGATTTGAGATTTCTTTCCAAGCATTACACAGTACTGTTGAAGAATTGCTAATCTATTTTATAGTTTTGTAAAGTTTCATGCAAAATGTATTTGAATTGACCAGATGTTTACACAGGTGTTAATTGAGCTTCCTCTATATTGCTCTACTTTCCTTATTATAGAAGTGGTGTAGATTTGATTGACATCTTAATGGATCATGATAATTATTGTCACATAAACTGCTGAGAAGAGCTTTCTTAAAAAGCTCTGAGCATCCTCCGAGCATGCTCGGAGCTTCCTCGTAAGAATAAATCTATGATCCCTAATTATATTCATCCTCTGTAAAATTAGTGGCTACAAGTCTTTTCAGAGTGTAAATTCTCCTATAATATATCTGAACAAATAATTAAAAAAAAAAATGCACCAGATTATAAATGCTTGTGTGCAATGTAAAGTTACACTCATGTCCCTACTTTTATCAGAATTTGTTGACTGGAAGCAGTAATTGACTATCATAGTCATTTAACATTTTCTGAGTTTGTTGAGTGAAGATATAAGCAAACTTCTCATGAGGCCAAAAAAAAATATATGTCTGTTTAAGGTTACATAATTTAAATCAAAGCACCAAAGGCGCTATAGGCAGTTAATTAAAAAAATCAAAGGTAAACTTGGCAGAAGTTAAGATGAATATAGTGGAAGAAGGGATGAAAATATTTTTCTCTAATTCTTCGTCAATTTATCCCTTTCTGCACCCATTGTATAAAAAAAATTTAATCAACATGTGGTTCGTTTGATCTCAGTTCTTCATTGGTTAAAATCCGATTATGACGTCGAATTTACTTGCTTTCCTCTGAATTTCCTATTGTGACGGCATGAAAAAAGGCGACCATGCCTGATGACGTCACATAGAAAGAACACATCTTTTTACAGATCATTCGAAAAGACGGAATAAGTTTGCCTGCATATTGTTTGAAAATCATTAGAGAAACAGATTCCACCACCAAATCTCATGTAATACGATATTTATCCACTCTTGACAGTTAAATTTTAAATATTTAAAACGCTCGGCGAGCCTCGCGTTTTAAATTTGAAAATTTAACTGTCTCGAGTGGATAAATATCGTATCACACTCGATGCAGTGGTAGAATCTATATATCTCAGCTATTTCTCAAGTATCAAATAATGTTTGTACCGTAATGTTTCTGCTATCCAATCCTACCACTTTCAAAAGTTATTTCCAATTTATTTTTTAAAGATTTAATGTCTGAGGTTATGCACATACACTGTCCCATGTTAGGGGAGAGTTTTGTGCCAGCTAACATGTTTAACCCGCCACATTCTGTATGTACCTGTCCATAGTGAGGACCCAGTAATTTGGTGATTGTTGATTGTTGCTGTATATCATATTTATTTTTCATAATTGTTTTGTACATAAATCAGGCTGCTTTAGTTTTATTGTTTTACATTTGTCATTTCGTGGTCGTTTATATCTTACTATGCAGTATAGGTTTTGCTAATTGTTGCAGGCTGCATGGAGGAATATTCTTTTCAGAATAATAATTTCAATTATGGTGTCCAACAGTGGTGTATGGTTTAATTCCACTATGTACTAGAGTTTGAATATGCCATATTAGCGCTTTTAGTTGGATCAGCTGGTGCCACTATGCACAATTATCAAATCATACCTGAAACTATCTGAAATGGTGTAATTTTCTTGTATACTAGTATTACAAGAAATGCTGATGTTGTTATAATGGCCTAGCAATGATGCAACATATATTTTTGAAGGCTGTACGGTTGCCTTACATCCACTTCATTTGAATTTTGGTGGATAGTTGTCTCATTGGCAATCATACCACATCTCCTTATTTTTAAAAAAATTACACATGTCTAATCTATAATAAGCTATTAACACAACGTAATGTTTTGCCTATTTGTTATTTTGATAATGCAAATGTTACACTTAAAATAGTAATACTTTAACATGTAAGTGATATTCAAATTCAATGAACCATGACTGAAGGTACAAGGCTAAACAATCTCTATGGAAATGAAAGGTGCCAATGCTTGTTCAACTGCAAACCAAATACCATTGACTTTTCATAAGTCGTTCCCTTTAAACAAACCTTAACACATATTCAATTTCTAAGTCAATGAACCATAATGAGGGGGTGGGGTTATATAATATCCATGGAAATGAAACTTTTGAATACCAATACGTTCGCATACCAAATAGCTTTGACTTAAGATTACTGGTAATTTTAAACTGACATAATCATAATAATCACAAACTCATTCATGTAAACTAAGTGAAAGTTTCAAAGTCAATAGATCATGCATATGACTGAGGAGTGAGGACCAAATATCCTCTATGGAAATGAGACGTACTAATGCTTCTACACCTACATGCCAATTATCATTGACCTACTACTATTGGTTTCCCTAATACTAACCTAATCGAAAACTAATAAATGAAATTTCAAAGTAACATAAGTTTCCAAGTAAAAAGAGCATAATTGAGGGGGCGGGGCCAAATAATCTCAATGGAAATTAGAAATGAAAAAGTTTATACAACTGCACACTAAATATCATTGACCTACCACTAGTGGTTCCCCCTAAACTGACCTAATCACAAACATATACATGTAAACTATGCAAAGTTTCAAAGTCAATAGACCATGACTAAGGGGGTGGGGCCAAATATTCTCTATGGTAATGAGATGTGCCTATGCTAACACAACTACTTACAAAATGTCATTGACCTTCCAGAAACCAGACCTTATCACAAAATCACAAACTAATACATTGTTGATTCCGCCAAAACAGCATGCCTATATATATATATATATGTCTCACTTTTTGACTCTGTCAAGGCAAGACAAAAATTGCAACAAATTTAATACAAATATTTTGTCCATCTTTTTTTAATATTCTTCATTTCTTAGATATATCAATGCTGCGTTCACACATAATTCGAATTCGATTCACATTATTAACTGATTTGAATTAGTTTAATACGCATTCGAAACGTTTAATGTCCAAAAGTAAATTCTACTTGGAATTGCAATACACGTCAAAATCGCTTTACTGTGAATGCAGGGGTTAAAATTAACATTTGGTACTGGACAGTCCAGGACCTTTGACACTCCAAACGGAAAGGTTCACAACCTAAATTCCAGGTCCTGCTTTTACTTGAAATAGTTCTTAACTCAGTAAGATACTTTAATGTGCTTTTGGTGTTTAGTTAGCTTGTTTCATTGTCAGTGTCGCTGTCGTTTAACATGTTTAATAATAAATGTAATTGTCTTATATATTAATTTATGATTTCAAATAATCTTTTTTTTTGTATTTAAGGAAGGCTGAGGGAGGCTGAGGGTATCACTGTGGGTGGGTGTGTTGTCTCAACAATTGATTATTTATTACTAATTATACCATTATATTAAACAGTTCAAATTCAAAACTGTTTAGGTGTATCATATCTAGTTGCACTATATATTATATAAACTAGTTCCTCTGTGAAAATAAAGTAAGAAACTTCCAGATTTTTATAGGCCCTTCAAAATTGAGAAGAAATTACCTCAAGGAATTGTAGTAATATGTTTAAACAATAAAAACATCTACATGTAATATCAATATTTATTAATGATAAGGAAAATACTGTCACATTTTATTGGTTTTTGACATGAAAATTTGTGAACTAAAAGTAATTTTGAGTTTCTGTATAAAATATTTCCTGCTTTTTCTTTCTTTTCAATATATCTTTGGTTTTCAATTCTAGAGTTTATATTTCATCATGATAGATGTATTTTGTCTCATGCCTGGAATTATTATATTTTTATTGTATTTGATCGGCAAACCCGGAATTACCCTTATCCGCCCCCGGAATTAGATCCGGTATTATAATTGTCCTCATTTCCGGTTTATGGCATCCATTGTTTTTCAATGTTGTTTTTGTCAGTCAGATACGATTTACTCGGATTTACACATAACATGTTGGTGATTTTCGGTATAAAGCTAGCGGTTGAACAAAATGATTATTATCAAGAAATCACCAAATTTAAAACGTCCTTGATTTACGTTTTGTCGACGAAGTTAAAATTACCGCCACCTGAGACTTCAACTCCGTGTCATATTAGTCACAGCCGTTATACAATATTCCTGCGCTTTGTGCCATTTGGCAACTGTAAACGACTTGTAATTAGAGATTTTCGGCGATGAAATAATTCATGCAATTGTTCTTTGACATCTTGGCCAAAAGCACAGGGGATAATAAACTACATAAGGATTTCTATTGAGCACTACTTCCTATGTGCAACTTCAAAACTTTTGGGTGGTTCGACGATCATTTAAGGTTTTTCTGGTCATATTTTTTGTATTCCAGAATTAAAAGTATGAAAAAAGTGTTCAATTAGTTATAAATAACATAATATTCAGCCAGATAATAACAATGGCACATATTTCAGCATTTATTGGGTAGAACACAAATCTAGGGTGCTCGCATAAAGCAGCTTAACTGCTTAAAAATAGGCTAGGTAGGTCGGTATTTCCATTTTATTTTATTTTTTGTGATATTTTGAGTCATGCCGTTTCATCTTGTCGTGGTCCGAGTTGATCCTGGGCCGATTTTACCCGTTATTTTAATGATTGGAATATTTCCCTTTATTGGTTGGGGAAAAAATGGCGGCAAAGTGTTTATTTCATCACACGAGTCGCGAATTTCCTTATAACAGCTGTCATATTCACGATTGTGAACATTGGGATGTATCAGGCAATTGATTTATATTATTGGCAACACAAACTTCATTTTTGACACGAGTTCAGTTAATTTTTCACTTTATGACGGAAATAAAATGACTTAGGGTCGGCGCTCAAAAGTAGGGTTGGTCGGGTAACCGTAAACGGACATATATTTTTGTTTGGCCTGAATTAAAAGTTTCTTTTTTGTCCATAGTTTGGTCATTTCCAGAATATTTCAAACTTCATTCACCTGTTAAAGGTTTGGTAGATTTTTCTGGTATGAAAGGCTCTTTTCTGAGAACTTCAGGAGGTCTGGCTTTAAACTGTACTTTGGGATGTAATTCTTCCTCAATCTAAGATGTAATAAAAACATTAAACATTAGTAGGCTATCATTAGAACACTCTATTTGATGTTATAACTTTTCTGAGAACTTCAGGAGGTCTGGCTTTAAACTGTACTTTGGGATGTAATTCTTCCTCAATGTGAGACGTAATAAGATCATTAAACATTAGTAAGCTATCATTTGAACACTCTATTTGATGTTATAACTTTTCTGAGAACTTCAGGAGGTCTGGCTTTAAACTGTACTTTGGGATGTAATTCTTCCTCAATGTAAGACGTAATAAGATCATTAAACATTAGTAAGCTATCATTGGAAGGGTCCTTCTTTTTCATATTTCAATCTATTTGATATTTTAACTTTTGTGAATGAGACTTTTCTGAAACATTATTATATTGCTTTAAAGAAAAAAAGAACATTATTACACTTAGACTTCAAAGTCAAAGGAGAAGGGACATTAAGGCCCTTATCGGACCCAAATAATTGTGGAAATTAAAAAATTTACCGTACATGTACTTAAATCTGTTCAAATTTTCATCAAATCTGATGTTGCTCTTCTCTTGTACAACTGAAACTTTCCAAATATATGTATCTAAATGTTTTATTCAATAGTGTTACACCTGAACCTAATACCTGTCTTTTTCTCTCTTCGCTTCTATTTAACCTGCAATCTGTGTCCAGATGAAAAGGTTCTAGTTTAGTAGCTGGTTTAACTTGTTTTGTTGGTAAATTATCAGCTGAAGGGTTTGGTAAAGGGTTAGCTCTGAACTCTCTAGCCTAAAATACATACAAGCAGATACAAGTAAATGATTAGCTCTGAACTCTCTAGCCTACAATACATAAAACATTTCTTTCTGACTATACCAAATATAAAATAAGCATCAAATATATGCTTCAAGTGGGTAAATATCCCTAATGCGCCTCAACTTGAGGAACTCAAAAGTTGTGCGTAAACAAAAAATGTCTGTGTAGTGATATGACATGTTTCTATTTTTAACAAGTGACTGAGCTTAACCATTTGTGTTGATTTGGAAAGTAGAGGACCATAGAATAAATGTGTAAAAACTATGGAGTTATTAAATGTATGCAAAACAAATAACTAAATTTACAAAGAACTTATTGTGTGAAAAAAGGTATTTTTTACCTCGAGGAGCGGCATCACGAAAGGATTTTTGGGGTGTGCTAACTTACGGAAAAATGAATCTCACTTCGTACCCCAAAAATTTAACCACATACGTGAAAAAGTCTCAGCTACGAAACGATCCATCATACATATTCAAGTTGACGATATGAGCAGAGGAATTGGGGAAAAGGCTACCATTACCGCCTACCTGAAATGAATTTAGCATCTGTGCCCAAATAGCTAAAGGAAAATACACTAGTGTCATTATTGAATATTAAGGGTTAAATGCTTTTGAAAATTTCTTTATTCTATATTCAAACTAAAACGTTTGTAGATTATCTTAACAGAAAAAAATACAAAGATTGTTGATTTATATATATTAGAAATATGCTGATAAAAATATAAAATTTTGCTCAACTAAATTTTAGTTAAATGACTCACAAGGTAGAACAATCAAAATAGAATTACTAATTTTAGAAATTCAAATTTTGTAGCTTAGCTACATGCTTCAAATCAAGTCTTTGCAAAAAACTTTTGAGACTTACAGTCCAAAACTCAATCTTTCATGAAATTTCTATCAGGCTATTGAGGCATTTCTTCAGAATTTTGTTAAGATCTTACATAGTTTTTATGCATTTTGTACACAATGTAAAAGATATGGAACAAACAATGTATATGGACCCAGAGTGGGTATTAAAGTCAACATAGTTTGTGACCTTGACCTTTAAGCTAGAGATTCACCTGACCTGAAAGTTTTACACTCAAACTAAATCTCATTAACTGCACAGGGGTACACCAGATATACACAAGACACAAATTGTTGGAGAAAGGACAGACATTCTGATCTGCTATAGATGGTATTGTCGATATAGTGTCACCCTAAAATCAATAAAGACTCGACCATGCAGTTTTTAAGGTGTTTTTCTAGACAAAAAGCAAAAATGAATATTAACCAATATCCTCTGATCACCAAACAATTGTCTTTCTTCTTACCATACACAAAGGAGAAACTTTTCATAAAGGAGGCTTCATACCTTCTTCCTACCAAGTTTAATTTTGATTGGTTGTATTCATTCAGAGAAAATAAAAAATATTATTTCAACCAGAATTAAATGGGAACAAGAACCTATTTGTGGTCATACATGTAGCTGCTATTATGTCATTAAATCCATACAAAATTGACAATATTTGTCAATACAAGTATTTAAATTTTAATTCAATACTTGGGATTCACTGACTTAGGATTTTTCTCCTATCTTCTTGAAGAAAGTGAGATATTGATATGGTAATACAATAGTATTACAAGCATAAAGCATAAAGCATATCTAATACCAATATCTGATAAACATTTGAAGCACACAAACAATTAAAAAAAAATCAGTGAAGTGTGACAAAATTTGTTCATTCAAATTATGGCAACAGTTCACATTAGTTTAAGCAAACTTGTCCTTTCTCTAGCAGGTTAAAAATCTGACATGCTTTTTGAGTGTGAATTCATCTACAAAATCATGCTTGATACCACTGTTTTGTTCTGGAACTTTTTAAATGAGAATTTTCATGCAATCATAAACAGGACTGCTTAAATTCTACCTGTCTCTCCTCCTGTAAAATCTCGGCTATTTTCTCTTCTTTTCTATGTAACTTTTCCCTGTCACGTTCTTCAAAAGTGAAAGGTTGAGGAACAGTGGTTTTGTGATTAAGCTTGGGTTGAAATGGCACACCCACATAAGGGACAGGATGACTCTTTACATGTTCTTCCTAAATTAGTATAAACAGTGAAATAATGTGAAATCAATTCTTGTTGATGTCAGAAAACTATTATAAATGTAATGTTGTCAGTTGCACAGCTTCAATTTCAAAATGACCTTTTCAAAACAGCATAATAAGATATTTATTTATCTGATTGCACAACTAATAACATTTTCATTTGTAATTAGCATGATAAGTGAATAAATCATTTAAAAAATACAAAACTGAACTGGAATGTATAGAAAATTTCAGAAGGACAGATTTTGTCAACAATTTCCAATTTGAAGAAACATAACACTCCACATATAAAATTGCAGCATGAACTTGAAGTGTTGTAACGCATTAATGTACAATCAAACATTGTCAAAAACATCAAATATATATTAACTGACAAATTTAATCTTTCAGGAATTTTGATCAACAGAATGTGTCTTGGTATTTTTTTCAACCATGACAAAATAAATTGTAGCATTTGAGACACCAGGGCATCCATTTCGAAAAAGAAATTACATAGACCACACTCCTAATAAATTTCTGAAGTTTGAATTGGAACTTTCTATACAATTAAGCAAGACAGAAGTCATTGTTCCAAAGTTTTTCACGTACATTTCCAGTGCAGTTTGTTCCTTAAAAGTCAAGTGTTATTATCTAACCATTTTTTCCTCATGAAGAAACTGTTCTGTTTTGGCTGCCTTCTCAGCCATACGAGATTTGTCCCGTTCCTCAAAACCAAAAGGTTCAGGAACGGTACTTTTATGACTCAAGGCTGGTTGGAATGGTATACCACTATGTGGAATTTTCCTTCTACTGTACGATTTGTTTGTCTGAAAATTAACTTTTGTCAATAGAAGCCACATAAGATAATACAGTACATCTGCTTGAAATTTTCATCTTTTCAAGGCAAACATCTTTATTATAAATAGTTTCCACAGTTTCAGTTTATAAGGTTGTTTTCTTCTCATCTTCTCTTATCATGTTTATTTGTTTCACTTCAAATTTGTTCCCCATTCAGATATTACTTCCACAGGAATACAATTCAAATGAATTCAGAGATCAGACCTCCCTATAATTTTGATTTTTATTTACACTTCATTAATGGTAGTAATATTTTTGTATACTAGTCTCTTTACAGCATTTAAAATCGGTTTATGTATTGATATTGGTCACCATATGTCTTATAACAGTAACTCGAGATCAGAAACTAAAGTTGAGTGTTTGTTTTGTTGTATAAACTCTTATCTTATTTACACCTTGTTATATTTCCTTTTCAAAGAATATGGAAGCAAACTTGACATTTAATGATGGAATTTGAAAAAGAATAGGCAGCATTCTGAATCAGAATTTAATAAAACCACATTTAATGGAAGGCCAACTTAGCATCTCTTATTTAGTGTAAATGTCCTGAAGACAAGGGCAGTCTTAGATACAACAGTATATCAAGAAAAGTAAATGTGCATCAAATCAGGTTTCCTTTTGTTATACATACACAAACCTGTAATTCATAACTAGGTTTTTATCATTCTTTTTCCCAAATGAGTACAAAATACTGCTTATCTGTGGGTTAGATTATTTCTGAATGAAACACATTATAGATAATGTATTTGTATATTGTGTTAAGTATTGTTTACTTCATACCTCTGGTTCCTCAGGAACTTCTATAGGCATCCTTACTCTGTGTTTTAATGCGAATGCTGGAGAATGAGGCACTGTTACTGGTTTTGCCCTCACTTCCTTTAATCCCTACAATATACAAAGAGAACTATTTATAGGTCTTTACTATACAAGAATGATTGGTCAAGACAGGGAGGTTTTATGTCGGTCATAATTTTCTGTTACATCTAATCAAATGTTATTTCTATTGAAGAGTAGTGTAATCTCAGAAAAAAAAAATTAAAAAAAATAACCACTTAGAATATTAAAACAATAACCTCTGACAGCAATGTTTTTTTTAAAAGGAAATAATATTCTATTCCTGCAAAAGTTGGTTCAAACTGAAGAGTAAATTCAGATCAGATGATGAAATCGTGAAAGGACAAACTGGCCCCTAATTTTGGATTGGCTAAAATGATTATCTAATTTTGTAGAAATGAATTATTTGTGATCAATCATTTACTAGAATCATGTTCTAATTTTGATATTTAACAACGTTCAGAAAAGATGTCAAACACCAGTAGTTTCTACCGTATATTTACAAAGACCTACCACAGGACCTTCAAGTATATCTTTAGGAACCAGTAGTTTCTACCCTATATTTACAAAGACCTACCACAGGACCTTCAAGTATATCTTTAGGAACCAGTAGTTTCTACCGTATATTTACAAAGACCTACCACAGGACCTTCAAGTATATCTTTAGGAACAGGCTGTGCATGAAATTCATATTTTTCTTCCTTTTTTTCTATGGACTTGTTTTGGTTACGTTTTAGACCTTCCAGATTAAATTCCTCCACTTGTGTTGTTGGTTTAGATGGAACTTTTTTAACCCCAGTTGCTGGGTTCTGCAATATTTTCTGGTTCACTGGATGAGCTTTGAATTGATTTCTAAAAGTAAAATAAATGATCACAATCACAATAAACAATAGTGCACACACTTAAATGTCTTGCCTTCTTTTCTTATCATGATTGAATTTATGATGAAAGTCTGTAATATGAAGATTTTACTACAAGTATCACATAAGGCCTCTGTGGTCCTGTGTTGGCCTAGAGTGCGGGAGGATGTGGGTTCGAAACCCCAGCCGGGTCAAAACAAAGACTTTGAAATTAGTATTTGTGTCTTTTATTCTAAGCATGCTGCTTTAAGGAGTAAGCGAAAAGAGTAGTCGACTTGGAGTTAGAATAATGTGTAGTAGGGGGACATGCCTTCTTGCAGACTGTTACCTTGTGAACTACATGTAGCATGTTAAATATCCAGCCAATCTTGTCTGTCTAGTACAATGCAGAATTAATATTCATATAAAATTAACATTTTCTCATCCTGAATATGCATTTAATTTGCCGCTGGACTTTAAACAGCCATCCACCACAAGTATCAGTTTAACTTAACATTATAATCCATGCAAATGAGGTCAAGGTCAGATGAACTCTGCCAGAGGAACACTTATACCTTACAATCACACCATTAACCAAATATATTTAACCTATTGCTTATTTTATATGAGAAACAGATAGTACCATGAAAATGAGGTCAAAGTCAGAGGAAACCTGCCAGACATTATTATTATATTATTATTATTATTATTAGACAGACATGTATCCCTATGTTGCAGTGGCAGGGGAGACAAAACCTTGTAAGGAAAAAGCATAATCTTTGGTTGAAACCGATTTCAATTTTTCTCTTTCCTGTGCATAAGACTGGATTAATTGATTGTTATATTACTTTTTCATTTCTTCCACTTCTTGTTCCTCTAAATCTTGTTGACTAGGTATATGTTGTGGACGTGATCTAGTACGGGATACTAGCTGTGGAGTAACTGGTACTGTCATGACTGGAGCAGAACCCTTCTTTGTCACTGGTTCTCTTCCTGCTACAAAATTTATAAAAGGCTGTTTGAAAAAACACTCATAGCACAACTTGCACATTTCAAATCAAAAATAGTTCTCAAGCTGAAAACTATATGTTATTTTCGTGTGACTTTCTTAGACTACTTTATGGAACTGTCCCCATAAAAACATAACCCACTGAATATTTGCGATTATGAAAGAAAGCTTGAATTTTTAAAAATTTGTAAGGGTTCCGCTGAATCCAGTGTCTCACCTACTTTTGCTGTTAGTCGCAGGCTCAACAAAAATGGGGAAAAAATTATTAAAAATTTTCCTCTAGATACTATCTTTTGATTGTAAGAAGCTTCTATCCAAGTTTGGTAAAAATCCAGGATGGTTTATGAATCTAATAAATATTTTAAAATCTTTAATTGCAGACTGTATGTAATGTTAACTGGAAGAAAAACGAAGTCCATTTATAAGTAATATACGGAAAAACAGTAAATAAATTTTCACACATTCTTTCTAGATACTAGTTTTTGATCATAAACAAGCTTCTGTCCAAGTTTGGTAGAAATCCAGGATGGTTTAAGAAAGTTATTAAAATTTTAAAAACTTGAAGCACAGATAGAGTGAATATAATGTTAACTGGCAGAAAAACTAAGTCCTTTTATAAGTAAAATACGGATAAACAGAATTTTTTTTTTACAAAGTTTACTTCTGGATACTATCTTATGATCATTCACAAGCTTCTGTTCAAGTTTGGTAGAAATCCAGGATAGTTTAAGAAAGTTATCAAAATTCCAAAAATTTAACCACAGAGCGAATATTTGTGGACACCGCCACCGACGACGGAATGTAGGATCGCTATGTCTTGCTTTTGCGACAAAAGTCGCAGGCTCGACAAAAATGTAATCAAAAACATAATCTTAATTTACAACTGATTTTGCACATAGACTATAAAAACAAGTAAAACTGTGAGCTACTGCTCACTGATGAACCCCCGCCAAAATATTTCGGTAAACAGGAAGTTGTTGAGTGATGAATCTGAAAACGCATCACACGGTATAGCTGACTTATATAAACCCTGAAACCAAATTTCAGAAATCCTTGTCAAGTAGTTCCTGAGAAAAATGTGACGAAAATTTACAACTTGGCTATCATGTGTAAAATAATACAAGTGTTCGGTAAACAGGCAGTTGTTGAGTGATGAATCTGAAAACGCATCACACAGTGTAACTTACTTATATAAACCCTGAAACCAAATTTCACAAATCCTTGTCAAGTAGTTCCTGAGAAAAATGCAACGAAAATATTCATGGGACGGACGGACTGACGGAAGGACAGACAGAGGTAAAACAGTATACCCCCACTTTTTTAAAGCGGGTGTATAAAAAATTCAACAACTGCAATCTTTCGTATTGTAAAGGACTGATATTTATAATTCTCAATTCATCTATGAACATACTGATATTTTCTTATTAAAGCTACTTCCTGCTGTTTTCCTTAACACAAATTTTTTTCAAAGAGTATGTTGTTAAATACCTCTTGGTTTTGACCTAAACCTGTCTGGAGTTTGTTTCTCAAAAGCCCTGAGTTTCTCGGCTGTTGAATGGTATGAATCATTTAATGTTTCTGTGGACTGACTTATTTTTCTTTTCCTACTCTCCGTTAGATTGAATGGTTTGGGACATGTGATTCCTTTAATGGACTGTGGCTGATGCGTCTGAAATAGATATAATACAAGATATAGGTAAAGGTACTGAGTGGTTAGTTACAACAGTTCAATTACAAGTATTATATGAATGAAAATAAAGAGCTGTGCCATGAGAGCATGATACGCCCATCGCTTTTCAAAGAATAAAGTTCCATAACTCCTCAATGTCATATTAGAAATTTATAAAAACCTAAAGGGAGGTTATTTTAATAGATATAAACCAGTCATCAAAGTTTCATGAAAACTGCTTAAAGCACTTTTGAGTTATTGTCCAAAAACTGGAAAATTCCCTCTTTTTCATGAATAAAATCCCATAACTCAGAACGTAAAATCTAAAATTTATTAAAATCGAAAGGGATCTTACGTCAATAGATATAAACAATTCACCAAAGTTTCACGAAAACTGCTCAAAGCATTTTTGAGTTGTTGTCTGAAAACTGGAAAATCCCCCTTCTTTAATGAATAAGACCCCATAACTTGGAAAAGTAAAATCTAAAATTTATAAAAATCGAAAGGGAGCTCACTTCAATAGATATAAACAAATCACCAAAGTTTCCTGCAAATTGGTTAAAGCATTTTTGAGTTATTGTCTGACATGTTGACAACGGACGGACAAACACCGGTATACCTTAATACGTCCATATTAAACGGGCGTAAAAAACCCATCCATAATAAGAGAGGTTCTTGCAATTGCAAAAAAGAGTAATAAATTTTTAAATTTAGACCATCTTTACGTGTAAGAGCAAATTAGGCCTTATTTATGATGGATGGATGACTGGATTGGTGATGTCGAGTTGCATATTTGACATGCATACAAAACAGGAACATGTTGATTTGATGTGAAAATGAACCACTGACACATTGAGTTGGACTTTTAAAATTGTAGTTCAAAACTTAAAACAAGTCTGCAGTCTACCAGCACACTTTGTTTATACTCCAAGCTTACCAGTTTTTGCTCTTTCTCCTACCAGTAAATAGAGCATGCTTAGCGAAAAAGCAGAAAATATGAATCTTTAAGTCTAAATTTTGTTTGGTTCATGCCAGAACAAATCTTCAAATCTAAACTTTGTTTGGTTCATCAGTCTGCACCAAAATCTTTTCTAACTACTAGTCCGAAGACCGATATTCCAATATTTTTCTTATGTGCCTTAACAAAATTTTGAAATATTACTAGTAGGAATAAAGTTTTACTAGTCTGGGGCATCAGACTAGTGGCAAATGGTGCAGACTGGTTCACGCAAGAACAAATCATAAAGTCTAAATTTTGATCGGTTAATGCAAGAAAAAATCTTTAAAGTCTAAAATTTTGTTTGGTTCATGCAAAAACAAATCTTAAGAGTCTAAATTTTGTTTGGTTCATGCAAGAACAAATCTTAGTCTAAATTTCTAAATTTTGTTTGGTTCATGCAAAAACAAATCTTAAAAGTCTAAACTTTGTTTGGTTCATGCAAGAACAAATCTTAAAGTCTAAATTTTGTTTAGTTCATGCAAAAAACAAATCTTGTTTAAATTTTGTTTGGTTCATGCAAGAACAAATCTTAAAGTCTTAATTTTATTTGGTTCATGCAAGAACAAATCTTAAAGTCTAAATTTTGTTTGGTTCATGCAAGAACTAGTGTTGGATAATTGGTTGAAATTACCAACCGATTATCTATTACTATCAGTTGACAGCAACCAACCGACTATCGATTATAATCGCATCATTATACCTTGCTCTTTTTGTATATGAAATCATGCATTCAGCCACATTGTACATGTCTATTCTGATGCATATATTCCATATCATTGCCGAGTCTTAAATGTTCATGTTTGATCTTTAGTTTCCTTTTCATATTTTATTAAGCAATTAAAACAGTGAATCAATTAGAATATAGATTCAGATTAAACATATTTTGTCTGATGATTACAACTTTTATTACCAACAATGACACTAAAATTTCTAAATTTCAATGGTATCACTCACATTATAATTTCAAATACATAGCTTCATCAAAATTTGAATGCTTCTCATTAAAAAAAGAATATATATATATATATAAAGTATTTAACTTTGAGCAATTTAAAATTAATCAATAAATAAAACAATGCATTTGCATTGAAATATATACATTTAACTAAGGGGATCCAACCAATGTCTGTTAATTCATGTGGAATGCGTATTTTTCACTTTTGTGATCTTTATTCTTATGTCAGCTGTGTCATTCTTATAATTGTAAGAATACGAAATTCTTTCATAGTTGGTCCGTATTTGATCCGTGATTCGTATATGTTTCAATGGCGGACAAAAATTTACAAAAATTAACGATGTTTGACAAGCAATTTGAAAAGGAATATGACGTTTTAAAAGCAACAAATGGATAAAACATTAATAAAAGGCAATTTGCACCACGTTCTGATGTAGCAACAAATTTATTTTATCGAAAATCAGAATGATTTGAAGTTCGCTTTTGAGTAACAAGTACCGGAAGTGAAAGAAATTATTTCACAAAAAGTTATTTATTTCAAAAAACATATTACCAATCTGCAAAGTCAATGCTTTTACCACGTTTGTACAGAAAGAAATTGCTTATGTCTTTGATTATAGGATGTTTGACATTGTTATGGTCATCTACTGATATTTTTCTTTACAATTTGTTTGACTGCGCATGTAAAATGCAAACCAGAAACGGACCGGAAGTTAATATGCTAAAAGTCCGGAAACTATAACGACAATCGATTGAACAATTTTCCAATCAATTATCGACATGGCCAAGCCCAACCAACTGATTTCTGACTTATTTCGATCATCGAAACAACATTAGCAAGAACAAATCTTAAAGTCTAAATTTTGTTTGGTTCATGAAAGAAAACATTCCAACCTGATCAAATTGACAGATTACTTCTGGTATTTTAGCAATATATTTGATCGTAGTGATGTTGTTATCTCTGGTTTGTATGCAAATTTTATTTCACATCGTTTTAAGTTACATTTTAAGAAAACTAAAAATAAAATAATAATTATTTGAAACTTGTCATGCATTTTTCTGTCACAAACTTAAAAGTATCCACTACGGCTAAAAATGCAATAAATTCTTAACAGAATGCAAATAATTAACTAAAAGCATAACATGTGTATTTATTTACAAACCCAACATATAGAAAATGGTGAACTTCCGGTAGGGGCTTGTATAATACCGGAATCGGTGAACACACAATTTTTTTCCAGATTTTGACAACCCCCCAAAAAAATTAAAAATTAAAAAAATAAAATCCGGACCTACAGACCGTATTTTTTCAGGATGTAACTGGAACCACACATATATTTTTATTGGCCTAAGATATTGAACAAACTAACTTAATTCTAATCTTCGTAACCCTTAATACAGAAATTGAAAAAGAACACACTAATATAATGTAAATTCAGAAATTATTGCATGCATTTATTGCGATTTTTGCAGAATAGACAAAAATGCGTGATTGATTATTGCGAGTTGTGCAAAAGCTGCACACAGATATATCTGTCGGATATCAGAATGTGAGTTCTTATTAATGCGATTCTCACCAAGTCACATTATTCGCAATAACTTCTGAATTTACAGTACTCTATTTTAATGTTATATTGTTAAGATGTGGATTGTGTGTATTACAGACATGTGAACAACTAGACATGGTGATTTTGAAAACAGGTGCTTACAGTAGGTTTATTTGATTCCGACCGGAGTGTTCTAACATAGTCAACAGGACTGGTAGACTGTATGTCAGTCTGCTGGTTCTTTAATCTGTTATCTGTTTGAAATCTAAACTCCTGTGGTTGTGTAGGTTTGGATTTAGAATGAGCAGGGGCATAACCTGGTGCTTCCACAGCCTTCTTGTAGCTCTCTTGGTTTTGCTTCAATTGTTTAGAAAGTTTCTGTCGAAATTGTGCAATAGTTTCTAATTCTTTCTGTTCTGTGTTTTTCACCATTGCAGGTTTGATGACTGGGTTGCGTCTGTAATATAAAGGGCTAGAAATATAATAATAGAATTGTACTCAACATTTTCCATTCTTTTTTGTAAGCAGTAAAAACTACTCCTTCTATATATTATCCAATTGAGTAACTTAAAATATCAGTGATCTTAAGTTTCTGAATCCTCTGCATATAGTAACAAGAGTGCACACGCTGAAATGTCTTGCCTTCTTTACTAACCATTGATTTTATGTTGATAGTCTTAAATATAAAGCTTTACTACAAGTGACACATAAACTTAACATGATCCAAGAAAATGAGGTCAAGGTCAGTTAAACCAAACGAGAAATACATGTACACCTTACAATCATTCAATAAACCAAGCATAGTTAACCTATTGCTTATAGTTTCTAAGAAATAAGAAACAGTCTTAACCAAGAAAACTTAACATTGACCAATGAACCATGAAAATGAGGTCAAGGTCAGATGAACCATGCCAGACAGACATGTACACCTTACAATCAATGTATGCATTAAATATAGTTGACCTATTGCTTATAGTATCTAAGAAACAAACTTAACCATGAAAACTTAACATTGACCAATGAACCATGAAAATGAGGTCAAGGTCAGATGATATCTGCCAGACAGACATATACACCTTGAAATCCTTCCATACAACAAATATAGTTGATCTATTGCTTATAGTTGAAGAAAAACAGAGCGAAACACAAAAACTTAACACTGAGAAATGAATTGTGAAAATGAGAGTCAAGGTCAAATAAAACCTGCGAGATTGACATGTACATCATAAAATATTTCCATACACCAAATATAGTTGACCTATTGCATATAGTATTAGAAAAAAAGACCAAAACTAAAAAAATTAACTTTGACCACTGAACCATGAAAATGAGGTCAAGGTCAGATGACACCTACCAGTTGGACATGTACACCTTACAATCATTCCATATACTAAATAAAGTAGACCTACTGCTTATAGTATCTGATATATTGACTTGACCACGAAAACTTAACCTTGTTCACTGATCCATGAAATGAGGTTGAGGTCGAATGAAAATTTTCTGACGGGCATGAGAGGGCATGAGAACCTTGCAAGGTACGCACATACTAAATATAGTTATCCTATTACTCATAATAAGAAAGAAATAAACATTACAAAAAATGTTGACTTTTTTTCAAGTAGTCACTGAACCATGAAAATGAGGTCAAGGACAATGGACATATGACAGACGGAAACTTCATATCATAAGGCATCTATATACAAAGTATGAAGCATCCAGATCTTCTAGCTTCTAAAATATAAAGCTTTTAAGAAGTTAGCTAACGCCGCCACCGCCGGATCACTATCCCTATGTCGAGCTTTCTGCGACAAAAGTCGCAGGCTCGACAAAAATTAAAGAAATAGACATCCACTAAATTTTTTTGGAACCCAGAATACAAATGAAAATTAAATACTTCATTGCTGTGTATCATCTGAAAAAATGAGTATACTCAATCCGTTTCTGACCATTGGGAGTAAATATAACATACTTTAAGCAGGTGGGTGTGGTTGGCATGGTTAACTTCTTAAGTTCAGGTTCTTTTGTGTCCACAGATCTGCGAGGGCTGTTTGGAACAGGTATGGAAGAGACTGATCTTGTCCTCTGAGGAACTCTCTTGGCCCCAGTACTAGTATTAAGAGCTGGATTCCCTGCTTTACCTATCATAGGTCTGCCATTAGGAGCAGGTAATCTAGAGAAAGATCCTGATCGTTTGATGTTACCATTCTGATTATTGGCCACAGATCTACGTAATTTCTTTGGATCTACTTCACTCCTGTTTGATAATAGAAATTACAAAAATATCAGGCAATACTCCTAACTGAAATGAACTTCTACTTCACTCCGGTTTCATAATAGAAATTAGAAAAATATCAGGCAATACTCCTAACTGAAATGAACTTCTGCATGAAGAATGTTGAAACATATCTTGCATAGGTTTTCTTTTGACCTTTGAAGAAATGTCACAATAAACACACTTTTGATAAATTATAATTTGAACCGCATACAAATTAAACATAATTTTTTATCCAAGCTATACATTCTTTTTTGTATAAAGAAAGCTCAAACTTAAAAGTTCTGTTCAAAATGTCCTATAACAATCTAAACTGAACAAGAGTGCACACACTGATGTCTTGCCTGCTTTACTGACCATTGATTTTATGTTAAAAGTCTTTAAGATAAAGGTCTTACACAAAGTATCACAATGAATCATTTTTAAAAGATCTATGACAATGAGATCAAGGTCAGATAAATCCTGTCAGATAGACATATACACATTCCAATTTTATCATACACACAATATAGTTGATCTATTAATATTAGTAATTGAAAAACAGACCAAAACACAATAAACAGCTGTGCCATGAGCACATGATACGCTCATCACATTTTCAAAGAATAAAGTTCAATAACTTCTCAATGTCATAACAGAAATTTACGAAAAACTAAAGGGAGGTTATCTTAATAGATATAAACCAGTCACCAAAGTTTCATAAAAACTGCTCAAAGCACTTTAAAGATATTGTCTGAAAACTGGAATATCACCCCTTTTTGTCGAGCCTTCGACTTTAGTCGAAAAAGCGAGACATAGCGATCCTACATTGCGTTGGCAGCGTCCACAAATATTCACTCTGTGGTTAAAGTTTTTGAAATTTTAATAACTTTCTTAAACTGTCCCGGATTTCTACCAAACTTAAACAGAAGCTTGTTTATGATCATAAGATAGTATCCAGAAGTAAATTTTGTAAAAATAAAGTTCCTGTTTTTCCGTATTTTACTTGTAAATGGACTTAGTTTTTCTGCAGGGAAACATTACATTCACTCTGTGGTTAAAGTTTTTAAAATTTTAATAACTTTCTCAAACTATCCTGGATTTGTACCAAACTTGGACAGAAGCTTGTTTATGATCATAAGATAGTATCCAGAAGTAAATTTGTTAAAAAAAAAATATTCATTTTTCCGTATTTTACTTATAAATGGACTTAGTTTTTCTGCCCGGAAACAATACATTCACTCTGTGGTTAAAGTTTTTTAAATTTTAATTACTTTCTTAAACTATCCTGTATTTGTACCAAACTTGGACAGAAGCTTGTTTATGATCAAAAGCTAGTATCTTGAAGAAAATTTTGTTAAAATTTTACCTGTTTATCTGTATTTTACTTATAAATGGACTTAGTTTTTCTTCCAGTTAACATTAAATACAGTCTGCAGTTAAAGTTTTTAAAAAATTTAATAGATTCATAAACTATCCTGGATTTATACGAAACTTTGACAGAAGCTTCTTACAATCAAAAGATAGTACTTATCTAAAGAATACTTTTATTGATTTTATTCCTCATTTTGTTGAGCCTTCGATTAACAGCAAAAGTAGGCGAGACACTGGGTTCCGCGGAACCCTTACAATTTTTTTATGAATAAACCGTAAAAAATCTAAATTTATAAAAATCGAAAGGGACCTTACGTCAATAGATATAAACAATTCACCAAATTTTCATGAAAACTGCTTAAAGCATTTTGAGTTATAGTCTGAAAACCGGAAAATCCCCCTTTTTTTAATGAACAAAACCCCATAACTCGGAAACGTAAAATCTAAAATTTATAAAAATCGAAAGGGAGCTTACGTCAATAGATATAAACAATTCACCAAAGTTTCATGAAAACTGCTCCAAGCACTTTTGAGTTATTGTCCAGTAACTGGAAAATTCTCCTTTTTTTTAATGAATAAAACCCCTTAACTTGCAGTCAGGGGTACTACTTGTACAAGTAATCTTTATTTACTTGAAGAAGTAAATAAAATATACTTATATAAGTTATTATAATGTTTGAATAATCTCCCCTTAATTTTCTCAAAAATTTACTTGTATAAGTAAATTTTTTTTACAATCCCACAAAAATTCTCAAGTTTTGAGATGTAAAATCATGCCTTTAACAATTTTTCTCAGGTTAGCTCATAATTTTTGATAAGAGTTCAATGTTTCATCTCATTAATTCAACAAAGAAACTGATTGCGCAAAGATCTTAAGTATTTGCGCAAGGCCTTCAAAAATTGCTCCTTGGGGGCTTGTAAATGAGCAGTGTTCTGAAGATAACAGACAAATGAGATTTTCATTGTCCATGAAATTACACTTAAATGATTAGTAAAGACATCTGCAAAGGACAGACAATTCAATATTCTGTTAGAGCAAAGAAGTTCTAAGTATTCAAGAAAAGAAGATAGGATGACTTTTTTACTTGTAAAAAATAATTAGGCCAAAAAATAATTTGCCTATACAAGTAAATAAAATACACTTGTATAAATATCCTACAAATTTACTTATATAAGTATATTAATATTTACTTCTTCAAGTAAATAAAAATTACTTGTACAAGTAGTACCCCTGACTGGAAAAGTAAAACCTAAAATTTATAAAAATTGAAAGGAAGCCCATGTCAGTAGAAATAAACAATTCACCAAAGTTTCTTGCAAATTGGTTTAAGTGTTTTTGAGTTATTGTCAGAAAACTGGAAAATCCCCCTTCTTTAATGAATAAAATCCCATAACTCAGAAATGTAAAATCTAAAATTTATAAAAAACAAAAGGGAGCTCACATCAATAGATAGATTCAATTCATCAAAGTTTCATGCAAATTGGTTAAAGCATTTTTGAGTTATTGTCTGACATGTTGAAGACGGACGGACAGACAATGGTATACCATAATACGTCCCGTAAACAGGCGTATAAAAACTACAACATTGACCAATGAAACCATGAAAATGGGGTCAAGGTCAGATTATACCTGCCAGACAGACATGTACACCTTACAGTTATTCCATAACCAAATATAGCTGACCTTTTACTATTAGTATTTGAGAAACAGACCAAAACACAAACACTTAGCATTGACCTATGAACCATGAAAATGAGGTCAAGGTCATTTGATACCTGCCAAACAGACATGTCCACATTTATACAATCATTCTATACACCAAATAAAGTTGACCTATTGCTTATAGTACTTGAAAAAAACCGAACCAAAACACAAAAACGTAACATTGACCAATGAAACATGAAAATAAGGTCAAGGTCACATGAAGACGTTTCAATGAACCCATATACCAAATATAGTTATCCTTTCTCATAAGTGAGAAATTCACATGACAAAAAAAAATAATTCTTTTTCAAGCAGTCACTGACCCATGAAAAGGAGGTTAAGGACAATGGACATATGGCAGACGGAAACTTCGTCACATAAGGTATCTGCATACAAGATATGAAGCATCCAGGTCTTCTACCTTTGGAAATATAAAGCTTTATACAAAATTGAAATAGTTTACATTACCACCTCTGGATAGTAATACCTACATGTAAGTCCTGCATACTGCGACTTTGCAGGCAGGACAATAAAGTTGGATTAGGATAAGATTTCAGCCAGTGGAATGTTTAACACCAATTGCATGTGCAGCATAAGGATGATATATGGCAATTTCAAAACTAAATCATCACTTTTAAGTGCATAGAATTTTATACTTATATGATTGTAGAAATGTTTTATTTGTGTAAATCTTAATTATCTTTTTAATAAGTATGCATCTTACACGTTACAAAGAAATACACTTATCTATGATTGCTGTTTAAAATGGCTACCTTTTTTGAAAGTTTCAACACAGTTTATTACAGACCCTTTTTATATAAATATGATTAATTTGATACAATGCTATGTAACATCTGTCCTCCTTCTAGGGGTCTGTTTTGTCTCTTTACAGCTTTCTGTTCCCAAAAAGTAGTGGTCCAAAGGTTTTGACCACCAACATTTTGCAATAGAAATAATAGTAAGGACCAGCATATTTTCTTCGAAGACCACCAGTGAAAAAAGATTTTGCTAACTCTGAGGCTATGTAACAAAGACAAAAAATAACAAGGAAAATGTCATCTGAAATCTTACTTCTGTGCTCCCTCTAGAGATCTGTTCTGTCTCTTAACAGCTTTCTGTTTAGAGTCTTGTAATCCTTTCTTCAGCTGAGGAGGTGATTTTCTGTAACAAAGTGAAATCTTTCTACAAACTGTTAATCCTTCTTTATGGAAGGCATTTGCTAGATATGTATAGATTATCCTTTCGCATAATGAATGACTTAACAAAATGTTTCCAATGACTAGCCAATTGAGGAATCGTTTACACATACCAGGACATTTGTGAAGTTTTCCTTGCAATTTATCAGCCCAATATATATTTTTTTAGAAATCTACTTTTTTGAAGTTGCTTACCTTGTGTGAAAGAGTGAAATGTCAGTTTTTGATTTTCCTTTACAGAGTGCATTTCTACCTCTACTTACATTGACCTACTGACAGTTTCTCTGACATATTGTCAAAAACAATCTGGTCAATGTCATTATTTCAATCAATCAGGAACAATCTTGTTCTTGCATTAGAAAGCACCAATTGAAAAATGTTTAATAAGCAGACATTCAGTTCAGATTAGTTCACAGAAATGAATGCAACATTTAATGGCAAGTAGGAGAGTACATAATTTGCACATTGCATATTTATCACCATTATTTTGCTAATTTACAGATTGCAAACTTGTGGTAAAGTGATATGTATAAAACGAAAACCAGACTTAGTGAAGACAATTTACTATTTGAGTGTACCTTTTCCCTTCAGGCTGTTGGTCTGTTCTGGACTTTGTCCTTTTCTTCCAACCACTCAGTGTACACAAGTTTGATGGTAAGGAATCATTTAGCTTTCCTATAAATATATACATATATAAACAATGATATTAGATAGAAAACAGGTAAATCATATTGTAAAGCTGTTTATGAGACGGATAACCACAAAAGATATCCATATATATCAACAAAAGGTAAACATTTTAAAAAGATTCCTTTAAAGCAATGATGAAAATCGTCATAGAAGAAGTTCTCCTGGTGACAAAAATTGTTTACCATTTATCTCATATAGAGTGCTTTGATTTCTTTTTTTAAATCTTACATGCTGATGGTAGATCTGTGAGAGATTAATAGATAACCTGCAAACCTTTGCTTGTTGGAAACACTGTCAGGTAGTTTAAACACGCTGTATTGGTCTCTGGTGGATTGTCAATGAGTCTCATTCTAACCCACACATGCCTAAACTGCCCTGGTGTCTTGGTAAATGCATGTGTAGGTTTTTGGATCATATAGTGCAGTGTTTATACATACAATGAAAATCTGCAGTCTTGGAATAATAATGCACTGGAACAACACTCACCTGTTTTTTGTTTTTCTGTTTGATCTTTACTCTCTTCTGAAAATATACAGAATACATGCATTTTATAAATGCAACATGAAGCACATATTATTTTATTGTGGCCGATTTTTATTATTTGAATACATATAAAAAAAAAAAGCATACCTCTATAATCATACTTCTGTTAGTTGAGGGTGTTAAGGTCAATCTTAGTGGTAAATAATAAAATTACCACAAGAAAGAAGTATATCCCCAAGACAAATTAGAAGGTGATATATTTTGTGAGTGTGTTAATCTACAATTGCCTTATAACACATAAAACTAATGATGTATTACAATTTTACTGAATGCTGATGGTTCAAAAATTTTTGGTATTGAACTGCAAGCAGTGATTTTGCTAGCACTCGTCATTTTCGTCATTTACGAAACAGTTTTCAAAATGACGAAAGTATTCCAAATCAATTTTGTCACTTAAATTTGGAAGGAGTAAAAATATTTTCGAATGAAAATACTATAATTCTACCTGTCTTATCGTTTCTGACAAGTTTATGACCCTCAGCTAATTAACATTTACAACAGGTGTTATAAGTTGTGATTATAGATAATCCACTTATCGCCATCGGATGGGTCACTAATCCGTTAATTATTTATCAATCTCATAATTATTTTCCGCAGTAAAATCAGTCAGTCTGCATTTCAATTTCAATATTTATCAAACGAGCACAATTTGCAGTTCGTTTGTCGTAGTTTCGTCATTTGAGTTTTCCCTCGGACAGTTCGCATTTTCGAAAGTATTCTTATGAATTTAAAGACACTAAAACGTAAAATACGAAATAATTAAGTATCAAACTAAAGGAGAGAGACAAATATAGTTCTTATTTAGCAAATTTTAAAGTATGCCTAAGTCTTTCAAAGTCTAACAAAGATGTATAGATAGTAATATACATCCTAGGTCCCTTGCTGCTACCCAAAATAAGGTTGATTTTCATCCCGTGCAAAAGTGACTAAAGCCTCCAAAATCCTAGCTTAAACCCTGACTACAAGTTGTTGAGCATATTTATTATGTGTACAGTACAAATTTCGCGAAAGGCTTCCCAAACTCCGAACACCAAGTTTTTTCTTGGTGTGACACCAGGAAGCTCCGACATCCCGAAAGTATTCTTATGAATTTAAAGACACTAAAACGTAAAATACGAAATAATTAAGTATCAAACTAAAGGAGAGAGACAAATATAGTTCTTATTTAGCAAATTTTAAAGTATGCCTAAGTCCTTCAAAGTTTAACAAAGATGTATAGATAGTAATATACATCCTAGGTCCCTTTGCTGCTACCCAAAATAAGGTTGATTTTCATCCCGTGCAAAAGTGACTAAAGCCTCCAAAATCCTAGCTTAAACCTTGACTACAAGTTGTTGAGCATATTTATTATGTGTACAGTACAAATTTCGCGAAAGGCTTCCCAAACTCTGAACACCAAGTTTTTTCTTGGTGTGACACCAGGAAACTCCGACATCCCGAAAGTATTCTTATGAATTTAAAGACACTAAAACGTAAAATACGAAATAATTAAGTATCAAACTAAAGGAGAGAGACAAATATAGTTCTTATTTAGCAAATTTTAAAGTATGCCTAAGTCCTTCAAAGTCTAACAAAGATGTATAGATAGTAATATACATCCTAGGTCCCTTGCTGCTACCCAAAATAAGGTTGATTTTCATCCCATGCAAAAGTGACTAAAGCCTCCAAAATCCTAGCTTAAACCCTGACTACAAGTTGTTGAGCATATTTATTATGTGTACAGTACAAATTTCGCGAAAGGCTTCCCAAACTCCCAACACCAAGTTTTCTCTTGGTGTGACACCAGGAAACTCCGACATCCCTCCCTAAATTCTCGGAGAAATTTGAGAGTATTCCCTCAGACTTCCGCGTAAATTCGCTACCTTTTGTTTATTGTATTAGCGACATCTCTCCCAGTCCAGTGTAACGCGGTGTCACACCAGGTAATTAATTGCCCTAATCCTTCCGATCTATACCGGCACGCGACAGTCAAGGTATGTGAGATTACTTATGTAATTAAACAATTGTATTTCCTGTCTATAGATAATCAGGTTATATTTCGGATTGCTTGAAACAAATAAAAGATTTAAAAGCAAAACGTTGTTGTTAATTCTTTCAATTACACTGTACATTTAAAAATAGTTTTATTAAAACAAGAGTGCACACACTGAAATGTCTCGCCTTCTTTACTAACCATTGATTTTATGTTGATAGTCCTAAATATAAAGCTTTACTACAAGTAACACATAAACTTAACATGATCCAAGAAAATGAGGTCAAGGTCAGATAAACCAAACGAGAAATACATGTACACCTTACAATCATTCAATAAACCAAACATAGTTGACCTATTGCTTATAGTTTCTAAGAAACAATCTTAACCAAGAAAACTAAATATTGACCAATGAACCATGAAAATGAGGTCAAGGTCAGATGAAACCTGCCAGACAGACATATACACCTTACAATCCTTCCATACAACAAATATAGTTGATCTATTGCTTATAGTTGAAGAAAAACAGACCAAAACACAAAAACTAAACACTGAGAAATGAACCGTGGAAATGAGGTCAAGGTCAAATAAAACCAGCGAGACTGACATGTCCATCATAAAATATTTCCATACACCAAATATAGTTGACCTATTGCATATAGAATTAGAAAAAAAGACAAAAACTCAAAAACTTAACTTTGACCACTGAACCATGAAAATGAGGTCAAGGTCAGATGACATCCACCAGTTGGACATGTACACCTTACAATCATTCCATATACCAAATATAGTAGCCCTACTGCTTATAGTATCTGATATATGGACTTGACCACGAAAACTTTACCTTGTTCACTGATCCATGAAATGAGAGTCAAGGTCAAATGAAAACTGTCTGACGGGCATGAGGACCTTGCAAGGTACGCACATACTAAATATAGTTGACCTATTGCATATAGTATTAGAAAAAAAGACCAAAACTTAAAAACTTAACTTTGACCACTGAACCATGAAAATGAGGTCAAGGTCAGATGACACCTGCCAGTTGGACATGTACACCTTTCAATCATTCCATATACCAAATATAGTAGACCTACTGCTTATAGTATCTGATATATGGACTTGACCACGAAAACTTAACCTTGTTCACTGATCCATGATATGAGGTCGAGGTCAAATGAAAATTGTCTGACGGGCATGAGGACCTTGCAAGGTATGCACATACTAAATATAGTTATCCTATTACTCATAATAAGAAAGAAATTAACATTACAAAAAATTATGACTTTTTTTTCAAGTAGTCACTGAACCATGAAAATGAGGTCAAGGACAATGGACATATGACAGACGGAAACTTCGTAACATAAGGCATCTATATACAAAGTATGAAGCATCCAGGTCTTCTAGCTTCTAAAATATAAAGCTTTTAAGAAGTTAGCTAACGCCGCCGCCGGATCACTATCCCTATGTCGAGCTTTCTGCGACAAAAGTCGCAGGCTCGACAAAAAATCTATATTTGATTTTTACCTCGTTTTTTTTCTGGTCAGTAAATTAATATTTAATTTACAAAAGAGATATACTTGTGTAAAAATAAACGGAGACTTACGCTGAATAAATGTGGGCAGTTTAAAGGAAAATTACATGTCTCAAAGTTTTGTATACAAGAAAAAAAAAGAAAATATTATTCACCATTCGTTATGCTTAATAAGTCTACGGCATTTTCTCTTTACGATTTGTTGGCATCACTTTAGGATAAATAATTACATTTCGGCTACAACAGGAATACTTCTATAGCTGCATCAACTCGTCGTTGCATAATATTCATTTATGCACAATGAATGTAAACTTGTGTGTTGTATAAAGGACAGTGATTTTTAAATTTTTTAAAAGAAATTAATTGCCGTGGGAAGACGATACACATCTCAGTGATCAACAGTCCGTGGTTGAACTTTGAACTTGACTTTGCTCACAATATTGAATGCTAAAAATAGTGACATCAATTTTGTCCACGAGATTTTTATTTGGCGGGAAATATTATCACGTAACAGTAAACTCAGGTGACCTTTCTGGATGACCGTGGGAAAATTCATTCGGGGTTTAAATTTGCTTTGGAATGATTGACATTTGTATGCCTTAAGATTGAGGCTCTAGAAGGTCCTTTTATAATTGATTAACCGGAATCTAAAATATAATCCTTTTCTGAATAAACAGACACCAGCCTTTAAATTTTACGTTTCTCAGTCAACACAGGACATAAACCTGGACATTATTAAAACGTCCATGAACAACAATATACATAAATGGTAGATGAAAACAGGATGCATGTCGTTCAGTTCCTGTTGAGCGTTGTTAGAGATCCTCTGTGAAAATGTGTAGATCGTAAAAATCCGATCCACATTTTTTTCACATATTTCTTTCTTGTAGAACACGATATAATTTCATTTAAATATTCTATAGTATTAATTGTTGAAATACTTCATTTTTTTTATTTCGCCAAGGACTTTTAACGAGCAGTAAAATATGGATTGCGCCCATCCAATTTTATTTTAAATAATAAAGGGTCAATAACAGATCATAACAGAGATAAACAACACATGATTTTTTTTTCTTCATATAATTAAATTAGGTTGTGATTATTGTGTTGTGTCTGGGCGGGGAATGTCTCTCAGTGTTGTGTTTTTATGAATATAGGGCACATTGCATACAAAACGTTTTCCCTTCGTTCAACAGAGTTGTCACTTTACAGTTTCTTTTCTGAGTTCAAATATTTCAAGTCGGTAATCTACCGAGGTAGTGAAACATAATATTTTACATTGCAAAATAAATTGAAAGTAACAGAGTTCACTTGTTGATCCGATAAATTAACTCTTGGGTTTAGATTGGACAAATTACCGTAAAAACATCATTTTGTTTTAAGCCAGTTGATATTTATATATTGCACAATTAATGAACCGGATATTGCTCACTGAGTAGGTCATAAAAGATTCTTATTGTAGTAAAATCGTCTTTGTTGAAAAAACAAAAATTATGACCTGACCGGACTATAAAAAAATACAAAATAAGTGTTTTATTCGTATTTTTATACGTTTGTACGTTTAATTTCAAATGACAATGACATGGGGCAAATACATACATTAGAATTTCGCGATTACAAACTCTCTGTGCGTACTGTATATTGAGTATCATTTTTATTACTATTAATGTCACTTTTCTTGGTTAGACTCTTAAAAACAAATACATCACTTGCATATTCCAGTGATTAATGTCAATGTAAAAGACACCTTTTATGGCACAATATATGTAAGTATTGACTTAATAATTTGAAGAAAAATTATACTTTTACTACCTGTCTTCAATGTACCCATACCTGACATGGTAGAGTGGGATTATGGGAAACATACTTTATTTTGGGCTTAACATAGTAATAAACGTCATTGATGAACATACTGAAAGTTTCTCACTTCTCACAGCAAACTTATATCTAATATTACCTGAGGCCTCAGGTAGGCCTTTCTCATTTACAGGAGTGTGACACATGGATCTAGTTAGACGTCTAGACTCTTGCTTCGGTGTACCCTCAAGTTTTTCAATCTCTTTTTCAGCATCCTCAATGACATCCACTCCATTACAAATGTCTTCATCTTCTTTCTCATTTTCATGATCAACATCTGAAATAAAAATAATTTACTATAACGAATTTATGAATGTGCCAAAATTACAAGTGTTTCACATAACATGTTGAAAAAAATTAGGGTCAGTAGGAAAGCAAATAATTTCCTTTTTTTCAAAAATGCATTAAATCATGGACAGGGATTGAAGTAAAAAATTTGGCATGGTAGCCAACAGCTTAAATTTTGGTAGCCAGTATATATAGTTCTATACAAGAAAAACAGAAATTCTAGTAACCCACACCAGGGGACTTTCTACACTAACGGGACTGGTCACTTATGACAATGTCTATACAATTTTGCAGACAGAACTGTGCCGTCGCTGATGTCACGTGACTTCATAGCAAATCATTTCACATTCACAAAGTGTTCTTCATAACTATATGTTCAAGTTAAATGAAGTAACATTTTTATGAAGTTTTATACATTTTGTCATTGCAAAATGCTGTTTTTGAAAAGATTTCACGGATAGTTTTTTAAATATAGATCTTTGAATTTTGAGGTATTTTGTTAGTAGATTTCGAGTGGCCGCCATCTTGTTCGATATGTAACCCCCTTTAAATGACTGCAGTGTTCTTCAAAAGGATATGTCTCAGTTTAATAATTTAACATTCTTTTAAAATCTTATATTTTTTGTCATGGTAAATGGCTATTAATCAGATTTTATACATTTCAAGTCATTTGTATTAACAATTAATAAATTACAATGTACTTTGAAATACGCAAATAACTACTAGCTTCGTATATCAGAGATACAACAATGTACGAAACTAAGTGTATTGTTGGGTGATAGCTTTACACAGGAGGCTTAGTTATTAATTAAAATCAATAGAGACAAGTCCCGTTAGTATAGAAAGTCCCTGCCCACACCAAATTTTAAGAGGCCATTGGCATTGACGAGTGGGCCTCTGCTGGTCCAAATAATTGTGACGTCTTGAAAGGCTATTTTAATTTTTCTGTGACGCCTTCCTCACAGAAAAAAATTAAAATAGCCTTTCAAGGCATCATAATAACTTGGACTAGGCCCCTGCTAATTTCAAACCCTGCTGTACGTCAAAGGATAAAAATTGATCACAAGTTATACTGAAAAGTTCATGACCAACAGACTAACGAGTATTTTTTCTCATTATATAAAAATAGGAAGATTTAGTATGATTGTCAATGAGACAATACACCTTATCGCTATTTGTCCGCCATTACTGGATATCAAAAAGGTTCCTGTAAAATTTTGACGCCACAATGAAGAATTGATTGTTGTATGACGTCAATAGTTCAAGCGGGACAGATTTTGGGGTCAACTGGCACAGATTTCCAAATGGTGATAAGGTGTATCTCTTCTGGAGACCAAATGACATAGAAGTCATAAGATTTTTGTGAAATGAGTAGCTGAGCTAGTGAGGTTTGACAGAATATTTCTTATATCTGATCTTGTCAAAATATGGCCTGTGGGAAGATTAATTCTTGTAACTTTCTGCTTATACACTTTACACATAAAGAATGTCATGAATGTTTTATGGCACATCATTTCTGTAAAAAGTCACTATTCGGACAGGTGCATTGTGTTTGTGTGCTTATTTGTTTACCAAACCAACGGTCTACGTCTTCATCGTCACATGCAGTTGAGAAATCAACAAACTGAGGTGCGTTAAATTCCCAACTACTATCCATATTTTTAGGATCCTCCATTCCTATTTTGATTTTCCCTTCAACATTCAATCTACCCGCACTTTCAATTTTGACCAATCAAAATCATCCTAAAAAAAAAGGTGTTGCAATAAGAAAGAGTGTCTTTGATTGGTCAATTATTTTACAATTTAGGCTGGTTTTCCCCTTACAATATACCGGTTTTAGAGCCAAACAGATATATGACAGGAAACCAGTCTAGTTTACAATTAAACTTCAAATGAAATAATTATATAATTCAAAGAAAATAAATAAGGAATTAATATTTCTATCAAAATGATTTAAAAACGTGTTTCCCTTTTCAAATATAAATAGATTGCAATTATGTTTCCGGACTCCCTGTTCAAGGCGAAGGTCATTAAGTAGAAAGTATCAAACTGAAAGTAGGTGATTTGTTCAGAATTATAAGTGTTTTTCATTACCCTTTGGACAAAGTGGTATAATGAGTTTTTAAATTCTTGATTATTAACCCCCTGAATTTTCTATAAATGACAATTAAGTAAGTTATACTGTTGTTGTTCAGTTTAAATGACATCAACGGTTTGTATTATACAACTTGGTCAAAGCTCCTGAAGAAAATTCTAGAATGTGATTTGTAATACACCTTATCGCTATTTGTCCGCCATTACTGGACATCACAAAAGTTCCCGTAAAATTATGACGTCATACTAGAAAATATCTGACACCACAATGGAAAAGTGATTGTGTATGACGTCAAAAGTTCAAGCGGGACAGATTCTCGTGTCAAGTGGGACAGATTTCCAAATAGCAACAAGGTGTATAGACCTTATTGCTTTTTGTCTACCATAACAAGACATCACTGCCGTTCCCTTTAAATTTTGATGTTACAAGAAAAAATGTCTTACACCACAAAGGAAATCTTGTATACATTAATAATAGTTTCAAGTGTTGCTTATTCTTGGGTCAAGTGTCGTAGGTTCCAAAAAAGTGATAAGGTCCATGGGACATTAAAATACAGTAAGCGTTATTTAGAGTTGGTACTTATTTATAGAAGATAAGATAGGATAAGAAAACTTTATCGGTCGTCCCACTATCTGTATCACTCTGCTCAGCTCTAAATAGAATTGCATAACACAGCTGTGTGACATCCAATACGTTGACCCGGCCTTAAAAACTTTGACCTGGACATATTACTGAAGTCACAATGAATGAACCAACGTTGATAAGTTTTACCTGTACTTATCATGCTTAATTATCAAGTCATCTTCCGGTTTGTTAATGAAACAAAGAAAACACTTGTTTCTATCATACAAAATATGCAAATACAACCTGATAATTGGTTTTTATTTTAATTATAAGAAAGAACAAAAAACACCTATTCCCTGTAAATTACATACACTATGTTATAACAATACCAGTTTTTGTGGGTCAAGTAGGTATATTTCAAAATTAATATGATTAAAGCAAAACATCTTAATACATCAAACATTTTGGAAGATGAGTTTATTCAATTTATATTTATAATATGTCTTACATCAAAACCAAATAGCATGTTTTCCTATTCAATAGTGTGACAGTATTTATTGATTTTTACTTGTTGCTCCCCCCTTTACAGAAATTTTGGGTGCTAAATTTTATAGTTCACATATTGATATTACTTTTTGTTGACATTTTAGAAAATTGTCAAGACTTGCTCTTGAACCCTCTTCATGTATGTCTATGCTTATTCTGTCAACAGAGGGAGGTTCAAATGGGAATCTTTCTAAAAAAATTTACATGCCATGATCGTCAATATATTTGTACAAGGATTTGTATAGTATACAATACAAATCCTTGATATGTAGTTGATTTACTGAAACAATAACATAACAAATAAGACTTTCAAAAACGCTGTGCATGTGTATTCTCTGTTCAATTATTTTTTGAAATTGCTATAAAAAATCAACAAATTTAACAGTTTTCTGCAATTATTGACACACATTATTGTTTTTTCATAGTTTTCATGGTTTTAATTAACTTTTTTGGTGTTTGGCCGTGTATTGTGGTGTTCAGTGGTGATCAGTGGTTTTCGGCAGTGAAAAGACCGACCCGCTAAACCAAAAACATGCATGAGAAGTTCAATTTGCGAGTGTTAAAATGACTGTATGAGTTTACAGTAACTTACTTTTCATAATTTACATTATTGCTATTATAAAATACACCACTTTAATAGGCATTAAAATTATACAGCCTCTTCTCAAAGCCAGAATCACAAAACCAATTCTGTTATGCATTATGGCATTGTAAAATTCAAATTATTTCTGGTATTAAGTGACACATTTAAAAGTCATGACTTAAATAACTGGAAAAAAAAAAACTGCAAAAATTTCATTTCGAATAACATTCTATATTGTTATAGTTATTGTTATTTTCACATTCGTTCCTCAACCAAACATAAGTATTTAATCCTTAAACCACATTAATGCTTAGGCTGATACATAAAACAAAAACATCATATCATTATGGGATCAGCTCGCCAATTGTGCAGCTAACTTTATTAAATTAAACAAAAAATATAAAGAAAAAGTCAATCGCATATAACATCTGCACAGGCCGCTGCCATGTTGAAATATCTACTAAATCAAAACAGAAACAGTCAGTATACAAATAAGTGAAAAAATATATATACATTCTCCATATAAATAGTTATGGGTGGGAGGGCAGGTTAGCTGCACTGAAAACTTAGCTTCCTTTGATTATAAATTGTAGTTTGATGAAAAAAGAAATCTATTCCCACGTTTTGAAATAAGTGCAACATAAATTTCAACTTTGAAATCTAAATTTAACTTAATTAAGTTAACGGTCCAATTGTGACCAATAGTCAATGATTTTTTAAAATGAATAAGCAAATACATGTGAATGTACACATGATAAGGTAATATAGGCACATGTATTAGATAAGAGGAATGAATACATTCATTCTGTCATAAAATTTTATTTTTTTCACCAGACACAAAATGGTGCATATAAGTGGCATTTCAGACTTAAATAGAAGACCTATTCAGACAAAAAAGCAATTTTTCAGACAGACGGCATTGACGGTTACAAGCAGTGTTTTCCGCTCATACTTCCAAGAGCATCCTGGTAAACAGGGAGTTTTGGAATAGCATCTTTTTTCTACAAATAATAGCATCACATCCATAACACAGTCTATAAGAAAATCAATATTACCATGAGGCATGATGCTAAAAGGTTTCGGGAAGAACACTGTTACTAGTTTCTCAAAAAAAAGTCTTAATTCCCACTGTCACATAATTATACATCTAAATTGAACAAATATTAGTAGTTAAAACTAATTTTGATCTTTCATATAAAAGATAACCCCTTTTTTTTGTCCCGAAAGTTAATAAACACAAAGGTTTTAACTACCAATTCTTACATTGGTGTAGAATTTCAAAAATTTCTGATCTTAGATCACTTGCAACATAAATGGACTACAGACGGAGGACAGAAAACTAGTATTCCTATCTTTTGAAGCTGGTTAAAAACAAAACCAACTAATCAAGTTAATCTGTAAGTTACTGCTTACATATGATACTGCTACTATAAGTTACTGCTCACATATGATACCACTACTATAAGTTACTGCTCACATGGAGCGAATGGATAAATTTAAATCATTGTTTACGTTGCAGTTTACTTTGCGGTCCCTGTTAAATAAAGACAACAGTAGTATACCGCTGTTCAAAAGTCATAAATCGATTGAGAGAAAACAAATCCGTGTTACAAACTAAAACCGAGGGAAACACATCAACTATAAGAGGAAAACAAACGAAATAACAGAGCACAGAAGTGCAACAAAAACCAACAACAATGCAACATTCATAGAAACGAACTATTAGATAACAACTGCCATATTCCTGACTTGGTACAGGACATTTTAAGAAAAAATGGTGGGTTGAACCTGGTTTTGTGGCTAGCCAAACCTCCGCGCTTTATGGCAATGTTGAATATACCGCTAAAATGACAACATTACATGACGGGAACAGAGTACAAATAAATGCAAAAACACCAAAGACAGAGAAATACATAATAAATGATATAATAGTACATTTCGACATGCTAACCACAGAATAACAACGAATAACTAAAATAATTTTGGACAGTACACAAAAACAGCTTAATAGAATTACGAAGTGTGTGTCTGTAACAGGAATGGATCAACTCCACAAAAAGTAACGTCACAGGTAAATTTCTAAGAATTGGATATAAATCAAGATTAGGTTTCTAATTATGTTATTTGATGTATTTAACATGTTTAATAACAATTACAAGAATATTAATACAAGAATATTGATATAGAATTGTGTTAGTTATAGTGCAACTAACTATGTCGGCCTTTCTTCCAAATCAAACTGTGCAAAACAAATAAATCCTGTGCACATAGTTGCTTTAAGCTAAAATCATACAAATGAACTAATATTGTCGATTTTATTGAAAAGTAACGAAAGTAAAATAAAGCTACATGTTTTCAAGCGTAAATTATACATTGTTGGCTAAAACATTAGTTTGTACATTCTAGGAAAATAAAACATGTATTTGTACTCGCTACGAAACAGGAGAAAGCTCGGCGAACATCGCCTTTCTCTCAATTTAAATTAAAGTTTATACAAATAAATGTAACTTATTCCGACAATGAACCAATTTTGTATTTATAATTAACCATGACGACTGTAAAGGGAGGTTTTCACATTAGTGATAGACTGTGTTTGTCCAAATATTTGATACACCTGAATTGTTAAAAATCATTTTACAGGAAATATAGTATTTATAAATTTCCTTTTAAGCAATTATTACGTAAACGATCTTCTAAATTTAGAAACAATCACTTAAGCCTACCGGTATATTATAAAGCCTGTCTCATATGTTATACCTGAGCATACTAGCTTTTGAAAAAAGACTATTTTTTAACATCCATGTACTTTAACGTTTTTAGTCCTCAAACCTTACCCTATTGGTCCATCGAACTTTAGCGTGATATACCATCGTACTTTAGCAAACAAACCATAGCACTTTGGCGTGAGACACCATCATACTTTAGCGTAGACCATCGCACTTTAGCGTGACCATCGCACTTTAGAGTCCTACATATATGTGGCCAATCCTTACAAAATCTTTGTAAGGAGACCTCTTGAAAATACAAACCTGGATTTTCCAATCGCGTGAATAACAGAAACAAGCCTGCACAATAGAAACTTCCGTTTTTGCATTCTTATTTTATCATGTAAGGCCAAAAAAAAGAGAGGATGAAATAACTAACATATAGTATGCCAAAATAGATGAAAACAATCCACTGCTGGAAACGTTAAGTGAACACAATAAACAATACGTTTCGAAATGTAATGAATCTACAAGTTGATACCAATACTTTTTTAATGACCATGCAGTAGCAGTAGACTAGTTTAATACAGTATCAATAATGTATCTCATTTTTTTTTTCATTTCTCCAAATTTTTGATGTTCAGATGAAGTGCACGCCATGGCGTGTTAGCGTATATGGAGCTACGCCCCTGATGATTGCATGTACATGTAATCATACTTTTACTCTTGTGTCATGCTGAAAGTTAGTATCATTATCAGACCCCCTTGATCACCACTGCAACAAATATGTGAGAATGAAATATACATAGATTTATTATAGTTACACATAAAATTAAATACTTGCAGATCATGGCTTTAGACTGTGTTTCTCAAAAAAATGATGTGCTGTTACTATGGTCTGGGAATCTAGAAGCTGAACATATACAAGAAACTGTAAAGAATTTGTCAGATAAGGTTACTGATGCAGGATCTGTTAAAGTGGAAAATCTAGACAGACTTCAAATCAGTAAGTTTAAACAAAGATAAAACTTTGATTTATTTTACTATAGTTAGGCATTATGATCAGGCAGTACTGTGTTTTTAGACTGAAAGATTTATTGTTAGGAAAACAGCTTGTTTTGGGTAATTAGCATCCTATTTTTAAAAACTTGTTTGAAAACTTGAAAACAGACATGTCAGCAAGGGTCTGCTTGCTCATTTTTGTGTGATAAATACTTGTGTAAACAAAACAATACTTGTTCACATGTTATCGATTTTCATAAATTTGGACACCAGGAACTAATTCAGTATGGGTTCTGTATAAATAGAGAGTTTCTTTATTAAATCTGAGTACTATTAACAAAAACTTTCTTTCTTGAGAATGCAAGACGGGGATGTCTAAATCTGGTTGCATACACTATTTGTATAAATCTTTATATATTAGGGGGTAGAAGACCTGGATGCTTCATACCTTGTACAGTCTGTCATATGCCCATTATTCTTGAACTCATTTTCATGGTTTAGTATCTGCTTAAAAAAAGATTTTTGTCATGTGAATTTTTCACTTATTATGTGTAATAGGATAACTATATATGGTACATATGATCCTTGCAAGATCTATTGTCCATTAGACGGGATTCACTTGACCTCATTACACGGATCAGTGATCAAGGTTAAGTTTTCATTGTCAAGTCTGTATTTCAAGTACTATAAGCATAAGGTCAGCTATATTTGGTGTATGAAAGATATATAGTATACATGTCTGTCTATCAGGTTTGTCTTACCTCGAAATGTAAATGTGAAGGTGCTTGCCATCAGCGCTGATTTTCGAACTCACCCAAGACATTGCAGATATAAACCTTTGATATACATGTCATTATAATTCTACAAGAAATGTAGGTGTGACAGTGCTTACAATGCAATTTTATATATAATTAATATTTCCAAGGGGCATAACTCTTTGAAAAAAGTTGACTGGACACATGCATAGATGGACAGAGGGATAAACGTATGGAAGCCAAGAATTTCTATGTCCCTCGCAACGCATTGCACAAAGGACAAAAGTTATTGATATCAGTTAGGGCAATCAAGACTTATTGTACAACCTAGAAGTGAAGATTGACAGATAGACAGAGGGATAGATATTCTTAGTGATTACTGTAGGGCACCACAGACAATTTGTCAGGACCCTAATTAGTTTAATGACAAATACCAAAATGATGAGAATCCAGGTACAAAACAAATGAAGAAAAGACAGCCAACAAATTTGTTATTCCTGGCTTTTGTCAGGGACAATTAATATGCTGTATGACCTAGTGCATGTATATATTATATTTTTTTTTAAGAAAGTGGAATATATTTATTCCAAGTAAAAGTTAATAGTTGCTTGTAGTTAGAATTCAATTATTGACATTTTATCTAGATTTAAATATTATTCGAAATAAAACTACTGGAATGACCTGCACCAGGACCTTCACATTAAGAGTAGTAAGGAAAAAATATTCAACAGTATCTTAAATGTCATATATTTGTAAATAAATGCAATTTTACAATTGTATCTGCACGTATTTTTTGTCTTTATTATAGCATCAGATTCAAATTCAGCATTTGATGTGATTGTGTCCCGTATTTTTTCTCCACACAGTGAAGTATCTGCATTTATTTTCTTCGTTTATTATAGCGTCATATTCAAATTCAGCATTTGATGTGATTGTGTCTGGTATTGTTCCTCCCTACAGTACAAAGCACAGTATAGATCAGCTGGGTGAAGTATGTCGCCTACTTAGACCTGGAGGTACTCTTGTTATACAGCAGGCTGTGGATAATGGGTCCAATGGAGGAACACCAGAGGCTGAGAAAATGGTGTCTTTGTTAAAATTATCTGGATTTGTTCAAGTGGAGCAGGTATCTTAACTTTTTTTCTTTACTGTTTATCATTATTAGAAATTTGCATTTGATAAATGGCATGAATCTATCAAATTTATAATACTTTATTGCCTTAAAAAGTTTTCTAGTCCTTTCTAAATTGGAACTTAAATCTTATCAATTATCTTTAAGCTATTTTTGGTGCATGTCTTTCAAAAGTAATGCTTTACTGTAAAACAATGATTGTTAGAGACTCCATCATGCAATTTGTAGAAGAGGGCAATGCTGAGCAAAGATTGATGCAACAAGATCATGTTCACATAGGAATTTATCAAGCACCTGTCAAAATCAACTGTCGACAGTATTTTACTTGATAGAGCTACATGTACATGTACATGGATATAATAATTTGGTTCTTCACAAGTGCAATTTTTATCCTCTCTTTGAGGCAGAAGAACTAAGGATAAAACCCATTCAAGTTAAGACAAAGCAATGAGGCATTGCTGAAAGTTAATATCAAAAGGCAGTCAAAGAAGAAATTCAAACTTTATCTGAGGGAATCTGAAAAATCTTATGCATCATCTTAGATTGGGGTTATATGCTCTCTTGGCGCTGTATAGCCATAAGAGCTACCACAAACCTGATTGAAAAGTTCAGTTTACATAAAAAATTCAAAGAAGAAATATGCCTCAAATAGGACTGAAAATAAAAAACCAAAAGAAATATTTAGGATTTTATCTAATATGGTCCATATGTCTCTAAAACTTTAAAAACTACATTACATTTGTTGATAAAAACCAGATAGGGATTTTTACAAATATCATGAATAATATTTATTTAATCTAGTAAAGATATTGACTGTTGAAGATGTGGTCATATAAAATGGTAAAGGTGCAATACATCTACTCCGATATGAAATGTTGTTAATGTTGTTACTCCCTTGACGAAGGTCATTGTTTGGCATTTTAATTTCTCCACCATTTCAGTGTGTAAAAGTGTTTATTACTCTCTTAATTAAGGCTGTAGTTTAACAGTGTGCGTTTCTCCATGGTTACATCTGACTGTCGTGAAATATAGGAATGTTTAGAAAGTAGCCTTAACACACATAAATAAACAAACTTTGAATCAAAATTATGATTATTAATTCAATTCCTTTTTTAAATGTTGCCTTTGTCATGAAAGAACATGATTATAACTTTTGTTTTTTTTATCAGCCAACCAAGAGTGATGATTCTAACAGAACAATTCTTCAGTGCAAGTGTAAAAAGCCAGATTATGAAGTTGGAGCATCAACTCAACTCAAACTCTCATTTGCAAAGAAAACAGGTGGGTGAATGTTTCCTTTAGTATTGACAGGAAGAGACACTAGTCCTTTCTTGAAACTCCCTTCCGAAAGCCAGAATCTGATTTTTAAATTTCAATTTAATACAAGTTATTTCTGTTTCTAAGATACTTTAAGCAACAGGTCAACTATATTTGGTGTATGGAATGATAACAAGGTGTAAATTACCATCTGGTATGTATTATCTGACCTTGACCTCATTTTCATGGTTCATTGGTCAAATAATATGTTTCTCTGATACTATAATCAATAGGCCAACTATATTTGGTCTGGGAACAGTATATCTAACGGGAAATGAATCTGATACGCTTTTCAGTATAAAATTGATAAAATCTCGGACTCCCCGAGACTTCCCGAGACTTACTGATTTTGGTAGCGTCTGACTGAAAAACTATCAGAACTACTCAACAAATAACCGACATAACTCTAATTGTAAATAAATACAAGTTTTTTTCATTTAGTAGATATATTTTGTCATATAAAATTACCAAAATAAGTTTGATTTATTTGATGTGAAGTGTTTTATAATAGTTTGGGAATTGTAAATCATCGCGGCAATGGCCGCCATTTTTTTATTACCTTGTTTGCATTCTGCACAATTCTGTGATGAAATGCTTGCGATTTTAACAAATTTGAAGTGACAGAATACAAGTTTGATACACTAGCATCACTATAAAACTAGTTTGAATGACATTTTATTGATAATATCAGAAACTATTAGGATAATAGCGAGTCCGTTTTTAACACATGTCCGTTTCTGTATCGTATCTTTATTAACTATGGCACGACAATAAAATCGACTACAATCAGTTAGTGTCAAGTCCCGTCAATATATATGTTCCTGATTTGGTGTATGGAATGATAGCAAGTTGTTCATGTCTGTCTGGCAGGTATCATAATGACCTTGACTTTATTTACAAGGTTCATTGGTCAATGTCAAGTTTTGGCGGCTTTGTCTGTTTCTAAGTAAAAGGTTTACTAAGAGGGCCTCAAGGGAGAATAGTGTTTGTCCTAATTGTGCTTACCCTCTTGAAAATAAGATTAATTTTATTATAAGTCTGCCTTGCTTTGTTTTTTGACTGTGTAAATTTAAAGTTTGACTGAACTTTTGATTTAATCATTGACTGGATAAAATCTTTATGAAGTCATTAACAGTGAAATTCTCATGTACAGCAGTGATTTTGTTGGTGTTCGTCTTTTTAATCTTAATTTTTTATCATCTCTAAATACTAGAATTTACTTCCAAGAAAGATAACTCAATTAATTATTCTTTTTCCCAATATAGTGTGATAGTAACTCATCACTCATCTTTGATACTTTTGAAATAATGTTGTTTGTTTTTGTATTAATAGAACCAACAAAGGTAGACGATAATGTAGCCAAAGTATGGAAGTTATCAGCAGACGACATATTGGATGATGAACTGGTTGATGATGATGCATTACTCGATGCTGACGACTTAAAGAAACCTGATCCTTCAACACTACGAGGTACTGAAATAAATAATATTAGTGGAGGGATCAGAATGTATGAGTTAAAGAAAGTACTACATGTACTTTCTATATTTATAAATGTCTGTTTTTCAAATAAATTACGTAGAAGGTAAATTAATTTATGCATTTAGTTGTAAATTTATTAACCATGATCACCATGATCCATCCTTCAATACCCTGAATTTTTCTGTAAAATGTTATTTGTTTTCTCCTGATTAGTATGAATGAAAAGAGAATTTTGGTTGACACCTTTGATTGTTAAATTCTTCCATATATATTGTGAATTTGTAGCTATCATGAATTAATTTCAGCTGAAATTGGAACTGGTCCTAAGAAGAAGAAGGCCTGTAAAAACTGTACTTGTGGTCTCGCTGAAGAACTGGAAAATGAGAAGCCTAAAGCTGCTACGTCTTCATGTGGTAGCGTGAGTATACTTAACATATTTTGATTTAACTAGTAATTGCATGTATCTTAATAACCTAATCTTCAGGACTGATCATTTTTAAAACATAAATGGTACATTTGAATGTATAATATGTTAGAAAATTAACGGCACTTGCAATATTTAGTGTTTATAATATGATGTTTAGAATCTTTTTCTTTATTTGTTGTTATTACGGAATGATTGTTTCTTAACTAATTATTATTTGTAAATGGAGTCTTCTTTTAAACTGAGTATTACTGTGCGTATTGCTGTGTGTTTGTTTATTCTACATTGGCTAGAGATATAGGGGGAGGGTTGAGATCTCACAAAACATGTTTAACCCCGCCACATTTTTGTGCCTGTCCCAAGTCAGGAGCCTCTGGCCTTTGTTACTCTTGTATGTTTTTTTTTAATTTTAGTTCATTTATATGTTTTGGAGTTTAGTATGACGTCCATTTTCACTGAACTAGTACACATTTTTATTTAGGGGCCATCTGAAGCCCGCCTCTGGGTGCACGATTTTCTAGCTGTTTTGAAGACCCATTGGTGGCCTTGGGCTGTTTTCTGCTCTTTGGTCGGGTTGTTGTCTCTTTGACATATTCCCCATTTCCATTCTCAATTTTATGATGGATAAACATTAATGAAACAACCACCAAATGACACAAAGCCATAAAGACAAGTGTCTATATAAAATATCACGCTCTAAACTGTCTAAGAGTTCAGAAAGTTGTAAATAAATTTAGCAGATACTCTAAATATATACAAACACCAAAGAGTCCATATAACAAACAAACTTAAAGATATAACATAAGACACCTTAAGAGGAGCTTCTGCTTTGAAGCAGGCACATAAACATGTGATGGTTTAAATTTGCTGTAAGAGATCTGAACTCTCAGCCTTTTAAATCTCGATCAGAAGACTAATAGAAGATACAAAAAGAACATCTTGTCACCTGTTTACGAGTTAGATTCATGATCAGTGCTATATCACAGGTTTTTGGAAAATGACGCTGTCAAAGCGTCAATTTTACTATACCATTGACCAGATTTCATTTTATCGCTTCCGGTCGCTCCAAAGCCGCCTTCCGCACTCGGTTCCGTATTTTACATACATATGTCCTGTACAGAATTTCATTCTTAACCTGTCCATATGTTTATTGTTATTAAATGGTATTTTGAGCTATCCCTTTGGTATATTTTTCATATTTATATGAGCTTTCGCTTTTATGTGCACGACTTTACAATCCATAAAAAAATCAGAATATAAATAGATCCGTATTGTTATGGTTTTGGACTTTTTACATACCAATGATAACAAATCGCTATCACTAGAAAATAGTTCTTGAAAGAATGTTTACCTTTCTTGTCAGCTGAACTTTGAAATTATTCAAACAATAATAATCGGAATCATCTTGAAATCATAGGAAAGATAATGGTCTTTATCAAGATTTAAGAAGTTTTTAAGAATCGAAAATTAGTAATACGGTTAAATCAAACGGTGCGTATGTATTTGTTTACAAAGTTACTGCTGCAGACATAATATAGGTCAAATATCGCAGGGGCCAGTTCTATTAAAGAATAAAATGGCGATAATTGCAGAAATTTTTCTGTCTAAAGACTGTTTTTCTTTCTGGATTTCTTCAATTTAAAAAGAATTATAAGATGCAGAAACTTTATGAAAGGAGTAGGCAGTGCTCAATGAATCATACCAAAAGTATTTAAGGAAAATTTTACCCTTTCTCTGACATCGTGGTCTCGTCCATTTTTTAAACATTACGATTATTTCATTACTTTTTCGAGTTAACAACTAAACTATTGAACCTGTATTGTTTTGAGAAAAGCATTCCCGTTGTCCAGGTGCTCATTACAAGCCCGTATTTTACGATTACTTTTACTTGCATCGCTATTTTCAAAATCGGATCGAAAATTTCTTGAAAATAAATAAAAAATATTGAGATTTGCCATCCACTTTTCAAAAACTATTAATTAAATATTAATTCAAAATCAATGTTAACTGTGGATGACTTGGATAAGGAATGGCATTTAATGATTCCTAGAGATACAGCAAAATGTGTAAACATGAAGTTGTGAAGGGAGACAATTTCATTGGGCAAAAATGCTAAAAGAAGTGTTGTCAAATCTTGTAAATTATTTCTGGTGGCAATAATTCACATATTGATAAAATAACCAAACACAACTTTTAAAGGTGGTTGTAATGTTTCAATTGGCAAACATTTATTTATTGATAATCCACCTTTAATAACAAAAAAAAAAAAATCTTACGAAAGGATTTCTATCACATTCATCTTGGAATATTATCAAATATGTTAGCCTATTTTAAACATGCCTTTAACAACATTTCAGTACTTATGGAAAGAGTCATTCCATTTCCTCCTTTGATATTAAAGGATATACCAATTTTAATTGCAAAATTGTAATTTGATAAATGGAAATTAAAATCAATGAAGAAATTCCAATTTTGTCATTGTAAACCCTCTTAAATATGTGTAAGAAAATTATAAAGCTGTAAAGGATATATAACTAGTTTATAAATCAAACAACTGAAAGTGAGTAAAAATATATACCTACTTTGCTACATTATGGGGACGGGTGGTAATAAAATCAAATTATTTAAGTTATCTAGGCATTTCAATTTTTAAAGTTTAATTAATAATTGAAATGTCACTTATTTGCCTTTCTGTTAATGCACATGGCACATGTATAAACAAATCTAGGTCTTTGTTTATTCAATATAATAAAACTAACATGGTAGTTATAAATAAATGTAACATCAAGTTACAAACATGACTTGTTATGTGTTTCTTTATTCTACATTGGCTAGAGGTATAGGGGGAGGGTTGAGATCTCACAAAACATGTTTAACCCCGCCGCATTATTGCGCCTGTCCCAAGTCAGGAGCCTCTGGCCTTTGTTAGTCTTGTATGTTTTTTAATTTTAGTTCATTTATATGTTTTGGAGTTTTGTGTGACGTCCATTTTCAATGAACTTATACACAATTTTATTTAAGGGCCAGCTGAGGACCACCTCCGGGTGCGGGATTTTCTCGCTGCATTGAAGATCTATTGGTGGCCTTCAGCTGTTGTCTGCTCTTTGGTCGGGTTGTTGTCTCTTTGACATATTCCCCATTTCCATTCTCAATTTTATAAAACTTAAGTTGAATCAATCTTAAATCAGGCGCTTATACCACAGCGCTATAAAAAAATCCTGGGGAGAGCACTGGATTTTATTGCTTTCAGATTATATAATACACCTTGCCTTAGAAAAAGGTCTAGCTAGGTCCTTATAAAAAAAATGAGACTATAATGATGTAAAGTGACTTATAACTGCCAACAGCCACATTATTTAGACTCTGGTGGATAGTTATCAGACTGTTATCTCATTGGCAATCATGTAACCACATCTCCTTATTTTAGTACGGGTTAATTATTTGAAATAAATGACTCACAAACATTAAATCATTTGAAAAAAAGATAATTCTGCAATAATTTATGTTGTCATTTAAAGATTTCAGTTTTAATTATATTTATATAAAGATCAACAACGAAATTTGGTTGTATAAATCGTGTCACTATATTTGTAATTGTCAATCTAGTATAACAATACTATTTCCTAAATCTACAGAATTTTATCATCCTTTAAGTAACAGAAATAACAATGTCACTTAGTCACTTGTGACTTATCTCTAAAATAAGGACTATGTGGGGTATAAGAGCTTGCTTACTGAAGGCTCTTCATCATCATTTTGTTAAATAATTCTACAAAGAAGGGGATAGTCTGTTAATGTACCATTGACTAAGAATAATGAAATTGCAAGAAACAAATTCACATATTACTTTGAATGTTGTAGATCGTTCAAGTAGTTTTGAGCTATTTCTTTATACAAAAGAAACAACCAGGATATAAATAGTCATGTTACACCACTGTCCCAGGTAAGGGGAGTGTTGGGATCCCGCTTACATGTTTAACCCCGCCACATTCTGTATGTATGTGCCTGTCCCAAAGTCAGGAGCCTGTAATTCAGTGGTTGTCGTTTGTTGATGTGTTACATATTTGTTTTTCGTTCATTTTTTTGTACATAAATTTGGCCGTTAGTTTTCTCGTTTAAATTGTTTTACATTTGTCATTTCGGGGCCTTTTAAAGCTAACTAATCGGTATCGGTTTTGCTCATTGTTGAAGTCTGTACTGTGACCTTAAGTTGTTAACTTATGTGTCATTTGGTCTCTTGTGGAGAGTTGTCTCATTGGCAATCATACCACATCGTCTTTTTTATATTCACTTCACACATATGACATATATATATATCTTGACAAACAAATAAAAAAGCCATACACATTGAAAACAATTCTTTTCTATTTTATTGTCAGTCAGCCTACCTACCATGAACTGAAAAGACTCTTAAGATTTAGTAGGTAAATTATGTGAAAATCAAGACTTGCATAAAAAATATCCTAATATTAGAGACAATGGCGTCATTTTTCCTCAGAGCTTTCAGCTCTTTGATTAATATTCTTCTTAATTTCTCATATTTTTGTCTGATTGTTTATGAATTTATGTATTTTCAGTGTTACCTTGGTGATGCCTTTAGGTGCTCATCATGTCCTTACCTTGGAATGCCTGCTTTCAAACCTGGAGAGAAAGTGGTCTTAAGTGAAAGACAGCTGACAGCTGACCAGTGATAGAAATTTGAAGGACATAATCCATCAAAAATCAATACATAAACTCAGTCTTAATTACAGAATATGTGCAATGTAAAAGCTCTGTGGTTGTAAATAAATTCATGGTTTACATTTTTTTCTTAATATTTATTACCTATAGATTTTTTGTCCATATAATGATATGTTATTTGTCAAGTATGAGGGCTCGTCTTGTAACTGTTTATGAACCAGAGATGACAATATGATTTGTCTTTGGGTTTTAATAGGAATAGTGTACCACCAATGCTGCCACTTGATCAACATTACTTGATCATTTGTGGAGTGTCTTCTTATCGTCAATTCCCTCATATTTTAAAGCATTGTGTCACATAATTTGATTTTGAAAAATGGGCCAATCAGACTAAGTCACAATTTTCATTAAAATCATGGACTTTTATAGAGGCCATTTGATATTTATGACTGGTACAAAGTTTGGTCTAAATAGGTCAGTTATATTCAGTGAAGACTATGGAAACTGAATTTCCCATTGTGTTTCAATGGGAACATGGTGCTTCAAATATTACCAATGCTACCATGCTTGCCTCCCAATCAACATTAAATGAGGATGTTTGTAGAAGATGTTGGGTTCATTAATTTCACCCGAAAAAAAGATTTTTTAAAATTGGCCAAGCAGAATAAAATTTGCATCTTGGTGTCCATGTTTGCATAAGATCATAATAAACAATAATTAAGGATTTTTGGCTGTCAGAGTGGCCAATGCACTGGTGTTAAACTGATCGTAGTAACTGCAATTACCATGATCCAAACATGGCGGAGGTAGAAATAGTTAAAATTGTTTTCTGCTAATTTCTCTGTGTAAACAAATTGTTCTCAAGAATTACTCAGCCACCAGGTTGATCTGTACGGTTTTGTTGCGTGTATGTGTTTTTAAATATCATATGGCCTTGTTACCAAAATAATAGCAATCGAAAATTTAAGGAAAATAATTGTAACTCCTTGAAATTTATTTGATATGATAATCTTAACTTGAATATCAGATAGTCGTGATTTGAACATGATAATAGTAACTTATCAGTGATAATCATAACTTTATCTGTTGATAGGGACAGGATATAAAAAAAAAAATCAAAAGTTTGAAAAAAAAATTATAGTGTGACCAGAATTCGTGAATAGTTGGTTATCTAAAACTAGTTTAATTTTTGCTTTCTTCTTTTTTGGGTATACAATAAGCCATCAAGTAGGCTGATGATTATTAACTGTTGCATGTGTTGCCTATTTAAAAAAATTAATCAACAAAATAAATATGGAAATTCGGTGCTCTATATTGTTCAAATTGTTTGGTAGTGCAGATGAACGAAATTAAGTTGTTCAAAATTATGTACAAAAGGTTGAATATTTAAATGAAAGTATAGAGAACAGCAATAGAGCTGTTCTCTAAAGCTGTCTACTGACCGAGACTGAACTACTGATATTGGTAATGTGTTCCATGCGGTATTGTAAACAGAAAGAATGAGTGCCTGTATGTATCTTTAGATAATAGTGAGTTGATGAAATTTTCTGGTTCTATGATGGTGAGATCTTATGACAAGTCTAGTGCACAGTCTACAGACTGATAGTGGTGGCCAATTAAGTGTGTTCAGCATGTCAGATACACTACCTATATTATGGTACCCATTGCATACATACTCAGCAGCTCGCCTTTGGACCATTTCATTCTTTGATATTGATTCTTTGGTGTGTGGATCCCAGACTGAGCAAGACTACACAAGTTTAGGGTGGATAAGTGCTTGGTTTGCCGAACTCCTGATATGTTGGTTTGATGTTTTAAGGTTAGGTTTTAGGAAGCCAAGAGTTTTGTTACTTTTAGATGTTATATCATTTATGTGTTTTTCCCAATTTATATTTTTTTGAAGTGTAATACCAAGGTATTTATCAGATGATACTGATTCTAATATATGAAGTTGAAGGGTGTGATTATGTTTAAATAGATGTTTTTTTCTGCGCAACAGATAGGACTGTTCATTTGTCGTGATGAAAAGCCATCAACCAGTTCTGTTCACAATTTGCTGCTGCATCAAGACCAGCCTGAAGTTTGTTGCAGTCACTTTGGGTTCAGATCAGATTGGCCTGTATATAATACTGTAGTCTGCAAATAATCTAAGTTTGCTATGGATTAGGTAGTCTGGAAGGTCATTTATATAGACCAAAAATAAGACTGGTTCCAAGACAGTTCCCTTATTTGACTGGGACAGTGTTTGATAACTTTCTATCCATTACAATGTTTGAGTGCGATTTGAAAGGAAAACAGCGATCCAATTTAATGTGAGTTTGGAAACGCCATAATAATTTAATTTGTATAAAAGTCTTTGATCTGGTACCTTATTTAATGCTTTAGAAAGTCCATTATCATGAGATCAGTTTGAGTGTTGTTGTTAGTAGCAGATAGTTCTTGAATAAAAGATAGTGCTTATGGTTTGCATGATCGTGACTGTCTAAACTCTTTTGGATTTGTAGATGGTACAGGATGCTATTATTATCAAGATGGTTAGAGATATGTTTTGTGACAATATGTTCCCTTAACTTGCAGCAGATGTAAGTCAATGAAATTGGCCTGTAGTTGACAGTTTTATGTTTGTCACCCTTTTTGAAGACTGGTGAAACATTAGCATGCTTCCAGTCCTGTGATCCGTTTGTCCAGTTTCAAGTGATATTTTAAATATTATTGTTAAAATTGGTGCTATATGTTTCTTGCATTTGTTTTAAGATATTGTCTGGGCCAGTGGCATTATGAGGGTTGGTGTTGCTAAAGAGTTTAGTTATGCTTTGTAGATATAGTCTATATCTTTTACAAGTTAAAATAGATACGTTTGGATAACAGTTAATAATGTTAACTTTTAATATTTGCAGAGGTTACTGATAAAAATCAGTTACTATTATCATTGAAATATTCTACAGTTACGATTATCTTTCCAGTTATTTGTCCACAAGTTACGATCATTTTCTTTTGGGGTTACGATTATCTTCCTTAAATTTTCGATGGCTATTATTTTGATAACGATGCCATATATGATATTAATAACACACACACATTTCTACCTCTGCCATGTTGGGATCATGGTAAATGCAGTGTGCAATGGCAAAAATAGGTCCAGTGACTGCTCGACTCCTTTTGTAATTCCATTCGTCCGTCCAAAAGACCTTGCATACAAACTTTTTCAGCTTCTATGAAAGTGAATGACTGTATATTTGGTCTGCAGTTTGAAAATGTTGAGTTGTAGCATTTTTTTTTTTAGATCTCCTGATAATCTACTTCTGGTTTCTTGATAGTTTGAAATTTGACAATACTCATTGTACTCAGATTTTTTTTTTCTTGGTTTTTAAAGAAGTGAACAATTTCATATCTGTCAGGAGCTTTATAATGTAAAGTTGTAGTGTGTAAGCAATTTTATCATCTGCTGTGCAGCCACATTCTGTTTGCAGATAGTTCGAACTTGTACAAGGAATTGTTTGTCAAAAATCATCTTCCTCAAGTACGTGTAACCTCAATCAAGTGCATGCAACCAGACGGTTTGGTCTTGTTTATATGATATGTAGCTTCCATATATTCTTGCCAAGTTTGATTCTTATTGGCCAGGTGGTTTTGGGAGTGTTCATTGTCTTAACAACAGTAGGACAGAAGATGCAAAGTGATTACTATAGCTCACAGAGCCCTTTGGCAGTATGAGCTTTAATAGTACAAATGTATCTGTTATTAAGAAATTTCACACACAAGAGATTCACATTTATTGCAGAAGAGTGTTAAACAAGAATATAAACAATAAATAAAACACAACCTTAAATATAGTACAAACATACTTCACTACAACCATACAATGAGTATCAAACTTAAGGAACACTTTTTTGTTGAACATGATTTATACCAAAACTTATAGTTCTTGTCAGCTTTGTTAATTCAAACGTTATATAAAACAGAAATGTTTAGTTTGATATTTAGTTATGTTGGATATGTCATATAAAAATTATAACTTCACACTCGGAATTGTATCACCTGCTTTACTTTACTTTTCATGATTGACATTTATGTTGGAAGTCTTACAGCACTAGTAGTCATAGAAAATTAACATAATAAATAACACATGAAACTAATGCAAAGTCAGATGAACCCTTTAAGTGGGACATCAACACCTTACAATTATGACATACATCACATATAATTGTTCTCATATTTAAAGCATCTAAGAAACTTAAACACATAACTTAACATTGACCAATGATCCACGAAAATTAGGTTAAGATCAAATAAACCCTTACAATTATTCTATCCACTGAATAGAGTTGACTTTGAATATAGTATTTATATGATCGGAAAAAAACATAATCATAAAAACTTAAGGCTGACCAATGAACCATGACTCCTGTCAGAAGGAAATGCATTCACCTCAAAAGCTAACCAAACCTTTAAACAGACTTAATCGGAAAGGATATAGTTACGATACTGTTGTCAAGTCATTAAGGAATGCATATTTTGGTTTTAATATTGATTCACTCATAGGGTCTTTGCATCTTTGCATAAACACATTTATTCTTAAACCAGTTGTTGGCATGATACGGGTTATGTTCTTCTCATATTTTTTATGATGGTATGATACTAAACCCCTAACGGGAGGGATTGTACTTGATTTTCATATGATGAAGACATAATCTTTTAATCGGTTTAATTGAGGTCTGGAGCTGGCATGTCAGTAACTGCTAGTAGTCCTTTGTTCATTTATGTATCATTGTCATTTTGCTTAGTTTCTTTTGTTACCTATTCTGACATCTGACTAGAGGTATAGGGGGAGGGTTGAGATCTCACAAAACATGTTTAACCCCGCCACATTTTTGCGCCTGTCCCAAGTCAGGAGCCTCTGGCCTTTGTTAGTCTAGTATGTTTTTTTTTAATTTTAGTTCATTTATATGTTTTGGAGTTTAGTGTGACGTCCTTTTTCACTGAACTAGCACACAATTTTATTTAGGGGCCAGCTGAGGACCACCTCTGGGTGCCGGATTTTCTCGCTGCATTGAAGACCCATTGGTGGCCTTCGCCTGTTGTCTGCTCTTTGGTCGGGTTGTTGTCTCTTTGACATATTCCCCATTTCCATTCTCAATTTTTTACTAAAATAAATCATTCTATACACTACATAGTTTGGCAAAAACTAAGGGTATCTGAGAATTGGGATTAATCAAGAAAACTTTATTGATCACTGAACAATGAAATGAGGTCAATGTCAGATAAAATCTGCCTGACAGACATGAATACCTTGCAATCATTCACTACATACCAAACACAGTTGACTTATTACTCATAAGATCTGAAATAATCATGTGATAAAAAAATATTTTTTAAAAGAAGTCATTGAACCATGAAAATGATGTCAAGGACAATTGAAATATACCAGAAAGAATCTTCAGATCATAAGGAATCTGTATAACAGATAAGGATTATGCAGAGCTCTCTTCTACCTTCTGAAATGTCAAACTTTATACAAAAAGCTAACCAAGACATTACTGGACATGCATCCCTATGTCTTTCTGCATCAGGTGGGACAAAAAAAGTAGTAACAAATATAAGACAATATGTAACACTGAAAATTAATTCAATTCAAAATACTTTGGCTGATTGTAATTGCTAAGAAATAATGCTGACAGCTGGAGCATAAAACAAGAGGCTCCAAGGAGTATATATCATTCATCAGCCATGCTTCTATGTATAACTCTTAACTCAATTAAAATAAATATGTCATCCAGAATGATTATGAAATAAACTGAATACAATCACACAATTTAAGGGCACACCAATAAGACACCAAAACCTTGAAATAATAACAAAATCAATTTCACAAAAGAATATCAAAACAAAGTGACCAGAAGAAAGGACATATTATATGGACTAGATATACATCCTTAAAACTGTGGTATGAATGGCGATAGACTCTACTAGTATATTGATGGTTCATAAAACATACAAAAGTAATAAATATTGCCCTATAATTATGATTAGGTTTGATAATTGCACTTTTCTCTTTTTGGGGTTTTTAAAGTTATAATACCTTAACAAAATCACAACTTCTGTAAATCATCATCTAAATCCTAATACATATCTTATTTTAGAACTTAAATAAATAGCATAGAAAAATTTGCATGGATACTCATACATGTCATATGGCTTTCGAAAATTTGTATATAAATAGTGATCATTTCATACCTTATTTTGTTATACCTTAAATGTTCATCCCCTGTTAGCGATGATAAGGGGAAATCATAAAGATTACTTTGAGCTATATTCTTCAGTCATGTCTGTACATCATGTGTTCTTATTTTCATGAAATTAACATCTTGTAAAGTGAAATGAGAAAAAAATGCAGATCTTCATTCATAGGATTGTAATTATTTCATAAACAATCATTTGGAAACTTACAGTATTATGGAAAATTGCAGCATTTTAAGAATCAAGCCTTGAAAATTAAGAGTTAAAATACAAATCTTGATTTCTTTTTAGGACAATGATATGCATGCAATGGCAGAAATGCTGGATAAAATTTGTTTTTATGAATTTTGTATTATTAAAAAAAACAGTTATGAAATACTATTTGATTTTTTCTGTACTGAACTTTACAAAATCAAGACAAACAATGGATGGATAGACATGGCAGAGATATTGATGTTGATCTGTTTTTCATAGACATCAGATATCAGGTATATAGATATTTCATTGTAATCATTACACATGTGTTGGAAACTGCATTTTAACTCTCTGACTGACTGTAAATACAGGGTATATAGGGTCTCCATGTATAAAATCCATTAACACTTTCTTACAACTCAGGGTATCACCCCAACTAGAATTTGTAATTGTAAATGACAGTATCACACTTTCTGATTGGTCATTTGTAACACAGACTGTGATTGACAGTGGTAATCCGTCCAATGGCATCAACTGTTCTATCTTGCTGTTGTGACAGTAAACAAGATTCCCATTGGAACAAGCTATTCCATAAGATTTTCCATTCATTCCAACAAGTTCTTTGTTCCCCAATTTATCAGATGCTATCCCTACTCCAAATAAATATCCAGATTTTGTGTCTCCAACATGACTGGAATTCTTCTCGATTGTCACAGACCAGAGTGAGTTTGAATCCAGTGATTCTGCTGTAAAGCTTGTAGAATTAAATCCCCATGTTGTCAAACATTTGTTCTGAACACGAGGAGCCTCTTTCCCTGCAGATGACGGGGACTTAATAAGAGGTATTATGCTTTGACATTTACCAGGTTCATCAGCTGAAATTACAAATAAGATTTTTTTTAATTTTAAATTCAATACACTAACTATCTTTCATTTAATATGTTTGTAACAATGTGTAATTTCTTTTCCTTTATATGGATATTGGGATATCTTCTTAAAAACAAAAATATTACTATTAATTTATATCAACCATTTTCATTATCACAACAATTTAAAAATAAATTGCCAAACTATATCAAGAAGTATTAAAGTGATTGTATCAATTTATTTCTTTGTGATTTTTTGTTTGTTACATTTTCATGCTGTTTTGAGAATTGAAAGTTTTTATTGTTTAGATAACATTTGTACATTAAAACAAGTGGATTTGACAAGAGGCTATACAAATCCCTTGTCATACACGATGGATTGATTAATCTAATGTTATTTCATATATTCTGATTATGCATAAATATTGCATTGCATAAAGGGAGACAATCCCCCTCGTTGATTTTATTATTGTGCGATGTATAATAGATAAATGGTAGTGAGCCTTTTCAAGTTCATCACACTTATAGGTCTCATTTACTTATAATCAATAAAGAGCTGCACCATGAGCCCATGATACGCCCATCCCTTTTTCAACGAATAAAGTTCCATAATTCCTCAATGTCATATCAGAAATTTATAAAAAAAACTAAAGGGAGGTTATTTTAATAGATAGAAACCAGTCACCAAAGTTTCATGAAAACTGGAAAATCACCCCTTTTTTAAGAATAAAATCCCATAACTCGGAAACAATTCAGCAAAGTTTCATGAATACTGCTCAAAGCTTTTTTGAGTAATTGTCCGAAAAATGGAAAATCCCCCTTTTTGAATGAATGAAACCCCATAACTCAGAAACGTAAAATCTAAAATTTATAAAAATCGAAAGGGAACTTAAGTCAATAGATATGAACAATTCACCAAAGTTTCATGCAAATTAGTAAAGCGTTTTTGAGTCATTGTCCTACATGTTGACGACGGACAGACAGACGGACTGACGAACAACGGTATACCATAATACATCCCGTAAACGGGCGTATAAAAAGGTGATCACAGATACATTTAAGACCCACAACATCAAATTACATGCAATATACTTACTAGCCATAACCTGTAGGCAAGACATTGAAGCACTTCTAAACTTAGTCACTGCCCTTTTTAAATCTTGTTGAATGGAACAGCTTCTAACCAGGTCACAATAATGAGTCCTGGATTTCTGTAAACTGTAAAATAATCCATTTTTTATTTATATTTATATGAATATCTGAACATCCAAACAATAAAAATTAAAACAATCTTGCAAAAAGAAAGATTTACAAAAGAAATAACAATGCTCAGTCTAGAACAATGGAAGAGGTATATAAAATGGAGACAGTTTGAGGATGCTTACTTTCGACTATAGCACCTATCTGCTTGTAACTTTTTATATCCACCAACATTTATTTTCATTTTCCTGAAAGTGCTAACTGAGAAAGTCAAACTTAAATTCAACATTTCTGCTGAACCTAAAGGCATGCAATTTACAAATGAAAGAAACTTAATTGTTGACGACCCTATGTTGACCTCTGAATATCTTTGATTTTTCACTTGTGTTTGGGTTGCTGCATCAGTAAGTTATATCCCAGCATTCTCTATTATTCATAATAAATCCAAAGTTACTGAGTATACTAGAATATATATTTGTGACCTGTCAACACTTTTTCTTCTCGAAAAGTCCAGACTAATGTATGAATAATGCCTTACCAATCTTCAATTTCCTGAGTTTGATCTGTTAATGGAGGTATTTCAGTTGCTCGACTAAGTAAACCTTTTGTATGATCTTCATCTAAAATCTTTTTACATGATTCCATCAGATCTTCTACTTGTTTCGATGTTTTACTGTTTACATCCAGATGTTTGTGTAGCTGAGATACAGATTTTGATTTGGCTGAAGTCAGTGATTGGATGAGCGCCTGTTTCTGTTGACGTAAAGCTGAGGTCGTGTCTTCTAATAACCTGCGATACTGATTCTCTACTTTCTGACATGCTTGGCGATGAACATCCTGGAAAATTTATTAGGAAATAATCAATATATATAAACAATCATAATGAAACCTATAGACAAGTCTTCTCATATTCTTTCTGTCCAAATTTTGTAGAAATCAAGGGCAATATTTCATGAATGTTGAAAATAAGTAATATTGTATTTATATTGTGTCATAGATCAAACTTATTTGTTCAGTGTATGTTTACTTGTTTTTGTTTAATTGTCTTTTTGATCGAGTTAAGACACTTCAATTGATATTTTATGGTGTGTCTTTTTATGTTTTAAAGTTACACTACTGTCTCAGGTTAGGGTGAAAGTTGGCACGTTAAAACGCTTAAACCCGCTGAATTTTTATGCACCTGTCCTAAGTCTAAGGAGTCCTAAGGAGCCTGTTGTTTAGTGTAGTAATTTGTTGGTGTGATTCATAAGTATTTCTCGTTTCTTATATAGATTAGACGGTTGGTGTTCCTGTTTGAATTGTTTTACACTAGTCATTTTGGGGCCCTTTATAGCTTGCTGTTCAGTGTGAGCCAAGGCTCTGTGTTGAAGGCCGTACTTTGACCTATTATTGTTTACTTTTTATGCATTGTGACTTGGATGGAGAGTTGTCTCATTGGAACTCATACCACATCTTCTTATTTATAATTGCAATATATAGACATTTTATATTACCTCTAATTCTTCACATAAATCTTCCATCTTCTGACTTTGTTCCTGTACTACAGTAGACATTGATTCTAAAGATTTTTTTGACGATTCAACTGTTTCCTACAAATTATCAGATAGTAATAAAATTAGTCTCAGACTACATATCAAGTTGAAATAAACTTATCTTAATAAACAAGAATATGTGTACATACATGTATGACACCATGCACTGATCGCATGATCACTTTTCCATATTCAGTGAACCACTAACAAAACACTTATTTGGCACACATTTAACATGTTTAATAAATTCACATCATAATGAAAATATGTACTACAGTGTATTCCAAACTCTGTCTGACCAACAAAATGCCAGACAAAAATTAGTTCGGTCAGACAGAAATTTTAAGATCTTTTAGTTGAAAATATAGTAGGAAAAGTCAAATTTCTTTTTCGGTCAGACAAACTCTAAAACAGTTTGGCACAGACTGGTACTAATGTTTTAAAGGCTAAAAAATTCGTAAGGGTTCCGCGGAACCCAGTGTCTCGCCTACTTTTTCTGTTAATCGCAGGCTCAACAAAAATGAGGAAGTAAATCAATAAAAATATTCCTCTTGATACTATCTTTTGATTGTAAGAACTTTCTGTCCAAGTTTGGTAAAAATCCAGGATAGTTTATGAATCTAATAAATGTTTAAAAACTTTATCTGCAGACTGAATGTAATGTTAACTTGAAGAAGACAAAATTTCCTTCTAGATACTAGCATTTGATCATAAACAAGCTTCTGTTAAAGTTTGGTGCAAATCCAAAATAGTATAAGAAAGTTATTAAAATTTAAAAAACTTTAACCACAGAGTGAATGTGTTGTTTCCTGACAGGAAATCTAAGTCCATTTAAAAGTAAAATACGGAAAAAATGGATTTATTATTTTACAAAATTTCCTTCTAGATACTAGCTTTTGATCATAAACAAGCTTCTGTCCAAGTTTGGTACAAATCCAAAATAGTATAAGAAAGTTATTAAAATTTTAAAAACTTTAACCACAGAGTGAATGTGTTGTTTCCTGGCAGAAAATCTAAGTCCATTTAAAAGTAAAATACGGAAAAAATGGATTTATTATTTTACAAAATTTCCTTCTGGATACTATCTTATGATCATAAACAAGCTTCTGTCCAAGTTTGGTAGAAACCCAGGATAGTTTAAGAAAGTTATTAAAATTTTAAAAACTTTAACCACAGAGTGAATGTAATATTTCCCGGCAGAAAAACTAAGTCCATTTATAAGTAAAATACGGAAAAAATGGAATTTTATTTTTACAAAATTTACTTCTGGATACTATCTTATGATCATAAACAAGCTTCTGTCCAAGTTTGGTAGAAATCCAAGGTAGTTTAAGAAAGTTATTAAAATTTCAAAAACTTTAACCACAGAGTGAATATTTGTGGACGCCGCCGATGCCGACGACGACGACGACGACGACGCCGACGGAATGTAGGATCGCTATGTCTCGCTTTTTCGACTAAAGTCGAAGGCTCGACAAAAAAGCATGGTATCCTACATATGTTTTATAAATGTATGTGATGTTCTTGTCTATCCTCAGTCATGAAAGGGTTGTTTCAATTTCAAAATTTCTCATTTGGTTATGTTTCAAGGTTAGATAATTTACATGACCAATGGTATATGAATTTGGTGATGTCTTAGGGTTAGATAAAGAGTCAATTACCATTCAGTTATTGCGTGATGCCAATATATAACGTATCAACAAATTTTATAGGAGTAACACGACAGGTGTGGCATGTAGAGCAGGATCTGCTTACCCTTCTGGAGCACCTGAGTTCACCCCCGATATTTGGTGGGAATCGTGTTGCTCAGTCTTCAGTTTTCTTTGTTGTGTTTTGTGTATTGTTGTTTGTCTTTTGGTCTTTTTCTTTTTTTTTGCCAGGGCACTGTCAGTTTATTTTCGACTTATGAGTTTGAATGTCCTTTTGGTATCTTTCGCCTCTCTTTTATTATATGTTTTTTGAAAGAACTTACATGACTTATCTCGATCTACAACATGTACAACATATCGACAAATCAGTAAAATACAATTGCAAGAACAAGGTGAAACTGTGTCAAATCCTCTTAAAAGTATTTTTTCTCTGAGTAAGGGGTATGACCCCCTCCCCCCTTTACCTAAATAATTTTTCTTTGAGGTGTACATTGTGTATCAAATATGCAATCCAATTTGTCAATTTGTTTTTACAGAAAATAGGTTTTTATGGCCCATCATCTTTCTCCCCAAATTTTCCTCAAAATTTTTTTTTTCACACTCGTAAACAATTTTTAATAGCATATTATACCTATATATCAAATTGTTTTGCAATCCTAGAAAAAGCTGTAACTCAAAATTTGAGAAATTTTTACAACAAGAGTGCACACGCTGAAATGTCTCGCCTGCTTTACTGACCATTGATTTTATGATGAAAGTCTTAAAGATAAAAGTTTAACTAAAAGCATCACAGAAACTCAGGTCAGATAAATGCTGTCAGACAGACATATACACCTTACAATTTTTTTATACACAACAAATAAACTAAACATTGACCAATGAACCATGAAAATGAGGTAATAGTCAGACGATATATATACACCTTACAATCATTCCATACACCAAATATAGTTGTCCTATTGCTTATAGTACTTGAAAAACAGACCAAACCACAAAAACTTTGACATTGACCAATGAACCATCAAAATGAGGTCAAGTTCAAATGAAACCTGTCAGACTGACATATATATATATATAAACATTACAGTCATTCCACACACCAAATAAAGTTGACCTGTTGCTTATATAAATAGCACTTGAAAAAACAGTCCAAAACACAAAAAACTTAACATTGACCAATGAACCATGAAAATGAGGTCAAGGTCAGATGAAACCTGCCAGAATGACATGTACCCTTTAATTTACAGTCATTCCATACACCACATATAGTTGACCTACTGCTTATAGTATTTGAGAAACGGACCTAATCATGTAACTTTAACCTTGATCACTGATCCATGAAATGAGGCCGAGGTCAGGTGAACCCTGTCTGACGGACATGCAAACGTTGCAAGCATGTACCAAATATGGTTATCCTATTACTAATAATAAGTGAGAAATTCATGTGACAAAAAAAATCAAATATTTTTTCAAGCAGTCGCTGAACCTTAAAAATGAGGTCAAGGACATTGGACATATGACAGATGGAAAATTCGTATCATAAGGTATCTGCATACAAGATATGAAGCATCCAGGTCTTCTACTATCTGAAATATAAAGCTTTATACAAATAGTTTACGTCGCCGCCTGATAGTAATACCTATGTCTCACATACTGCTACTTTTGCCGCAGGTGAGACAAAAACTGAATTGCAGACAGACAGAGTGATAACTATCTAGGGCAATACCAACTAGTTGGTAGGGCCCTAATTATAACCTGTACTTAATCTGAATTATTGCATTGATAATATGCATTCTGTACAAAAATGTTACAAAATTGTCCATAATTGAATTATTAAAAGGCATGCATGTATGTCATTAAATATCTAATAAAAAATATGTTTTCTCAAATACAGCTTGGGAGAGATCTTTGTAAAAGCATGTTAACAATAGAGTTATTAAGTGTCTTTAGTATCACGACAAGTTATATTTACAAGTAACATTACATTGTAAAAGTATATAAAAAATTTACATTTCACCATGGGGCATTGAGATGACAAATTTTCTATCACTTTCGAATTATATGCCTAACATATATGTCAAATTTCTACAGGTGAAAATTGGATAAAAATTGTATTTTTAGATCTTGCTAATCAAACTTGTCTAATATGTATAAAATAGGAAATTATGTAATAACATCAGTCTTGATTACAGAAATCATTTACAGTGAAAACTAGCTGAACCTGCAAACCCTATATCATGTATATATAAATAATACATAAACTGGCCATTAATCTAACCAGATTTTTCCAGGATATATAGAATAATTACATATATATCATATATACAGCCTATACATCTTCTAAAAATATCAAATTATTTGTACTAGGCTTGGAAACAGACAGAATGTGAGGCTCTTCATGCCATTAGCATGTCTATCCTGTTTCAAGCTGAGTAGTCTAAAATCTATATTTTGAGAAAATGTATAGTTGTTATACATGTTATACTGCAAAGTTAACTCTTACAACTATTTTGGGTTGAAACCTACAAATTGAATTTCAGTTAGACGACTTAAAAAATCTTTGAACTTATGTTCAGGATGAAATAAAACTTGACTAAAACACAGTATCAATGTCACAAAAAAGGATTTATATACATGTTTTTTGTACTACAAATATTTATATGGTAAATGCAATTAGGTTGAGCAAATAGCATGTTTAGTGTCAGTACTCATGAACAGTTAACGTGATGCTTCCAAAATTGGTATTTGATCTGAGTTTTGTGGTAATAAGCATTGTGTATAAGTTTCATAATATTTGGTTGAGGCAAAACTTAAATTAAAGAACGGAAATGAAAACTTCACTAATTTTTCATTTGTAAAGGGGCATAACTCTAAAACGGTAAAAGTGACGCCACCAAAATTCAATCTTGGTCTGTGTTTTGTGATAATAAGCATTGTGTATAAGATTCATAACATTTGGTTGAGGCAAACTTAAGTTAGAGAACTGAAACGAAAAATTCAGCAATTTTTCCATTTCATGTTTGTTAAGGGGCATATCTCTAGAAAGGTAAAAGTGATGCCACCCAAATTCTAACTTGATCTGTGTTTTGTGATAATAAGCATTGTGTATAAGTTTCATAATATTTGGTTGAGGCAAACTAAAGTTAGAGAACGGAAACCAATTTTGGGATTTACTGATATACAGACGGACAAGGGTAAAACTTAATGCCCCCTCCGCTACGGCGGGGGCATAAAAACGATGTTTACATTTAAAAATTTTCTCTCCTTGTTATTTTTTATTAGGCTTAAATTTTCAAAAGTAGATTTTTCTTTAATTAATGTTCTTCAAATTTTTACTTGCTTTAAGCATGTGATATGAACACGACTAAAATGAGAAATGTTGATACTGCAGTTATAATAAGCTTAATTTACCTTGACTTGTTGACATGCCGAGTCTCTAGCCAATACTTTGTGTCCAGTATGTTTCCCTAGACCATCACATAAACATAAATGGCACACTAACAATTTGCATTGATCACAGAACACGGTGGCTTGTTCTGTAGAATGATCCTCACAGAATGCTGGCTTAGATTCTCCTTCCATGTGACTCGGTTTACGTATACGATGGTGACATAAAGTTCCTCGGCGAGGATGGAATTTTTCTAAACATCTCTCACAATACAAGACAGAACACTGTTCACAGAACCATGTTGCTTTGTTTGGAGATTTCCCATCACATAGACCACAAAGTTCATTGACGTCCTCAGCAAATACTGGGCTATCCCTATCTGAGGACTGACTACCAAGTGACGAATTCAAGGATAAACTATTGTTCTTAAACTGTGATATGCTAGCACTTTGGATTTCTTGAAAACGGAACACAATATTTTCCAGGGCAAGATTTTTAGGCAAGTTGGTTATTTGTTCTTTTGACACCTTAAGGTTTTTCCGACATGAGGGACAATCTAATCCTAAAAGAATATAAATATACAACATGTACAATTACAACAACAGTTTAAATACATGATAGTTAAGTTCATACCTAATTTATTCTATTAACATACAAATTTTGTGTCTATGCTAAACTTACAAGGATCTGAAAATAATTTGTTCTTCTTTCCGCTTTGATAATTTTATTATGTCAGCAAATGAAATTTCTTTCTAAGTCTTTTTAAGGCGTGTATCATTATAACACAAGAGTGCACACGCTGAAATGTCTCGCCTTCTTTACTAATCATTGATATTATGTTGATAGTCCTAAATATAAAGCTTTACTACAACTATCACATACACTTAACATGATCCAAGAAAATGAGGTCAAGGTCATATAAACCAAACAAGAAATACATGTACACCTTACAATCATTCAATACACTAAATATAGTTGACCTATTGTTTATAGTTTCTAAGATACAGACTTAACCAAGAAAACTAAACATTGACCAATGAACCAAGAAAATGAGGTCAAGGTCAGATGAACAATGCCAGGCAGACATGTACTACAGCTTGTAATCCTTCCATACAACAAATATAGTTGACCTATTGCTTATAGTATTAGAAAAACAGACCAAAACACAAAAACTTAACACTGAGCAATGAACCGTGAAAATGAGGTCAAGGTCAAATAAAACCTGCAAGACTGACAGGTACATCATAAAATATTTCCATACACCAAATATAGATGACCTATTGCATATAGTATTAGAAAAAAAGACCAAAACTCAAAAACTTAACTTTGACCACTGAACCATGAAAATGAGGTCAAGGTCAGAAGACACCTACCAGCTAGACATGTACACCTTACAATCATTCCATACACCAAATATAGTAGACCTATGGCATACAGTATAAGAAAAACAGACCAAAACACAAAAACTTAACTATAACCACTGAACCATGAAAATGAGGTCAAGGTCAGATGACACCTGCCAGTTGGACATGTACACCTTACAGTCCTTCCATACACCGAATATACTAGACCTATTGCTTATAGTATCTGAGATATGGACTTGACCACCAAAACTTAACCTTGTTCATTGATCCATGAAATGAGGTCGAGGTCAAGTGAAAACTGTGTGACGGGCATGAGGACCTTGCAAGGTACGTACATACCAAATATAGTTGAACTATTGCATATAGTATTAGAAAAAAAGACCAAAACTCAAAAACTTAACTTTGACCACTGAACCATGAAAATGAGGTTAAGGTCAGATGACACCTGCCCGCTAGACATGTACACCTTACAATCATTCCATACACCAAATATAGTAGACCTATGGCATACTGTATAAGAAAAACAGACTAAAACACAAAAACTTAACTATAACCACTGAACCATGAAAATGAGGTCAAGGTCAGATGACACCTGCCAGTTGGACATGTACACCTTACAGTCCTTCCATACACCGAATATACTAGACCTATTGCTTATAGTATCTGAGATATGGACTTGACCACCAAAACTTAACCTTGTTCATTGATCCATGAAATGAGGTCGAGGTCAAGTGAAAACTGTGTGACCGGCATGAGGACCTTGCAAGGTACTCACATACCAAATATAGTTGAACTATTGCATATAGTATTAGAAAAAAAGACCAAAACTCAAAAACTTAACTTTGACCACTGAACCATGAAAATGAGGTCAAGGTCAGATGACACCTGCCCGCTAGACATGTACACCTTACAATCATTCCATACACCAAATATAGTAGACCTATTGCATACAGTATAAGAAAAACAGACTAAAACACAAAAACTTAACTATAACCACTGAACCATGAAAATGAGGTCAAGGTCAGATGACACCTGCCAGTTGGACATGTACACCTTACAGTCCTTCCATACACCGAATATACTAGACCTATTGCTTATAGTATCTGAGATATGGACTTGACCACCAAAACTTAACCTTGTTCATTGATCCATGAAATGAGGTCGAGGTCAAGTGAAAACTGTCTGACGGGCATGAGGACCTTGCAAGGTACGCACATACCAAATATAGTTATCCTATTACTTATAATAAGAGAGAATCTAACATTACAAAAAATCTTAACTTTTTTTTCAAGTAGTCACTGAACCATGAAAATGAGGTCAAGGACATTGGACATGTGACTGACGGAAACTTCGTAACATGAGGCATCCATATACAAAGTATGAAGCATCCAGACCTCCCACCTTCTAAAATATAAAGCTTTTAAGAAGTTAGCTAACGCTGCCGCCGCCGGATCACTATCCCTATGTCGAGCTTTCTGCGACAAAAGTCGCAGGCTCGACAAAAAACCAGAGGGTCACAAAAAAGTAGTAAAAAAATATAGTAAATCAGAGTATTGTCAGATCTTTGTAAGTGAAGTACTTCTTGTGTGGAAACAGATATATTTTTGACTGATGACTTTAATATATAGGAATAAACAATGGAAGAATTAGGCATAAAGTAATGTTATTTTGCTTGTAAAACAATTAAGAAATGTGTACCTTCCTGTCCTGATTTGACTCTGGATTGTATAATATCCTCCAGACATTTCTTACAGAGACTGTGGGAACATGGTAACATTAAAGGGTCAGCATATAGTTCCAAACATACTGGACAGGTCAACTCTTCTTCCATTCTATTGTATGGTTCATCTGGAAAATACAAACAAGTATGGGTAACTTAATTTTCATTCTTAAAACAAAATTCGATGGTGGTGAAAAGTTAAAGCAATGTGTTATATGCCAACATTAATTTCCTTTGTTCATACATGAAAAAGCACACCTAAATCTTACTTCAGTAACTATTGTTGGAACAGAGAAAAAAAACATCTAATATCTATACAATATAATACTCCCTTCTATTATAGGAGGGTATAAAATGAAAATTAAAGAAAATTTACAGATAAAATTGGGGAAAGCACTTACTATGTAACTAATGACACAAAACAGAATATTACATTTTATATAAAACAAATACACATGAGGACTTATATATATTAATTAGACTTGTAATACATTCATTGACATTATTTCTATCAAGCTAATTATTTGATTTGAAACTACCATTTCTGATATTAGCTTAAAAACTTACCTGGTATTTTATAGAATAATACAATTCATTGAAATGATATTTACAAATACAATATATTTATTTCCTTCAAAACTTATATCCTACAATATCAATTCCTACACTGCAACACACATTCAATTAGAACAACATAATTTGGCAATTAGTTTAACTGATTTGTATATAATTTTGTGATCTTGGTCATCACACCTACAGCCCTAAGGGCAGATAATCATTAATTTTACATGAATTCAATGAGGACGAAGGTTGTATAAATGTCAGTTTAATGATGACCTAGAGTAATTTATGCTGACTAAATATACAAGGATTGGAATGATTCAACCTTTAGTTAGACCAAACTATTTTCATCAACATCATGTTTATTTTGATGTTTTAATTTAACTTTTGTTATGATGTTGAGTTACATATATATCATGTATATTTGTAATCATCTGCAATGGTACAAATAATACAGAACATATCAAGTCTATTTTGAGTAGATGTCTTAATTTAATAAAAATAAAACAAATGAAAAACTAAAGTTCATCACAAGGTGTTAATGCAAGACAAACAATACTTGAAAGATCTTAACAAGGACCCATTATGTAAAAAGACAACACTGTAATATATTTCAAAGCAGAATTCCATAAAATTTAACCTTGGTTAAATTTTTATTCCTGGCTTTTCAATTATTATTTTTAAAACGAGAGTTCTTGTCTTTTGATAAAGCTGTTTGGTGACCATTGGATGTCTATTTATTGTTAGGCTGTTTTGTTGGTTTGGTGTGAAATACCACATGAAATTATCTAAATATAACCAAGATCACTATTTAATACAAATACCATGCTTCAAATAACCAGTTACTTTTTTTCTAAATGTTTTGTAAAGAAAAGTACATAATTTTGCTTTAAGTGGCCATGGTGTTGCAAGTTATGAGGAGTTGTATACATGTATATACAGGTTTTATGAAGACATATATTCAAAATTTGTTTAAGACCCCATTAATCCTACTAAACAGTGCATTAAAAATGACAGAATTAAGTATAACTATTTACACAATAATTTGATAAAATATTAAAATCAAATAGACATGTCATTAAAGTTTATTGATGAGTTATTACTATGACCTTGACTTCATTCATTATGTAAGTCCTGAACAAAATATATCTTAACATTACCAAATATGAGAATTTTATAAAAAAAATATGACATACATTACTTCAACTTGAGTTATTTTATTAAATGGAGAAATACTATAGTAAATCATGCACACTGACTTAACACAGGACATATGACATGTTTATAGATACTTCAGAATAAAGTAAAAGTCCTTATACTGCTGTCAAGTACCATAATACCATATTATTAAAACAAGACTAACATATTTAAACTTGGTTAATGTATTCACAACTTAAAATGACATTGTTTGAAGAAAGTCTTTTCTTTAATACAAAATGTCCTCTGAATACAATTAGAAATCAAAGCAGCATTTTCAAGCTAACTAAGAGTATTATGATTAGTCCCAAAAATTTAAATAAAAATGCTCCGTGGGGCGCAGCTATATACGACCGCAGAGGTCAAAACCTGAACAGTTGGGGCAAGTATGGACACTACATTCAAGCTTGATACAGCTTTGAAATTTGGATTGTGATTACATATTTGACACAGCATAGGTTTCTGTCACAGAATGAATGTGGTCAAAGAACTGAAAAATTTTAAACGGGATTTTGAGTAAAAAATAAAGCCAAATGTAAGCATTTAGCTATTTTTGTTACCTTTACTGTCAGATAGTGGATATGCCATATACGTTTCTTACCTCTAGAGCTATGCTGTGAGCTGATGGATATATTTCTTACCTTAAGAGCTATGCTGTGAGCTGATGGATATATTCCTTACCTTTAGCAGAGACATATATACACAGAGATTGGCAACTGTAACAGTGGTCAGCGAAATCCAATTAAAAACACGCATCACACGAGACTTTAACGAGATCGCCATTTTGCATCTGATCATGACAAGTTCACCACCGCTTCGATTTTTATTTTACATCAAGCTTTTCAAAACAGCATAATGTAAGTATATATTTCAATTTCGTAAATTATTTACCTTGTTTTATTCAGTTTGTAGTAATTGTTAGTTAAAATATTGTGACGATTAACGTTTAATTGTGGTCAATAATAAGGGGAAAGCTTGGCCGACATGGACGTTATGAAAATTTTTTACACGGACGTATTTTTTATTAAAACCTTTTCATTCGAAAAGGAATAAAACCATTTATGAGATGAATCACTTTTCCCAAGACATACTGGTTTTGTGTAAATATGTTGAATTTTTCATTAAATCACCCACTTTGATGCAATTTACAATTAAAGTTCAGTATTCTCGCTGTCGGCCACGTTCAATTTTTAAAATATAAAGACAGGCCCCTGTCCATGTCTACAGTCAATAAACTTTTCCATCTTTAGAGAATAATTATTCCCAGCACATGAATTACTTTCTTATGACATACTGGATTTGTGTATAACAGTTGTTTTTTCCATATTTTCACCAGCTTTGATGCAATTTACAATTAAAAATGACCATTCAAGCTGTCGGCCATTTTCATTCTCTTCAATATAAAGACAGGCCCCTGTCCATGTCTACAGTCAATAAACTTTTCCATCTTTAGAGAATAATTATTCCCAGCACATGAATTACTTTCTTATGACATACTGGATTTGTGTATAACAGTTGTTTTTTCCATATTTTCACCAGCTTTGATGCAATTTACAATTAAAAATGACCATTCAAGCTGTCGGCCATTTTCCTCCTCTTCAATATAAAGACAGGCACCTGTCCATGGCTACAGTTTATAAAATTGTCCATCTTTAAAGAACAAATGTACCCATCACCATTGATCACAGGAATTACTTTCCCAAGACATACCGGTTTTGTGTATATAAATTGTTTTTTTCATTATTTCCATCACTTTGATGACATTTACAAGTTTATATACATGTATATTTACATTCAGTATCTGACAGCATTTTTTCTTTAACAGGATCCTGCATGTTATAAAAGAACAAAGATGTTGATCAAATTTACCTAACAGTGCAGCATACAAGAGATGTAATATCATACATGTGCTGAATGTAGGACTCCCTAGCCTTTCTGATTGAAAAAAAGATTCCCTGGCAGACAGGAACAACTATTAGTGATGACTTTTTTCAAATGTTACTGCACAGTCATGTAGTGGACCGATTACATGTACTACTATCAATGTGATACTAAAAAATGGTTTTGTAAGAGAGAAAATGACATGTGCTTATCCTGACTGTGAAAACACCACATTATTGTAGTTCAAATATCATAGTTCATATGCCAAACTTGATGTACATGTGTATGCAATTTTTGTGCAAGTGATGGTGACATCATTGAACTAAGAATAAATACAAGACTCCGCATTCAATCTATTGAATTTGAAACAGAAGTGGCAGTTGTGCAGAGACTATACGGATAAAAATGCAAATAAATATCTTGTGTTCAACTTCATTTGTCTTCTTTACGTTTACAAAGTATACATGTACATAATTTTTACATACATGTATAACAATATTATGATGTAGTATGATTGCCAATGAGACAATGATTTACATGTATGACTATCATTGGAAGGCCACTCTATAATATCTTTGTATATCATGAGAATGGAAATGCTACCTTTGTAGCATAAAGGTAGCATAATGTAAAAAAAGGGAAAATGTTCATTTATTCAACAACACTCCTGTGAATATATAACTTGACCGTACTAAAGGCAAAATATTTCGTTTCACAAATTCCTTCCTCTCCTCGGAAAATAACATATTTAATTGTTTACATGAAATGACAAAATGTGTAGAATAAGAAGCAAGAAATGTTCACTCTACTTGTACACTACTGGTCGCTCATATTAGTCATCATCTATGTTTGTTACAGTCCTTTAGCAATGGTGCTTGTTTATATTTATCTGTTGTGTTGTGTTGTTTCAGTTTTACATGTCCTCATTCTGTGATCACTGTTTCACCTCGCCTATTTTGAAAAATGTTAATGCAAATATTTTCTGCAATAAATTGAAAAGGCACAGCTGCTATGACTATTCAGAAATGTGAGGTATATGTCAATGAGACAACAACCCAACGACAAAAATATTCTTTGCACATCTATGAATGTTGAAGAATTCTTGTGGAGGTCAAAAGCACATAACGTGTACTTATATATTGGTGACCTGGTACATGTATGTACCTATTGGTGCATTCCGTCCTAAACATAAATTGTGTGAAGAGACCAAGCAGTTTATATGCTTATAAAAAAAACTGATATTAAAATGAATTCCTGTATAACAAATTCCGGGAATGAGACACTATTTTATTTAAACCAGATGAGATATTAGTGGTAAAGGTTTAAACAGAAGCAGGAGATGTCAAGGGGCAATACAAAAAGTACAAGGTCATGTAACACAGATAAAAAAATGACAAATGAAAAGAAAATAACGGCCCACATAGCACTGCACCGAAACATAAACCCACAAAAGATCAGATAAAACTTGTCTTCAATTTTAAATCTTTCTAATTTCAAACTCGAGTTTCACTACCCGATAGGAAAGAGTAAAGATAAGGAGGTTGCAGTACTTCTGTGGTCTATGAAACAGAACATTAAAATTCTACAGTTCAGCAGAGCATTTTACTGTACTTATGATACACCTTGTTTTTAATCAGGGTCTGTGATATTAAGTCTATAAAAAACTACAAATAATGACAGATTCATATTCAATATTTCATGACAGCAAAAATAGTGATTTCGACAACACTGTACATAATGTACGTTCATTTAGGTAATTCATGCAAAGGTTCCACAAATAATGTAATTGTAGGTCAATCAAAAATTAATCATTTAAATCCGTTTTCCACGAGACAAAATTCTACTGGCTACATATTTTTTTTATATACAAAAGTTGCTTTCTGATTTCTTTTTTTGACATGTTAAATGACTATTTTTGTTCCTGATTGAATACTATAGTAGAATGTAGGACAGTAAGTCACAGGACAAAAAGTCACGGACAAAAAGTCACAGACGAAAAGTCACAATTCAGTTTTGAGATTATTTTTCTCTGAACAAGAAAACACTAATTTTAAAAATAATTTTTTGATTTTTTTATTGAACTATAATATATGAAGCAACTTTGTAATTAAAATTTATTCAATAAATATCAATGATGATCAAATAATTGTTATGATAACAAAATGTCAAAGTGGTTTGGCACTTAAATGGCTTCATGGTGCCAAGAAATATATTATTTGCATGATTAAAATTCAATAATTTTTCATTTATCAAGGCTTATGAATAATTTCCTGAACTTAAAAATGAATAAATGTAAAAAAAGATATTATTTGAAGATCTTTCTCTTATATATTCAAACAATTGTCAATAAATTATTTGTGACTTTTTGTCCTATCCAATTTGTGACTTTATGTCCTGTGACTTTTTGTACTGTGACTTTCTGTCCGTTTACCCTATTCATAGTATAGCCCAGTGTTTCTGTTAAAATAAAGTTCTGGTCATGGTTAAAATAATGTCAGAATTTGTTTAGTTGTAAAAACAATTACCAAGTAATAATCCACTTAGAACTTCACCTCCGGCAAAATTCAGGTGATCGGAGGGCAATAAATTGCGTAATCGCACACCTGTGAATCCACAGTCACAACTCTAAGGAAATAATGACCGGAAAATCGGACACACATAATTTCACTGTGTAATTTAGAAGCAAACTTTAGCAAAGAAATGTTTCTTGTAATATCATGATCATTACCAGATTTCACTTTTTAAATTAAAAGAAATGCCGAAAAAAAGAAAAAATATTTTCTCAATCAAATACATTAAAAAAAATACAACTATTTCAAGTAGTTTTTTAGAAAAAGAATTTATTTGATCTGAAATAAGTTTTCCTATTACTTTTCTTGATTAGCTATCGAGGTTATTCATCCCTGACTTGTCTACATGTTGTAGAATAATTATCGACGAGAATCTCATTCCGGGCCGCGTTTTTTAACGGGATTTCACGGAGTTGCCAATCTCTGTGTATATATGTCTCTGCCTTTAGAGCTATGCTGTGAGCTGATGGATATATTCCTTACCTTTAGAGCTATGCTGTGAGCTGATGGATATATTCCTTACCTTTACAGCTATGCTGTGAGCTGATGGATATATTTCTTACCTTTAGAGCTATGCTGTGAGCTGATGGATATATTCTGAAGTTTCTCTGACATGGTCACAATTAATGAACCTCTCTTCCTCAATTAATCATGATGTTATCCCAGTAATTCACTGAAAGTAATTTAATTTTTCACTTAATTAGAGTTGTCATTTACTGTAATCATATTTCACAGGATTGCAAATAGAATACTGGATCAATACTTCATTTCTAAATTAACAACCTGTTGTAACATCAAATGGCTCCATACAACAGGAATATATTGGAGTTGATTCTAAAGTTGTACATTGTACTAGCCTGGACTTTTTTGGACATGTTGGAATTGTTTATCAAAAAAATGATAACAGCTTTCAGTTTCACCTTGTGAAAGAATTAAAAGAATGACAGTGAATGATTACAGATATGACAGAGTACCTTCTTATAATACATGAACATGATGAAAAATGCATTGAAAAGGCAGCAAAAAATCTTATGTGAAATTAGAAAGTCCATATGATAATTTTTCAATTCACTACATAAAATGATCACACTCTCCTCAAGAATCCTTTAATACAGTATATGTCATATTGTGACCTATTTTATTAAGGAGAAAATGGACATTGAATATCCACTACATTTTGGTTTAATAGTCTTAAAAATTCCATCAAATCAAGTGCACTTAACAACTTTTGCAGATGACCAGAGCAAAACTCACAAGCTAATGTAGTTACTTGAGTCACCTTTAAGGAATTTTTATCATCCAAATTTTTCTACAAAATATTATGAGGTTTCTAGGCTTTGGTATCATTTTGAAAAGAAAATGCACTTTAGAATAGGGGATTAAACATTCAAATTTTCCCTGTTTTAAAACAAAATTTCAATTAAAAATATTAAGGCAACTTTTAAATTCAATTGTTGATGATGTGAATTTATCTTCCATCAGCCTAATCATGCTAATACAACAGACTTGATAGAGTGTAGATTACCTGATTTTTATTACCTGCCAAAGTCAACAAAATTCAGTCATTTTCATTTGAATTATTAAATCAAAATGGTCATTTTGAGTTCGGTATACATGGTATACAAGGTCATATAAATGTATCAATATTATTTCCATCATAGCCTTACCTTTATGTATGAAAGTTAACCTCCATATCATATTAATAAATCAATAAATACAGGTGTTTTCATACAATTACATGTGTATCTACAGATGATCATAAATCAATCTAAATCATTTTACAATTAAATACACATCTAATTATTAGATTTCTATCAGAACAGGTTTTATTTTAGGGTTGCGATTTTTTATTTTTTAAAGTCTGAAAATTTTAATTTAAAAATGAAAGTAACAATTTTTCATATATATATATTTACTAGATTAAGTTTGATATAAAAAAAAATCACATTTTCAGCTGACATGGCTGAAGAATTGTTCATATCTATAAAAGTGTTAGTTTTTACAGTAATTAGTTCTTAATATATTTATCTTAAGAATACTACAACAAACCTTTTTTCATTGACTATTTGAAATCAGGAATAATTCTTGTTTCTGTTGTACTCCTGTCATTTGTCTGTACAGAAACAGAACTTAACACTAAATTTTATCTTTTTTTTTATAACTTACCCCAAGAAGTTAATACATATTTATTGATAGCCTGGTTTATATGTTGTGTTGCTATAGAGGGAGGAAAGATACCCAAGGGATATTCAAACTCATGAACAGGTGTAAGTTATATTAGACAATTTTTCCACATACAATGTAACATCCATAATTCATATAAACACATGACAAAGGCAGAAACTTATAAAATTCTGATCGACACAAAACTTTGAAATGCTAAACTACATATCATGCTTTAATATGCTGAACAATGTTATTCCAATGTAAAACTGCATCTGTTAATCACTCTTAAAGGTATAGCATGTATAGTGTATGATACCATATAAAAAATCTAACTTCAGTTCTATCAAAATTTACAGATTTTAATTTTTTCAAAGTTGTGACCATCTAGGTCAAAGTGAGTTTGCACCTGATATGAGGCAGCCGGTAAGCATCAATTAATAATCATTAGCATAAAACCATGACTAAAAGTGAATTATTCCAATCTAACTTGAGATGTATCAACACAAGTATGGAGTGATTGTTTTGAAGAAAAAAAAATTGCCATGACATTAAAAAAAGGAATTTATTTTCAGCAGTTACTAGTAGGGTACAATCTAAGGTAAAATATTAAATGGGCCTGTATTCATCCCTTTAATTATGAAATACAACTTGAAATTTTGAATTGTTTCCCTTTAGCGTGTTTAGCCACAAAATTAGTTTTTCAATATATATGACAATTCTTCTGTACACGATAAACTGGTACATGTGGAAGTTAAACATAACAGTATTGAGGATGATTCTGACTCGAAACATGTTTATAAATATCATATCAGTTTTTTGTTTCATACAGTTCAAATTTGCTGAGCATGACAGATATTTGTGACTACATGAAGCCAGAGACATAACACATGTAATACAAGAGATTAGAAACTCATTTAATTGTCATACAAATCTATTAAAATAGCATACAGCTCTATCAAATTTTCTTTCAAACTACTATTTCCTTCTTTCTAAATTTTATCTTAATTTTAGAATATTCGGATATACATATATATGGTTTAAAAGGTTTGAGAAACCTATCTTTTAAAACAAGAATGTGTCCATAGTACACGGATGCCCCACTCGCATTATCATTTTCTATGTTCACTGGACCGTGAAATTGGGGTCAAAACTCTAATTTGGCATTAAAATTAGAAAGTTAATATCATAGGGAACATGTGTAGTTGATTGGACTTCAATTCATCAAAAAATTGCTTCGCTGAGCGCAGCTGGATACGACCGCAGAGGTCCAACCCTGAACAGTTGGGGCAAAAATGGACACAATATTCGCACTTGATACAGGTCTAAATTTGGATTGTAATTAAATATTTGACATATAATAGGTTTCTGACACAGAATAACTGTAGTCAAAGAACTTAGAATTGGTTATATGATTTGAATTTATAATCAATTTTTTGCTTTTGTGCAATACACTATGCTGTTGCTAATTGACCCCCTCCCCCCCGCCACCAAAAAAAAAAAAAGAAAAAAATTTCCCCCCCTTTTTTTTTGCTTTTGTGCAATACACTATGCTGTTGAGAATTGACCCCCCCCCCCCAAAAAAAAATTTTTTTTTTACCTCCCCTTTTTTTTTAAATATTTGAAGAAATTTTCTTTTTAGTTTCTAAAATCTGAAATGCGAAAAATTGTCCTCCCCCTCACAATTTCTTTTTTACCCCCCCCCCCCCCCCCAATTTTTTGTTTCACCTCCCCCCCCTTTTTCCCCCCAAAAAAATTCTTTCCCTCAATATGGTCATAATCTCAATTCAAATTTCCAATGGAGTTTGCAACCATAATTACCAATTGAAATACATCATAAAAGTCTTAAATGACATACATAATCATGGCTACAATTAATATTCCTTAATCAGCATTTTTAAATAGTAACTTCTAAAAATAAATTGACAGCTAATCACCTCAAGACAATACAACAATTCTTTATACATAATTTAAAAGCAGTGTAAGGGAGGTAATCCAAACATAAAATTGTACTTTTTTTAATTGTCCATTAACCAGGAAACCCTTGTTTTCCCCCCTAATTCCTAAAAGGTTTGGGCCATAACACCCCCCCCCCCCCCTTTCCCAAAGCCAACCCGAACCATCCCTTTGTGGTAAGGAAACTTGTGGTATAATTTCAGAGAGATCCATACACCGTTCCACAAGTTATTGTCTGGAAACTAGAAAAATGCTTATTTGGGCCCCTTTTTGGCCCCTAATTCCTAAACTGTTAGGACTATCACCCCTAAAATCAATCCCAACCTTCCTTTTGTTGCTTTAAACCTTGTGTTTAAATTTCATAGATTTCTATTTACATTTACTAAAGTATGTCTGGAACCAAATGTCTTCAGACGATGCTGACGACGAGGTGATACCAATATACAACAGCAAAATTTTTTGCAGTCATATAAAAACTACCTTGACCAAAAACTTTAACCTGAAGCGGGACAGACGGACATACGGATAGATGAACGAATGGACGCACAGACCAGAAAACATAAGGCCCCTACTACTATAGTAGGTGAGGCATAAAAAAGATTTAATAAACAATGAAAGTAAAATAAATTGCTTCACCGTGCCCAGCTGGATACGACCGCAGAGGTCCAACCCTGAACAGTTGGGGCAAAAATGGACACAATATTCGCGCTTGGAACAGGTCTGAATTTGGATTGTAATTAAATATTTGACACATAATAGGTTTCTGACACAAAATAACTGTAGTCAAAGAACTTAGAATTGGTTATATGATTTGAATTTATATTCCATTTTTTGCTTTTGTCAATACACTGTGCCTGTGCGATTTGACCCCCCCCCCCCAAAAAAAATAAATCAAATTTACCAATTAACCCTTTTTTTTTTTGCTTTTGTGCAATACACTATGCTGTTGCGTATTGACCCCCCCCTCCCAAAAAAAAAAACAAAACCCACTTTTTTTTTGCAAAAAAAAAAAATACCGGGTATGTGAAGAAATTTTGTTTAATTTCTGAAATCTGAAATGAGACAAAATTGCCCCCACCCAATTTCTTTTTTACCCACCCCTTTCCTTTCAAAAAAAAAATTCTTTCCCTCAAGATATGGTCATAATCTCAATTCAAATTACCAATGGAGTTTGCAACCATAATTACCGATTTAAATACATCATAAAAGTCTTAAATTGATAATTGAAAAGCAGTATAAGGGAGGTAATCCAACATTGTACAACATTGTACAATTTTGTTTTTGGATTACCTCCCTTACACTGCTTTTAAATTGATAATTGAAAAGCATTATAAGGGAGGTAATCTAACATTGTACAACATTGTACAATTTTGTTTTTGGATTACCTCCCTTACACTGCTTTTAAATTGTTCATTAACCAGGAAACCCTTGTTGTTCCCCCTTTTTTGCCCCTAATTCTAAACGGTTTGAGCCATAACCCCCCAAAGCCAATCCTAACAATCCATTTGTGGTATGGAAACTTGTGGAATAATTTCAGAGAGATCCATACACTTAAACACAAGTTATTGTCTGGAAGTTACAAAAATGCTTATTTTTGGCCCCTAATTCCTTAACTGTTGGTACCATAACCCCCAAAATCAATCCCAACATTCCTTTTGTTGTATTGAACCTTATGGTAAAATTTCATAGAGATCCATTCACTTAAACTAAAGTTATTGTGCAAAAACCAATGTGTCTTTGGACGACGCCAACGTCATACCAATATACAACCGCAAAAAAATTTTTTGGTCGTATAAAAATTACCTCAGTATATTGAAAATTAACAAAGATCCAAAAATAGGGGGGCTGTTGGTATGGTAGGTATTATCTAAACATGTTCTGTGATTTTTGAGAAAATAAGATTTTAATTCATATTTTAACATCATCAATGAAATAACGAGAGCCATGTGACTTCAAGAGATTTTGAAGAGTTGTCAATCTTTTGCATTATATGTCTCGAATGCAGCATATATGCATTTGAGGATTACAGATATTGTTTACTAAATTTGAAAACATCACGAAATACAACTTGGAACGTTTATTAGGATAATTGAATTGGTTTTAACAATTTTGTTCACAAAATAAAAATAAACTGCTTCGCTGAGCGCAGCTAGATACGCCCGCAGAGGTCCAACCCTGAACAGTTTGGGCAAAAATGGACACAATATTCAAGCTTCATTCAGGTCTGAATTTGGATTGTAATTAAATATTTGACATATTATAGGTTTCTGAATAAATGTAGTCAAAGATCTTGAAATTGGTTATATGAATTGAATTTATATTCAATTAAAGATTTCTTGCTGTTGTGTAATACTTAGTAAATCTGTTGCCAGACTATGAACAAATAAAGTTCAATTAATTCTCAATGTCATATTAGAAATTTTTGAAAATAAAAAGGGAGCTTACATCAATAGATATAAACAATTCACCAAAGTTTCATGAGAATTGGTGACAGCATTTTTGAGTTATTGGCTGAAAACTGGAAAATCACCCCTTTTTTTAATGAATAAAAAGCCATAACTCAGAAATGTAAAATGTAAAATTTATAAAATTCGAAAGGGAGCTTACATCAATACATACAAACAATTCACCAAAGTTTCATTTGAATTGCTGAAAGCATTTTTGAGATTTTGTCCGAAAAACTGGAAAATTCCCCCTTTTTTTATGAATAAAACCCTGTAACTCGGAAACGTTAAATCTAAAATTTATAAAAATCGAAAGGGAGCTCATGTCAATAGATATAAACAATTCACCACAATTTCTTGCAAGTTGGTGAAAGCATTCTTGACTTATTGTCCAAAAACTGGAAAATCCCCCTTTTTTTAATGAATAAAACCCCATAACTCAGAAACGTAAAATCTCAATTTTATAAAAATCGAAAGGGAGCTCACGTCAATAGATATAAACAATTCACCAAAGTTTTTTGCAAATTGGTTAAAGCATTTTTGAGTTAATGTCCGACATGTTGACGACGGACAGACGGACGGACAGACGGACAACGGTATACCATAATACGTCCCGTAAACGGGCGTATAATAATCAAAAATGAATATTTTTTTCTTTGTTTCCTTGCTTTGATACTAATACTTTGTCAGGGATTTGGGAGGCCTTTAATAGAAATTTTTTTTTTACAGAATTAAATATCCATAACATTGCATAAGTTGAAACAATACTCCCCCTAAAAATGTAAAGTAGCACTTGTTAGTTTTCAGACATTTCCACTCATTGAAGTACCAGGCAATAGTACTAAAATTAGAAAATTTCTTTAATATTTGCAATTTTTAGAGAAACCTGCAAGCATAAGTTTAGTTTGGCTGGTGGCAATTTCTATGGAAAACGCTGTAATTTGTTTAAACATTTAAAATATGTTCTCTTTGTTATCATTATAAATGCTTTTAGCATTTCCAGCAGGAAAATCAAATTTCTTTATTAAACTGTCATGACTGTCACAAATTAAAATGTCGATTAATATGTTTGGGGATTTTTGATTCAATGATTCAATGATTGAATAGAATAAACAGTCATGGGAATATATTAAACGGGGATTTAAAAAATTATCTGTCTTCCAGAAACCCGTTCCTGCATGATTACCATTCCATCCATTGCTCCCAATGCAATGAAGCAACAAGATTGTACACGCTGAAATGTCTCGCCTACTATACTGACCATTGATTTTATGTTGATAGTCCTACACATATAAAGTTTTACTACAAGTATCACATTAACATTTATGATCCAAGAAAATGAGGTCAAGGTCAGATAAACCAAGCCGGAAATACATGTACATCTTAATACAATCATTCCACACACAGAATATAGATGACCTATTGCTTATAGTATAAAAGAAACAGACAAAGCCATGGGAATTCTATATTGACCAATGAACCATGAAAATGAAGTCAAGGTCAGATGAATCTGCTAGACAGACATGTACACCTTAAAATCTTTCCATGGATCAAATGTAGTTGACCTATTGCTTATAGTATTTCAGAAACAAAGTTAACCAGGAAAACTGAACATTGACCAATGAACCATGATAATTAGGTGAAGGTCATATGATACCAGTCAGACAGACATATACACCTTACAATCATTCCATACACCAAATATAGTTGACCTATTGCTTAAAGTTTAAGAAAAACAGACCAAAAAACAAAAACTTAACATAAGCAATGAACCATGAAAATGTGGTCAAGGTCAAATAAAACCTGCCAGACTGACATGTACATCATAAAATATTTCCGTACACCAAATATAGTTCACCTACTGCATACAGTATTAGAAAAACAGACAAAAACACGAAAAATAAACTATCACCACTGAACCATGAAAATGAGGTCAAGGTCAGATGACACCTGCCAGTTGGATATGTACACTTTACAATCATTACATACCCCAAATATAGTAGACCTATTGCTTATAGTATCTGAGAGTCAGATATGGACTTGACCATGAAAACTTAAACCTTGCTCACTGATCCATGAAATGAGGTCAAGGTCAAGTGAAAACTGTCCGACAGGCATGAGGACCTTGCAAGGTACGCACATACCAAATATAGTTATCCCATTACTCATAACAAGAGAGAAATTAACATTCCAAAAAATCTTAACTTTTTTTCAAGTTGCCACTGCACCATGAAAATGAGGTCAAGGACAATGGACATATGACAGACGGAAACTTCAAACCAATTAACCATAAGGCATCTACACGTATATACAAAGTATGAAGCATCCAGGTCTTCTACCTTCTGAAATATTAAGCTTAAAAGAAGTTAGTTAACGCCGCTGCCGGATCACTATCCCAATGTCAAGCTTTCTGCGACCAAAAGTCGCAGGCCCGCCAAAAATGAATTCATTTAAGTAGAATAAAGTTGTCTTTTTTCATGAAACAATGTTAAGACCATAAACACACATGATAAATATAAAATCTACCACTGCCTAGACTCTCAGTCTCCCATGTCATACGATATTTCTCCACATGAGGCTTGCCAAGCTTGTTACAACATCTAAAATCTAACTGTAGAGAGTGGAAAAAATATCATTTTGTGTGAGATTTGGTGGTTGATTCTGTTTCTCTAATGATCAATAGACGAAATGTAGACAAATTCAATCGTTTTCCAATGATCTGCAAAAAGAGGTTTCGAATCCTGCTGGGGCAAGAACAAAAATTTGTGTTTTTCAGATCTAACATTGTTGGGCTAAATTTGAGATGAATTGTCTAATATTTTGGGGTTATCCCTGTACAACCATAGGTTATCCCATGGAGAATATCTGTTATAAAGTTGCCTAGAAAATCAACCTAACAATATTCATGATATTAGAGTAGATCTGATTCTTTACTTCCTACCCGACCGGGGCTGGAACCTGTACTTTTCAATTCATACTTCTACGGCAACACCGCCTAGCATTGCACAGACACCTTATATCCCCTCCTCTAACTATAGCTCATAAAAATCAGCTTTCGTTTCGAATTGTTAGGAATTAAACATGGAATTCTAAACGCAATACACAAAGTATTTTTAAGTGTACAGGAATGATAATCTACTCTTCTCTTCAGTATAATTACAGGATGCTATTCTATTTTAAGAAGCATACAATGTGTGGAATATATATATATAAGTCCATGGTATCATCAATTTAATTCATGTTAACTTATATAGATCTACAAATCAATTAATCTAACACAATGTCAATGAGCATGATGAGTGTGCCAGGAGTGAATCACTTTGGGTTTGCTCCATTGTGAGTAGTGGGACGAAATAGTTACCCTGTCAGGAGAGTAGAAGACATCGAACTATGGTGTCTCAGTAAGAGTTTGTTGTAGAGTTTACTGTAAAGTATTCCCTGTTCATGCTGTTAGTCTGGAACTTATCCCCAATTTGGAACCTATGTGTTAACTTCTGGCAATGAGTACTTTTTGCAGATAAAATACAATCCTTGAAGAAGATACCTGTCTAAGTTGTCTGCCTGAGATCTGCCATACCCAGATACAAGGATTTGATTTTGATTTTTTGGTGTTTTAACGCCACTTTTAAGCACCGCTTTTGGGCTATTTCGTGGCGGCCAGTTTTTATTGGTGGAGGAAGCCAGAGTGCCCAGAGAAAACCACTGATCTTCGATAGGAAAACTGACAATCCTAGTCAATTAAGATTGGAGTTGAGTGCACCCACACGAGCGGGGTTCGAAACTCACAACCTCAGTGTTGACTGGCTAGTGATTACAGTAGTAACTACTTAGACCATCTGGGCCACCGAGGCCCCCAGATACAAGGAAACTTAAGTTAAGGTACATAAGTTTAGTATAGTCATGATAGTAAAAAATACTACAATCAGATTGACCTCGTAATTCATTGTAAAAATTGCAAATTGTTCTCTTATGTCAATTATTTAAAATCTCAGCCGTAACATCATACATACATGACATAGATCATTATACCCTCCCAATACACCAATCTTGAGTTTTTTTTTATCTATGAAATATTCAGGTTGACCTAAGCTTAATCTGGGTAAACAATGTCATTGAACAATCAGTTTTTACTACAACGAGAAGATATGTTGCATCAAATATCAAAAGAGGTTGAGATCAGAAACCTGAACTTAGCTACTTTGTTAACCAGACTAGACGACGAGTCCGACTCAACATCGAAGAGACGAAAGCCAAACTACAAACAGTGGCCACGGTGGCACATTACATTGACAGAACTGGCAGATTTGATACTGCTGTTCCTCAATCCCAATCTTAACCAGTGCAGCACAGAGAAGAAACTAGGTTTAGCAAAATGCACGAAAGAGAAAATCGGCACATTGAGACGATTTGTGCCAACAGGCCTTAGGATTGAGGATTGAGGATACATCGCAATAACATTAGCATTGTGACATAGGAAATTTATGGGAAGTGCACTAATATTCGAAGGTGGTATATACTATATATATGCTCAAAAGAAAAAAATCAAGGGGGTATCTATATAGTTATAACTGTATAAACTGTAACTATCATTGAGTACTCAGTATCTAAATATCAATGCTGATTGATTATGAAATAAAAGAACGTCTAATGAAATTTCAGTTAAATCTCATTTAAGCATTTATCGTATTACCTGATTAAATACATGCAGTCTTCGGTGCAATGGTATTCCTGTGGGTTCCTGTGGCTCCCAAAAATTATTGAACTTCTCAGCAGCTTGTAGTTACACCGAAATATCGTACATTTTTTCCGCAATGTCATTAAAAAAAAAAGAATTCTTGAATACTATTTTTTTCAAATAGAAATCTAGATGATATGTGGAACATTTTAAGAATTCAAAGTTTTTTTTCTCTAAATTCGAAACAAAATTCGAAACAAATAATGGCGACCTCCATGAAAATATTTTTTCTACACAAATTGTGTTTAAAAAAGGGACAGAGACTTCAACATTGAGAAATAAAATGGATACATAGTGCCTCAAAACTTCATTTAAGTAGGTCATTTTCTTTGACACTTGTTCTTTCCAAGAACATCGTGCACAAATAAGACAAAAAATGGTCTGTTTTGCAGCCGGCACGATCAGTCAGGATCAGGCAAGCTCAGTTTGAAGCTGTAACAAGCCCACTGGATATTCTGTAAATACCACCTTTATAAGGACAACCACCATGAGATATGGTGTTAAGAAGGATTTTGAGGGTGGCACTATATGATGCAGATGTGAATCAAGAATTTTGAAAAAAGGGGGGCCTGCAAAGAATGCAACGTTTGGAGGGTCTTGTAAAAAGTCTATGCATTGAACATATATGTAGCTACATTAAGGGTGAGGTTGGGGTGGTAACAAGACACACATTACCGGGGGACATTAAAACGATGTAGAAATACTGGGCGTTCCTTCTGTTCGTCCGTTCCTATTACTGAGTGTTAGCGCTCTCATATTTACAATTCTTGCCAGATTTTATAAAACTTATATCATAGGTTTGTATCAGCAATGTCTCGGACAAGTTCAAAAATCAGTGTAAATCACTGTTATGCCCCGTTGAAATATTATTTATATGGAAAATTGCATTGTTAGCGCTCTCATCATGCTCATGTGTACATTTTTGACAGGTTTTTTAAAAATTTATATCAAAGGTTTATATAAGCAATGTCTCGGACATGTTCAAAACTCAGTGCTGATCAACTATTTTTTAAAGAGTTATGCCCCTTGGAAATATTATTTATATGGAAATTTCATTGTTAGCGCTCTCATGTGTACAAAACTTGCCAGATTTTTATGAAACTTATATCACAGGTTTATCATGTTTATATCAGGAATGTCCTGGACAAGTTGGAAAATCATAGCCGATCAATTATTTTTAAAAGAGGTTTGCCCTTTGAAATATTTATTATATATATATGGAAAATTGCAATTGTGTGTTCACTGAGTCTGATTCCAGTATTATACACACCCCTATATAGCTACTGGAAGTTCACCATTTTCTATATGTTTGGTTGTAAAATAAAGACACATGTTATGCTTTTAGTTAATTTTGTTGCATTCTGTTAAGAGTTTGTTGCATTTTTAGCTGTAGTGGATACTTCTAATGGAAATTCAGATGACAGAAGTAATTTTGTTGCATTCTCTTAAGAGAATTTGTTGCATTTTTAGTTGTTGTGGATACTTCTAATGAAAATTCAGAAATGGAAATAAAAGTTCTAGGGTCAGGGGTTTAAACTAGGGACAGTTGGGTAACTGGAACCACACATATATTTTTTATTTGGCCTAATAGAGTTATGCCCCTTTGATATATTACTTATATTGGAAATATCATTGTATTTCCTCTCAAGCCTTCATTTCTCTAAATTGATTTATCATGTTTATAAAAAAAAAATTAAAGAAGAAAAAAAAGTAGTTATTGCCCTTGGATAGATGAAATATGCACTCTGCGGGGGACATTGAAATCAGTTCTTTCATTGAAAGAGTCATGCCCCTTGGCAATGTTAATTTATATTGGAAATTGCATTGCATTTGCTCTCAAGCTTTCATTACTGTAAGATATTAATAACAATATTAAAGTTGTTTTTTTAGTTATTGCCCTAGGCCTTAGACAGATAAAATATGTACAAAGTGGGGTACATTGGAACTCTGTTTAATCATAATAATTTTTTCGTAGTGAAGATCTAAAGAGCACAGCTTGTGTTTGTAGATCTTAAGATGATGATTGTCAACATGATTGTGTGATCTAAAAAATTTAAAGAAAACAAATACCTGTAAAAGATAATATTGTCATTAACATTTCAATTGTTAAGCAATATTGAGTAAAATCCAGTACCAATAAAACTACTAAGCCTCAAAAACCCTTTGTATAATTATAAAGGCAATAATTAATATGGTCTGAGAGCTATATGTGGAAAAAAGATTAGGTCTGTTTTGTCATCATGAGGTGCGTATTTGTCTTGATACAGCAATGTCTTTCTCTGGAGACTAAATATCAGCTGTTTTAAATCATGATGTAATTTCATTTTAAATTGTTGTATGCATATAAGTTATAAAGATAGATAATTTTGGTCACAATGAATCTGATTATATCATGAAAAATTACTCTGCATTTATCTGAGAGTGCTGCCTTTTATTTATAGATAACATTGTATGATGTATCCGAGAGCATTCTACTCTAGTGTACCGACTGAGGGTCCATTCTTAACTATAACTATTAAGTATAATATAATCTATTAATAGATGAGGGAGGATTGCCTCCCCTGATTTATTGTGAGACAAAATGATGTATAAATTATTGTTATATGTCATGTATGTGAAAACCAATTTTTATTCTATCCATCTCATATATATGGGAAAGGATTTAAATAGTCTGAGCTTTTATCCAATCCCTTTGTTTAAATATAATTGATTTGAACAATAGCTGTGTAAGATTTGAAGACATCCTATACAGGGTCATGTCTGGATGACCTTCTATGCAAATTTTAATCAACCAATTGTTGCCAATCAGACGCTGATACTGTGATTACAATTTTTCCTGCAAACATAGGGGAAAACTTTTGGTCAAAATTTCACCGTTCACTGCTATGATGATTAAAAAACAACGCCATGGCAAAAAAACAGAAAAAGCCAGAAAGACAAACAATTCCATAAAAGACTACTAACTGTCATATATCAACTTAAGATTTCTAACTATAACGTGAATAAAACAATGAAGCTAAGATAAGATTAAATGGTAATTGAACATGACCCCTTATGGGATGTCTCCAGATCTTACACAAGCATCAAACAAATATAACAAGCAAAGTGAAGGATCTGATCTTTAAATACTTAATGAGATTTTTGAAGTTTTTTTCTTCAGGGCTCTCATTAGGATATTTTGAGGGTGTTGCCTGTGACTCATCACTTTTTGAAATGGTGAGTCCCAGCTAATTTTGATGAGTCCATAGTCCTGTTACTCAAATAGTTCCTATCTGAACCTTCCTGTTTAGCTAAGTGGACTTCCTCTTATTGAAGGATCTGTTATAAAACTGTATTAGTCAGATTAATATAGTACATGTATGTATTTATAATACTTACATCAAAGTTTTTGTACTCCAAACACATACATGATACAGTATAGGTTTTTCTCATCGTTAAAGTCCATTAGATGACCTATAATTGTATTCATCCTTGCCCTCTGGTGTTTACATTCTTTTACTATTGGGATCAGTTTTCCAGAGAACTTAAATATTTTAGCTTTGAGTTTTTGAGAATATGCAATAAAAAAGTAGAAACCAGTATACACTTTTAACGTGTGATATATATATATATAAGTTCATTTACATTTACCTTCCTTGTATTTGCAGATCTATAGAATATGTATTCTGTATATAAACAGACGCACCCACCAACAGGCATAGAACATTGTGTCTACTGTAATTTCTTCAACACATCGGAGAGAAACTTAGTTATAGCTGCTGTCAATCAACTTCATGTTTATAGACTTAACCCAGATACTGAGGTTTGTACCAGACATTGTTAGGTGGGAGTGTAGTAAAACATTCATTGTTAATACATTAGAACAGAACTTAGTTATAGCAGCTGTCAATCAACTTCATATTTATAGACTTTACCCAGATACCATGACAAAATTTGAAAAATTCAAACAAGAAAACTAAAGGCCTGGAGTCGATTTCACAAAGAAACTTACGACTAAGATTGGTCGTAAGTATACTGAATTGTTCATGACTTACGATTAATCTTAGTCGTAAGTTTTTTTGTGAAACAGACTGCTGATTTATGATAAAACGAAAAGTAAATATAATATATAGCAAAGAATGGCTACCATGAAGTAAAACATTTAATGTTAACAACTATTGTTAGACCATTTGTCATGTTGTTTTGTTATTCATCACTTAGAACTATTCTCTCAAACTGAAATGAATTAGTAGTAAGTACCATTAGAATTCATTTTATGAAGTCGTTTTGATACAACAAAAAAAGTACAACACTGTAGTAGGAGTTACCAACAATATTGAAACACACGGAACACAAACAACTGACTCCTTTCATGCCTTTGAGAAACGAATGTACAAACAAAGCAAAATAACAACACATCGTCCTGATAAATTGACTTGGTACAAGCACAAAATGTGTTGGGTAAACCAATTTAATCTTCCAAGTTATAGTTTTTACATTTGAAGTTGATATTTTTCAGGATGATACTGGAAAGAATGTTTCAGAACAAAATCAGGGTAGGTATATCAATTATTGCATGTATTGAATCATATAAGTTAGATAAAGAGTAGATATACATGTATTGAGAGAAAAAAAAATGTAACCACATTCTTATCCTTATATTTGCCATTTGTTTTTATACAACCAATGAACTAGCAGATCAGTTTAGGTATCTCCTGAGTCTTACTCTAACAATATTTGTTTAGTTTGGAAGCTGTTTCCAAATTGGAATTTCCTGTATATTTGTTTTTTAAACATTTTAAGATGGGAAGTGTTATTTTTCTGTAAAGATATTTAGCTCCAAATATAAAGTATAATGGCTCAAATACGTTGAAAATTCTTCATACAAAGCAGACATGTTTTAGGTGTTGTAAGTACAACAACTATTTTAAGAATCAGCTGGATAATTTAAAAAAAAAAATAAGTTCTTTAAACATGTTGAAATTTCTTTTTAAAAAATGAAATGAGATTGAAACTGAATTTAAAATACTACACAATAAATGTTGATGAAAGTAATTTTGTAAAGAAAAGAAGGTATGGTACAATTGTCAATTAAGTCTTGCCTATGAAGTTATACATTTCTTTTAAATCTATTTATAGAGACAAGAAAAAAACAGAAACTGGAATGCTTGGCTACTTTCAGTTTGTTTGGTAACATTATGTCTCTACAGTTTGTCAAGTTACCAGGAGCAAACAGGGATGCACTTCTACTAAGTTTTTCTGACGCAAAGGTAAATATAGTAGTTTATTATATGACAATATAATTTCTCTTTTCTCATCGGCTAAAAGCATATGGAATAATCTTGATAAAACATTATATTTACCACAGGAATAATCATGAGAGTTTAAAATAAGATTTGGGACAGCTGACATGTACCTAAATAGTTATTTTCCTAAGCGACCTCAATGACATAGTTTTATGACATCATGCAAATTCTCGTTTTTCATCTTTTTTCGGTGTTAAATTTATTTAAGTAAATTTTATTGAATGTTTCAAATTATAAAAGTTAGCAACTGAAAAAGCAGAAAATATACATGTATTTAGTATAAAAACAAGGAGCAGTTGAATATTTTGAGAAAATACTAGAAAATTGGACACAGATAAAAAAAAGTAATATACTAAAACAACTGATGACTTTTGATATCAGTTGATACAATGATTTATCATCCCCTGAGATATGACATTCACCCTCGGCCATTGGCCTAATGGTATATCATCTGGGGATGATAAATCATTGTATGAACCTCATCAAAAAACAATAATTGTATAATGTGAAATTACCTGTAGCGAACAGGGATGCACTTCTCTTAATTTTAGAATTAGCAAACCATGCTTGTATTCAGTTCAGCCTCTTTTTTTGAAAATATTATTGTCTTGTGAAGATGCAATTCAATTAAATATAATTTTATGTTGTTATAGGTGAGTTTTAATTTGGTCATACTTTATTTTCAGTTATCGGTGATTGAACTTTATTCATCCAATCATTTTCTCTTTCAGTTATCAGTAGTGGAGTATGACCCTAGTACACATGATCTACAAACAACATCACTACATTATTTTGAGGAACCTGCTCTGAAGGTAATTCTAAAGACCATTACAATTATTTGTCTTGAATACAATTTTTTAATCCACTATATTTTAAAATTATATCCCAATCAATTAACGTGGGATTATAAAGATTGGTTTTACTAACATCTATCTTTAATAATTTGTTCTAGCCTGATAAATGGATTAGAACGAAAGTCATCACACAAAACGATACTCTATAGTCCCTTATGTAATTTTTATCAGAGAATTTTTTGATGTCTCAGAAAAAAAGGATGTAGTTAGCAGTTTGTTTTTAATATGATTTATTTCTTCACCATTATGCATTGTATCAGTCCTTCTCTTAAAACAACTTTGGGTAATTTTTACAAAAATCAAGTAATATGTTTACTTAAGACTCCTAGTTGGTTTTTAAGAGTTGTTATATAAAAAAAAAGTAGCTCGCAGAAAGGGTCTCAGTACAGAGATTAAGATTAAAGTGTTACCTTATTGAGGGTATGTTATTTCCATGGTTACAATATAAAAATGTTATGAGGGTTAACGACTTGAGTCATAACTTTTGGAATGGAATTACTTTTGATCAGACTCCGGTCTTTCAGGAAAGGAACATCCCAAGTTGTTTTATATCTGCACTAATATTACATGCTTAGATTTGGTTACATAATGGCAAAAAAAATGGATACAAAAACACATGTTAATGTTTGTTTTCTGTTTTCTTCCATCAGGATGGATTTGCAGTCACTTACAGCATTCCTGAAATCCGAGTAGATCCCGACGGACGATGTGCAGCAATGTTAATTTATGGAACAAGACTTGTTATTCTGCCATTCCGTCGAGATGCTGTCATAGAGGACTCGGATATCTCTGGAGGAGGGAAATCACCTATTATGTCATCATATATCATAGATCTCAAAAGTTTTGATGAAAAGATCACCAATGTTAAAGATTTTCAGTTTCTGCATGGTTATTATGAACCAACTGTATTTATGTTATACGAACCTTTCCAGACTTGGGCTGGGTATGTACACTAGCACAGTTAACTTATTATACTATAAACCTTCCCAGACTTGGGCTGGGTATGTACACTAGCGCAGTTAACTTATTATACTATAAATCTTTCCAGACTTGGGCTGGGTATGTACGCTAGCACATTTTTTGTTTTGACGTCACTTATACACTGTTCCTTAAGCTAGGAGAAGAAATTAAAAGTTTATAGAAGTTGTGTTACACACTTTTTTTAGTGCACCCTAGTCTTTTTACTGATGGTGTGGTCTATTATGAAAATAAGGAGATGAGGTATGATTGCCAATGAGACAACTATCCACCGAAGTTCAAATAAAGTGGATTTAAGCAATTACTGTTAATTCAGAAATTATTGTGTGCATTTATTATTGCGATTTTTCAAGAATGGACAAAAATGCGAGTTTTATTATTGCGATTTCGAAAAAAAGTGCATACAGGTCTATATTTCAGTTATCAGAATGCGAGTTCTTATTATTGCGATACTCACCCAGTCGCATTAATAAAAACATCACAATAATTTCTGAATTTACAGTATTGGCAACTTTACGGCCTTCAACAATTGAGAAAAACCCATACCGTATAGTCTGCTATAAAAGGCCCCAACATGAAAAATATGAAACAATTAAATTGAGAAAACTAACGGTCTATTATGGTATAGTTACTAATTAATCGTTATGTTTTTAATTTGATGTCATTTGTATTTTTAGGAGGACAGCAGTGAGAGCAGACACGTGCTGTATTGCTGCTATTTCTCTGAATATTCAGGAGCGAGTCAATCCTGTTATCTGGTCTATGAACAATCTGCCATTTGATTGTTGTAAAGTAATGGCAGTACCTAAACCTATTGGTAAGTTAACATGGTAACAGTGTTACAAGTTATATACAGTAAGTTCACACATCGTTGTCAATATAATGGAACTGTCATACAAGTGAGAGGTTTAGCTAGCTATAAAACCAGGTTTAATCCACCATTTTCTACATAAGAAAATGCCTGTACCAAGTCAGAAATATGACAGATATCCATTCGGTTGATGTGTTTGAGCTTTTGATTTTGCCATTTGCTTAGGGACTTTCCGTTTAGAATTTTCCTCAAAGTTGGGTATTTTTGTTATTTTACTTTTTACACTTCAGAAAAAATTGCACTAGCATTGGCTTTTGATTCCACTATGTCATCGTGGTCATGTCAATAAAACAGGGAGGAAATTTTAAAAGTTAAATTGGAATAATGTTGGTAATATTTGGTACATTGCCCTATACTATTCTTAAAAAATTTGAAAACATGGCATAATTATTGAAGCTAAAAGAATTCTCATTTTTTTTAAATGGCTGTAAGATTTTGAAATCTGAACAGTTCTCAATATGTACCAAGTTGAAAACTGTTCAAACATTTTGTTCAAGGTTGCATATAAAACTTTTTTTGTATTTGAATTCCAGATGAGTCAATCATCATGATTTCTATAGAATTTATTAATTGTAAATATTTTAGGTGGTGTTATGGTAGTGGCAGTTAATTCATTGTTATATCTAAATCAGAGTGTGCCACCTTATGGTGTAGCCCTCAACAGTATCGCATCATCCAGTACATTGTTTCCATTGAGTAAGTAATTATATCTTATATTGGGGTTTTTTTTCGTGTCGGCTTTTTTTTTGCGATTTGATGACAAAATGGGCAGGTTAACTTTTCACTGTGTATAATTTTCGCTAAATGGGAAAATACACGCCAAAAAATCACCGTATTGAATTGTGAAAGATGTAAACAACATAAACTTGATTGACTGACAGAGAATCGATAACAAATAAATACTTGTACTACAAACTAAATAACAGGTAATGTTTGGGTTATGACAACACTCCATTGATCTTCGCTAATTACCGTAACGTTTTTGAACATGTCACTGATTGCTGTGTTGTCAAAAAGGGATGACATGAATGATTAGTCAATTTGATTATTATGAAAACATAGATCTAAATTAATGATGCACACTTTTGTGATCTGCCGATCAACATGAAAGACTGATTTTAAAAATAATGTATTTTCACCTTTAGGGTGAAATGAGTTTGCATATCAGTTTCGTGTAAACTTGACAATTAATAGTATAATGTATGAAATGTTACTACAGCGATAAAGTTAGGAATATGCAGGGAAATTTACGCAGAGTCAAATTTTTGCCTTACTGTAGGTGCCGCGAATATAGAAAAAAATTAACACACGCGATATAAAACCCGATATACAGTATTTCATTGTTTGTCACTCTTATCAACAGAATCTTCATACTTTTATTTATTAAAAGCTGACACTCAGATTTATGTATACTACAAATTAGATAGTCTTTTTTATAACTGTAAAAAAAACTTATTATTGGCATACACCTGAAATTATTTCATATTTTCATCCTGACAATAGATATTTGTTTGACTTTTGATCGTACTAATTATAATTAAAATTAGATTACAAATATTGTTTTAGCTAATAATCCTAGGTTAAAAAAGTGCAGCAAAATTTAATGAGAAAGTCAGTATTTATGAGGTGTAATTGGAAGTCCCAAAACCATGGAAACTTCTAAACTTATCATATTTATTGTGTTTCAATTTCTGATGTTTATACTTTTGTGATCACTGAAATAATTATTTTGATGTATACATATTGTCATTTTTCCCAGGAACACAAGAAGGCATCAGAATAGCCTTAGATTGTTCACAGGCAGCTTTTATGACCAATGATAGACTAGTTCTATCTCTCAAAGGAGGAGAGCTGTAAGTAGTATATAACTCCATAGAAAAGCTGAGATTCACAATCCCAGCCCTCAGCTTGCCCCATTTGAATAGATATGACAAAGTACATGTTTGTTATGGAAAACTAGAAAAAATAAATTAGTCAGATCAGAAAAGTAAATAGGAAATAAGCGTAAGTAAAGGTATCATCATTTTGAATCCAAGACCGGATAGGGTAGATAATATAAATAAGAAGATGTGGTATGAGTGCCAATGAGACAACTATCCATCTAAGTCACAATGTGTAAAAAGTAAATAATTATAGGTCAAAGTACGGCCTTCAACACGGAGCCTTGGATCACAACGAACAGCAAGCTATAAAGGGCCCCAAAATGACTAGTGTAATTCAATTCAAACAGGAAAACCAACGATCTAATCTATATAAAAAAAAGAAACAAGAAACACTTATGAACCACACCAACAAACGATAACCACTGAACAACGGGCTCCTGACTTAGGACAGTATGAAATATAATTTACATTAAATGCCTTCTGAAAGACAGCGTAGGTCTCAGTGTCTTCCCTAGAAAATTTTTCATGCATGGTGGTTCCATGGTGAATTTCCAAGCGGCGCACGACGCTTCTTTTTCAGAATTAGTTACACTACATAATTTATGTAAACGGACAGAAAGTCACAAATTTGATAGGACAAAAAGTCACAAATAATTTGTCAACAATTGTTTGAATATATAAGAGAAAGATCTTGAAATATTTTCTTTTTATAACATATATTCATTCTAAAGTTTAAGAAATTGTTCATTAGTCTTGATAAATGAAAATTTATTAAATTTTAATCATGCAAAGGATAAATTTCTTGGCACCATGAAGCCATTGAAGTACCAAGCCACTTTGACATTTTGTTTTCTCAACAATTATTAGATCATTACTAATATTTATTAAATAAATTTTAATTACAAAGTTTCTTTTTATATAATTTATCAAGAAAAATACAAAAATGTTTATTTAAAATAAGTATTTTCTTATTCAAAGAAAAATAATCTCAAAACTGAATAGTGACTTTTTGTCCTGTGACTTTTTGTCCGTGACTTTTTGTCCTGTGACTTTCTGTCCTACATTCATAATTTATATGTTTAAAGCCATATACCAATCTAATTGTTTTATTATAGGTACAGCAATTCATATAAGTCATGGAACTTTAAAGTATTTATTACAGATGAGAGGAATTAATGAAAGACCTTAAAAACAATAATAAAAATAATCAGTCTGCAATAGTTATTTACAAATTAATGTCATGTACACATTATTTTGTTGATATCTTCCTCTGTTTCAACTTTCCAAAGGTCACCACACTTTTTTCAAAATCAAAATCTTCCTCCTTTGGTCCTTCAATTGATATATGCATTAAGCACTTTTTGGCATAGTCTGTTTCTCAAAAGTGTTTAAACTCTGTTTAAACATGAAAAACACCTTTCACAATCATCTGTTGAAACTGGCAAAATCAGACCAATTGCTGCATACTTAGACAGACAAGGATACAAAGTTCCAAGACTGGCCACTTTGTTCATTGTCTGCCTAAATGTCATGTCTTTACATTCTTTCACTAACAGTGTCCTCAGTTTGCTGGTAGAATGGTTTCAGCATCAACAGCAAGTTGTTAAATAAAACTTTGAATGTCATCATTGCTTCACAGAAATTTTACAGGAAACAATAAAAAAAAAATTAATTGCGTTAATTACAGAAGTCGTTTATGAAGAATACCTGACATACGGACATACGGATGACATATTTGGCAATTACCTGTTTGGAAGCTAAGCTGACATTTTATTTCATGACAATTAACTGTTTTTCTTAAATACATCCCTGTGCGATTTATTTATAACGCTCCATAATTGTAAAAATCCTATCTTGCCGAAGTGAAAGAAATTTAGCCCCACTTGTGTAAAAAACGGCAAATGAATGCGCTACACTTAAGCTCCATGTGACCCATTGAAATAAAAATAGAACAACACAAGTTTATTAAAAACTATATTTCCGTAAATAACTACGTATATTTTGAAAGTTTTTCTATCAAATTTTTTAAATATTTCAGAAGACAGTCTTTTTCTCGGCCCGGTGGCGGTGATGTGTATTCTTTGATATAATCAATCAACCGCGACTAATCTAAAAATAACTGATTGTTGTGACCAATCTGGCAATCAAAAAATAACTCATCGATGTAAATATAGCTGATGAAAAAACTACGAAACTTTATTTAAAAAAAAGTTGTGTCCATCCTCGGTGAAATTACGTTAGTTTTATTTTATAATACCAGAGACTATACCAAAATTTAAATTTCTACTTTTAAAGATCACAGTAAAATAACGATGTCAAACAACGGGGGCCGTTTTAAGGTGAAATTTATTCTGGAAAAGGTTAAACTATTTATTTAGCACAGAAAGATATGCATTGGAGATTAATCTGACTATTTATTTATCAGCTAACTGGCAACTTCTATTATGTAACCGAAGTCTCGATGCATAACCAACTAATCAAGACGGTTGTAAAATCCTGGAACGCGCGACGTGATGCATCCAATTATGATTCGGATGAGTTTAAAACACCTGTGGAGTGTTGTCACTTGTCACTTCACTTTCAAAATATCAACAATAAATATTTTACACAGTTATAATTTTCACACATAGCGGGATGCATTGCGGCAATGATGAAAGCATGGCGATCGAAATTTATACGTAGCGGTACCGCAATGCTTGAATAGCCTAGGGAAAACACTGGGTTTGCTATAATAACTATAAATGATAAAGACATGTGTATTTGTTTGTGATATGAGTGGATGGAATCAAAATCAGCTGACAATAAGTTTTCTCAAATTTTATGCTGGAATTAGTTCTTGATGAGGAAGTTACTGTTTTTTGCTTTGCTTTATTTCTTTAGATATGTCCTTACATTAGTGGTTGATGGCATGAGAAGTGTTAGAAGTTTCCACTTTGACAAATCAGCAGCTAGCGTCCTTACTACATGTGTAAGTATCATTTGACAATATCAATTTTAAAAGATCAGATTACCTTTTTAACACATAATTTCTCTTCAAGATGCTTGCAGCCAATAATATCAAACAAAAAAATAGGCCTCAAGAAAGGTTTAATCTGGCTTAAGATTCAGAGTCAACTCTTTATTTCCAAATCAGCAACATTAAGATTATGGGATCTTATTTTATCATTTATATCCACATGGAACCTTATACTTTATATAAATCTTCATCAGTCAGTTATTTAAATGAACTTGCAGATGATAATTGTTTTCCATGAAATGAAGATATATTACCAAATGAATAAAAAATGTAATGTGAAAGACAGACATAAAATATTTAGATTTTGCTATAGTTGGATTTGTCAGGCACTTGTTTTGATAATTCTGTTTATATACTTAAGATGTGTATATGTGAGGAAGGGTTTTTATTCCTTGGATCAAGACTTGGCAATTCTCTATTGCTCAAATATACAGAGAAGGCCCAGGATCAGATAGAATTAAGAGAAGAACCAAAAAAGGTAAAGATATTTATCTACCAAAACTAACAAAATTATACATTCTATAAGAATACTAAATACAATGAAGATTAATACAGTTTTTAAAAAAGAGTCAACAAATTTCTGTAAATTCATTGATATTAATATACTACTGTGGATTCATTTATTTTCGTGGATACCAATTTTCGTGGCTTGATGAAAACTTGCATTTTCGTGGATATTTGATTTCGTGGTTTTTCTAGATTTTGCATACATTCCTATAGAAAATTTGTAATTCGTTGAACATTTAAATTCGTGGTTCCCCTGAACCCATGAAATCCACGAAAATTGGTATCCAACGAATAATAATGAATCCACAGTAATTTTCACGGACTTCGCAGGTAAAGGCAAACTCTCAATAAGTCTGTATACAGAATTTGTAATCATGAAGTTAATGGTTTATCGTCAATCCAGGAAAATTGGTGCCCATGCATATAAATGAATTGACTGTTATATCCTGTACAATAAAAACATCTTTTGATAGAAAATAATTTTTAGAAATAATATACAATATTATAATGATGCTATTATAAGTTTCAGTACTCAAATAGGAAGATTTTTTTACTATGGTAATATTTGTGATTATCTTTGTTATTTATCTCCTGTATCTATATTTATTTCTGTAAATTTTAGGAAGAACCACCAACTAAGAAAAAGAAAGTAACAGAATCGGAAGTCGGTAAGATGTTCATTACAGATGTAGTTTAGTGAAATTGTTTGTAGGTTAATAAAAGAATAGAATATATCTAAGCATTTAGTAACATAGAAGATATTCTCCTCCTTTCCATTCTTCAATATTCATCGTGTCAAAAAAGTAACGGGGGAGAAGATACCAAGGGGTTGATTAAAACCATAAGTCAAAAAAATAAACAAAGAACACAGTGGCCAAAAGAAAAACAACGAAAAGGGAAAATACATTCCACAAAACTCAACACAGAAAACCAAAGATTAAGCAACTTAAAGTTATTATTAAATAACCAATAATGCATTATACACATTTGTATTGCCTAGTAATTTGAATTGTTTCTGATAATAAACTTCATTTGACAAATAATAGATTGAGAAAATCTAATGAAATGAAAACTAATTTGATATGGTCTCTTTAATTTTAAAAGCATCAGATGTATCACAGATTGAAAACTTATACGAGTTAGAAGTTTATGGTAGTGCTGAAAACCCAAAAGGAACAACTATTGCAAGTTACTCTTTTGAGGTAAGAATCATGCAGTTGTTTTATCACAATAAAAAAAAAACAGATACTGTCCATATGATCTAAATATTACATTTTAACATAGTGTAAACAGTAACTTTTTACACATTGTGACTTGGAAGGAGTGTTGTCTCATTGGCACTCATACCACATCTTATTTCCATGGAAATTTTCCTTGGTTATAATTTTTTGGATTGAAATGCATTAACCTTTCATGTGGGGTGGGGGTTAAATTAGTGCATTAAACTTAAAGTTTCTCCTACACATCAATAATGTGGATTTTTACAAACTATTTATGCAAAGGATATTTAAGTGCATTTTACATGATCATGAAACATCTCTTGCTCAAAAAATTTCACATAAAAATTTTTTTTAGGTTAAGCACAGATTTCCCTTTTATCAACTTACTATATTACATGTTTCATCTTCAGGTAGTTGAATTTTTATTTTCAAAATTATAACATGAACAAATTTATTTGAACTGATCACGTTAGCAATCCAAGTGATAAGTTTTCAAAGTAATACCATGAGTAAGGAAAAAAAGTTGATACATAACTTTTGCTGTAGGTATGTGATAACATTTGGAACATAGCACCTTGTGCCAATATTGTGATGGGGGAACCAGCTTTCCTGTCAGAAGAATTCAGTGGAACAGATAATCCAGATATAGAACTGGTTACAACGTCAGGCTACAGCAAGAATGGTGCCCTGTCCGTCCTACAGAGAACAATCAGACCACAGATAGTCACGACCTTTGAACTTCCTGGTTGTATAGACATGTGGACAGTCAAGGGAGAATTACCTGAGGAAGAAGGTGGAAGTAGGGTATGTCAACATGAGTACATTTTTGTACTGTAACTTACCCTGCATATGGGAGTAGGGATGGCCTTTATTGTCAAATGTCAATGGTCTCCGTTTTTGGAGAGCAAGTGTCAAATGAACCCAAAAATTTTATTTTCATCATCACAGCATGTGTTTGAGCTAGACAGAGAAAAATGTTCATTGTTGAATTTTTTTGTGCCCCACCTTATGTCCAATCAACTTGAAACTTAGTACACATGTTCCCTTTGATATGATCTTTCCAATTTTTAATGTCAAATTAGAGTTTTACAATTTCACGGTCCACTGAACATAGAAAATGATAGTGTGAGTGGGGCATCTGTGTACTATGGACACATTCTTGTTTATTGATAATTGTCATGTGGGGTATAAACTGGCACGTCATCCCACCCTTGTAAATGGAAATCTTTATCTGAAATACAGTGATCTTGTGTATGTATCTATTGTTATAGGAATATTCTCAAACTTTATTTAATTAGATGAATTTGCAACTTAAGGGCAAAGAATACCAGATGGACAATGCACAATATATGTGTTATTGTATATGTGTTTATTCATTTTAACAACTGTTTGGTCCATTTATGCCACCATTTAATGAACCTTAAAAAAATGGAAACAAAGAAATTAAGGAAAATTTCCTTATAAGATAAAATTGTTTAATCATCTATAGTAAATTAAAATTAGAGACAAGTAATTTCAACTTTTGGAGATGGAATAAAAGACCTCATTTAGCCTGCGAACAACAAATTTATATTGTAATATAATTGAATGGTGTTTTTAGACGAGTATTGAAGGTGACACAACAAACACAGAACAAGAAGACAAAGATTCTGTCAAAGATGGTCATGCCTTCTTAATCCTCAGTCGTGAAGACTCAAGTATGGTAAGATAACCCTCAGTATTATTTCTTTTTGTTTCTTCTGTAAATATAAAAAATGCAATAAAAGATCTGGCTAATATGGCCAACTTATGTTTGTCAGCCTCTACCTTTGACGAAAATTCCAACGTTTCATCGCTGTGGTGGGATCCAGGGAATTCAAAGACACAATTCGTTCACTTATAAAAAAGGTGCTTTTAATATTTCAATATGTGATAATCTTTGCCCTTTACTTATTAAAACTTGTTGTTTTTCTCCAAAAAGAAGGAGAATAAGGATAAACTGATTACTTGCATCTAAGTCTTAAAAAATGAATTAAAATTGTTTTTTTTTTTTTATAGATTTTACAGACTGGTCAAGAGATTATGGAATTAGATCACAGTGGGTTTAGTACACAGACAGCTACAATCTTTGCTGGAAACATTGGTGACAATAAATATATCATACAAGTGTCTCCATCTGGTGTTAGACTGTTAGAGGGAGGTAAATATACTTTTACATTTTTTGTGATTTTATATAGCATCCTGGTATACAGGGAATTTTGAGAAATACCTTCATGTTTATAGAGATTATATACAGTAGGGTTCATCTGACCTTGACCTAATTTTTATGGTTCATTGGTCAATGTTCAGTTTTCATATTTAGGTCTGTTTCTCAGACGCTACATGCAATAGAATAACTATTTGGTGTATGGTGTGATTTTGAGGTGTACATGTCTGTCTGGTGGGAATCCTTTGACCTTGACCTCATTTACATGGATCATTGATAATGTTAAGTTTAAGTGATTCTTGTAGCAAAAACTTCATATTACAGACTTTCAAAATAGTTCAATCATATGATAAGTAAAGCAGGTGAGACATTTGAGAATGTACACTTTTGTCATACATTACTGTAAAGTTTATGTAATATCTGTAGTAATACCTTTATCTCAAAGACTTTCAACATAAATTAAATCATGATCAGTAGAGCAGGCAAGACATTTCAGTGTGTGCACTCTTTTCATAAACTTGTAGATATTTGCAAGTAGTATCAGCATTATTTTAATTTAAAAAAACTGTACATGTAGTATAATATACTTCTTTGAACCCAACTTACAGTGAAACAGCTGCAGTACCTGACTGTAGAACAGACATCAACTATTTGTCACTGCAGTGTATCTGACCCTTATGCACTGTTAATGACAGAGGCAGGCATGATTTTCTTACTGACCTTAAAACAAGACGCAGTTAGTGGAAACAGTCGTCTCTCCATGACCAAGCCCTTACTTCCTCAGGTATGTTAATTGTCCATGGAATCAGTCTATGCTTAACAAACCTGTTAAATAGCAGGTAGACACATTAGCATTTCACATGATCATGCCCTTTCTTTGACAGGTGTGAACATATTACCTTTTAAAAAAGATGACCAATCACTATTGAATAAAGACATGGTATTTATTATATGAGTTTCATTTTTTTGGAAAATGACGCTATCAGCGGCATGTTTCCGATACCATTGACCAGAACTAACGGAAGTTGATTATACCTCCGCCTACCGCACTCGGTTTCATATTTACTATTTTACATACTAACTGGAAACTGCTTGTTTTACGCTACACTCGAACAAAGTGTTGTAGTCGGACGGGATCCAGCTTACATACGTTATTTTATTTACCAAAAAGATATCTTGACCTGTCCATATGTTTTTTGTTATTAAATGGTATTTGGAGCTATCCCTTTGTTATATTTTTCATATTTATTCGAGCTTTCACTTTTATGCACATGTCTTACAATCGTAAACACTCGGTATGTATACATGATAAATAGATCCGTTTTGTTATGGTGTTGGACTTTTTACCCTCCAATGATCAGCAATCGCTAGACAAAATAGTTCTCCGAAATAATGTCAGCCTTTCATGCCATTTCAACTTTACAATCATTAAAAAAGTACTAATCCGAATCATTTTGATATCCATTGGATAGAAACTGGTCTTTATCCAGATTTACGAAGATTTTAATAATCGGACATTAGTAATACGGTTATACCCACGCGGTGCGTATGAATCTTTGTTTACAAAGTTATAGCAGCAGAGTCTGTAACTGTATCATTATTAATTAACTACACTGTTATTGTACTTATTATGATGAAAACTGCATATGCAATATAAGATGTCAACTCGGCCAATACAGATTTTTTTTCCGTATTGTCCGAGTTCTGATCCGGCCAAAACAGGATTTCGGAACGTCTCTAGTTTTTAGATCGTAAGTCACGATAAACTCAAACTGAAAGAAAAAAGTTGTTTGTACGACGCAGTTTTTATTTACTCACCATAAACAAGCTGAAACGTTCAGTTTGGCATATATTTTAGGTTAAAGACGGTCCCATTCATTTGAAAAGCATTTTGAAAGTAGACGATGGAATTATTTCAGGTTTGGGGAACGAGTAAATTATCACAAAGTTCATTTCTTGACGACCTCATAATTTCATCATGTCGATGGTACAAATCGATTTTTACTGTTTACTTTCGCTTCTCATGTTTTGTAAACGGTCTTTTATTTTTAAACCCAAACCAGGCATATGCATTCTGTAATTGTGCAAATCTTCGTTCTTTGGTCAATTGGCTTATGGATAGTTGTATCAATTTCAACTCTTACATTATTTTTTTAAAAATATATTTGCATTACACATGCAATGGCAGTACCTTTCCAATAACTATTTATGTGTTGTGTCTAAATTAAAGTTGTAACACTTTAGAGTGACTGGAAAGGGTAGAAAAATTTATCAGATGAGAAAAGGCTGAAGATACATGGAAACGGCACCAAATCATTAGATATTGCATCTTATAAAAAGAAACTGAGATTTGGATACTTCCACTTCAAGGTAAAAATGTTTATCTCTTGTGAAATGAAATAAAAAAATATTGTAACACTGTAGTTAATTAATAAAGATACTATTACATGTATTTCTGTATTGGCCTTATTGTTGGTCCTCGGCCAGCAGTATTGGCATTCGGCTTCGCCTCAGACCAATACACCAAGACATGGACCAATAACAAGGACAATACAGAAATACTTACGCAATAATATTATAGAATGACAGTATGGTTCAATAGCGGGAATCAGCCCCTCAACTACTTTTTACATAAATATAACTTCTGGCTTCATATCCTTGTTCGTCTTGTCTGGAGATCTTGTTGTAGTTCCAGTTAGGCAAGCATTTTAGAGACGTATCCCGTCCATCCTCTCTTGACTTGTAATTTCTGGTGATAGATTTTGTCGCTTGACGTTGTATCCTTTCAAGCTTGTTTTTTTTTTTGTTACCGTGTAGGGTCCCATACTATGGCTCCATATTAAATTGTAAGATCCATTCCTAAAGGTCTAGATCATTGTTCTAATCTGACACAAATTTCAATAACTGGAATGCTACCCAAGTTGAATATATGGTGACCTACTAGAACAGCATTATCACTATTGAAATTGTGTTTAATACCATGATTGTTCAATGTCATTAACTTAAATGGAGACAGACATTTGACCTGAAAGGTGGTGTGGGAGTGCAAAATCAAAAACTAACTGACTATGATATATGGTTAAAGAATGAATATCAATTACATGGGTCAACATGGTCAAGGGCAGAGTTGTTATGAAATAACAATATGGCAGAGAAGTGGTTTCAAGTTTCATATAAAGCGACCTGACTGACATGAAGTAAAAAATCAAAGGAGTATCCCTATTTGTCTAATCTTCAAGGTGAAATAAAACTAGTAAAACAATATTATACTATTGTCTAAATCTACAGAAATAATTTGCTTCAAGTAACAGAATTAACTAGGTCACTAGTAACTTATTTAATGAGTATGTGGGGTATAAGAGCTTGATAACAACAGGCTCTTCATAATCATTTGGTTTGAAAAGGATACTAGTAGTCTATATTCTTGATTTAGAAAAATGTAATTGCAAGACAAAAATCACATTACTTAGAATACTTTAGATCATTCAGGTAGTCTTTATTTATATGTACAAAAGAACAGCCAGTAGTCATTGGATATTGTAGATCATTCAAATAGTCTTGACCTATTTATTAGTACAAAAGAACAGCCAGTAGTCATTGGCTATTGTAGATCATTCGGGTAGTCTTGACCTATTTATTTATAGAAAAAAACAGCCAGTAGTCATTGGATACTGTAGATCATTCAGGTAGTCTTGACCTATACATTTGTACTAAAAAAACAGCCAGTTGTCATCTTCACATAACACACACATATACGAATATCAATTATATGCTTACGAGACATGTTGGAATGTTAAACTAATTACGGTATGTGAAAATCAAGACTTGCATAAAAAATATCACAATATTAGAGACAGTGGCGTCATTTTTCCTCAGAGCTTTCAGCTCTTTGATTGGGAGGATGGAATCTATTGATTTAAAAAATAATATGGAGTGATTGATTTTGAATATCTCAAGATAGAAATTACAGACATGAAAAATGGATTTTGCCTTCATTTCAAGAACACAATTTTCTGTTTTTCTGTAAGTTTTAATTCCATATGGAATCTTGGAAAATAGTTAAAATATTTTTTGTAATTTGTTTGCAACATTAAGATTCCTATAAAAAAAGTTCAAGATTTGATCTTGATGGATATTATTATACATTTTACAAAATTAGAAAAAAAACAACAAAGGTTTACACTTGTTTTCTTTCAGCACTCAAAGATTTTAACATTGTGTACTTACAAAGATAAAAGTGGTTTATTTAGAACCAAACCTGTCAACGAAAACGAGGTGCCAGCACCTGTTGAGACGAAACCTAATCGAAGTTCCATTGAAAAGGTCTATAATATGGATTCTAGGTAAAAAAATAAGTCCTTTAAAGTTTGGTAAATATTGTTAACTAACTAATATTTTGCTAGCTATTTGTTTTCATGAGTAGAAAAGTAATATGAATTCAAATATAAACAGTCATGAATATGAACTTGGATCTTTTCTTATATGAATGCATAAAATGTTAGAAAATAGCAAATAAAAAAAGGCTGCAAAATTGACCGAAAAGGGCTATAGGCCAAAAAAAGTAGTCACGAAAATAATTTGGTTTACAGTAGAAGTTATATTATGGCAACAAGATGCTTTAATACCTGAAAACAAGTTTTTGATAACAAGTATCAAGAAGAGATAAAATGCGTTTGTATATAGTGAAAATAAGGCGCACATACAATTATTTTCTAATATATGAAAAGTTTAAGGTTTTTATTTTAAGATCAGAAATTTTTACTCCTATATCCAAATATAAATTTTTAGAGATGAAATTTGGGGTAAATCTTTTAACATGTATTTAGGGGAGGGGAAGACACTAGCATCAAAATGTCAGTTTACCCATTTATATTACAGCAATGTAGATGATGAAGATGAATTATTGTATGGTGATACAGATACATCTGTTTTCTCCTCATCGATGGATACCTCACAGACAGAAATCAAAAGGTTAGTTAAATTCTGAGTGAATTCTAATAACAAGGTTTAACTGACTTTTGATTATTTTGTACATTTTGTTTTTGCTGAAATTGAAGTAGGCAAAGAAAAATATAGGTGTTCTGTTGCAAGGCAAAATTTTTGTCCTTTTCAAAAATATCTTCTTTTTCTAATGGATTTCCAGGTTAGTCAACCCACTTTGCCTAATCCAACTTTTGGATTTAGGTTCAATTCGTTTTCTTCTGAATGTGCATGAAATATTTGCCACTGGATGTGAAGTAAACAATAATCAATCAATTATTTGATATTTTGATTTAATTATTATTCTTCAGAAAATATTTTTATTTAAAATCTTGCATGGAGCAATCAGATGATGAACATTTAGATTTGTTGATAAAACTTTGCCTTGAGGAATTTTCTGTAATTTAAACTACTGTTGTATATTGTTTCATTAACAATATTTTTGTTTCAATCTGTATTTCAGTCCAACAAAGTCTTCTCGTCTTCAGAATGATATAAAACCAACATATTGGGCCTTAGTTTGTAGAGAAAATGGAGTTTTAGAGGTATTGTTTTTATATGATCTATATGCTATACAAGTTTCAAATTTAAGTTTAAGAAGTAGAAATTCATAAACATGATGATCAGGTTAATATTAAAAAAAAACACACTACAGTTTAAAAATTATAGAAAGGTGAGAAATGTATTATTAAGGGACATAACTCTCAAATATCACAGGTATGTTTAGGTCAACCATTTTCATAAAAATATTCTACACTTCTAAGTAAAACAGATTATTTTATTTCTGTGTCACATGAGACTTTAATAAACCTTTAATATATCTGAAATAGCAATAATTGATCTCGCATTCTTGTCTATTCTTCAATAATCACAATAATAAATTCTCGCAATAATTTCTGAATTTACAGTATATGCAATATGGAATATAAAGGAGAGGTGGTATGATTGCCGATTAGACAACTTTCCGCCAGAGACCAAATGAGATAGATTTAAGCAATTTCTCTAACTACCATCACTACAAAAAAAAATTATGGATTGACAACCCATTTTTGAAATATATAGTAAAGATAAGAAACATCATTATTTTCAGATTTACAGTATGCCAGACTTTAAGTTATCTTATTATGTTAAAAATTTCCCTATGGGCCAGAAGATTCTGGTAGATAGTGTGCAGGTTAAAGACAAACTGAGGTAAGATTTACATAGTAAAAGCTGACAATTTTGGATTATCTACCAAATATGTTTATAATTTAAAGACATGATCATAAGGCATCATTTTTAAGTAGATAATGATTTATTTTTATTCCTTGGGGTCCAATTTTTGTTGAATTCGTGGGATTAGGGAAACCACCAATTAATATGTTCAACAAAGTAAAAATTTTCTTTCGGCTTTTGTGAAAACTTGTGCAAAACCACAAATCAAAAGCCACAAAAATATATTTTTCATGAATCATGAAAATCAGTATGTCCCTTATGAGGATCTTCAGATATTTGTCCTCCTTTAATTAGATAGACCGGCTGATGACTGTTCTCAGAACTGATTTAGTGATTTCTTATGCAACTTAGTATATTTAAACTATTCCTAAAGTACTGATTTAAATTTCATTATTTAGTCTATTTAAACATTCTTTTAATTTTTGTATGTTGATTGAGGACTGTTCCACAATTGATTGTATGGGAGGCTGGGGTCAGCAGGCATAAAAAGTGCCTTTGGATATTACTTATTGATTCCAAAAACTCAGAAGGATATGGAAGTTGTAAGATTACTGTTCCAACTTTCGTATTAATTAATTTGACCTTTATTGATTCCAAACTCTCAGTATTAGACAGTATGTATGTTTGCTTATATATTTACAGTACTGGGTCATCATCATTTGCAGATAGAAGTGATAAATTACTTGGAGAGATGCCAGTATTGAAAGAAATTTTAATGGTTGGTTTAGGTTATCGTAAAACAAGACCTTATTTAATGGTAAGTATACCTCCTTCTGGATCAGTATAGTTCTACAATATAAGAAAATGCCCATTTTTGGGTATCACTCTATGCCTTTCTGTCTGTGTCTTGTATGAGCAACTCCTCCTTAATGGCTTTAGGATATTGATGAAACTATACACAGTTGTAGAACACTTAACTCAGAATGTTAAAAACGAATATAATCCAGGTCCTACCTGTTAAAAGGGGAGATAACAGAATTAACTTGCCCAGCAATATGTTGTTATAGTCTTTAGTTCAAGCAACACCAGCTAAACAGCTTAACAGATGTTGATGAAACTTTACACAGTTGTATAGGAAGAAGATACTAGCTAAAATGGGTTTTTAAAATTCACATCTAAGAATAATTTCACTTTGCCTGCAGTCTTAATGATATGAAAATAAGAAGATATGGTATGCTAATGAGACAACTATCCACCAGAATTTATAGCTTGCTAAAAAACAACATTTTCTTCCTTCAGGCAAGAATTGAGGATGACTTTTATATGTATGAAGCATTTCCATACTTCCAAGCTTCAATAGATAACCATCTAAAATTACGATTTAAAAAAGTGCAGCACAATTTGATTATGAAGGACAGGAAATCCAGGAAGAAACGTATAGAAGATGAAGGGCTGCCTGATGAGACGATAAGACAACAAAGAGTTGCTAGGCTTAGATACTTTGAAGATGTTGCAGGTTACAGTGGGGTAAGATCAGATTTTTTCTAAAGTTAAAAGGGGATTTGTGGTGAACTTTATTTTAAAATGCATGTAGTGAAAATACATCTAGTTACTGTAAATTCAGGAATTATTGCAAGGTTTTTATTAATGCGACTAGGTGAGTATCGCAATATTAAGAACTCGCATTTAGATAACTAAAACATAGATCTGTATGTAGATTTTTCTGAAATCGCAATAATTAAAATCGCATTCTTATCCATTTTTGAAAAATCGCAATAATAAATGCACGCAATACTTTCTTAATTTACAGTATTTGCTGAAAAGGTTCTTTTTTAAATCTTGTTTTTGAGGAAAATAATTATTTTGTTACAACTTTTTAGTTAATCAGTTATATTTTTAAATTACCACTGGTCAATATAATTGTTTAAATGTTCCTCTTAGGATATATAGTAGGGGGCTTTTAGTTTCCAGGGCGTCATTAAATTATTTTGCTAATTTTTGGGCATATTATATTGTTACAGGTATTTGTTTTGTGGACCACGTGGAAGTCTACGAATACATCCCATGATTATACTGTATATATTGTTATTTACAGGTATTTGTTTTGTGGACCTTACCCTCACTGGATCTTCATGACCACACGTGGAAGTCTACGAATACATCCCATGATTATACTGTATATATTGTTATTTACAGGTATTTGTTTTGTGGACCTTACCCTCACTGGATCTTCATGACCACACGTGGAAGTCTACGAATACATCCCATGATTATACTGTATATATTGTTATTTATAGGTATTTGTGTGTGGACCTTACCCTCACTGGATCTTCATGACCACACGTGGAAGTCTACGAATACATCCCATGATTATAGACGGCCCTATCACATGTTTCTCATCATTCCATAATGTCAACTGTCCTAAAGGTTTCCTGTACTTCAACAAACTGGTAAATAAAGGTTCCAAGTACAAATGAACTTTTGTTGATATTCCATTCTGCTATAGTTCTGTTGTTTAATCTTATTATGTAATGTATGAGTTGTGTCTGATAGAAATAGACCTTATGCAAGTACACATATAAATGTACATGTATAAGACTTTGGTTGATTTCGGAACATTCAAATACGAAATAAAAGATGAATATTGGTCTGTTTTGTGGAATCCTTATAATAGCTCTATATTCAAACAGTTACTTAATCTGTATAGTGATTTTTTTAACCCATAATAGGTTAATAGATGTATTGATATTCATTTGTATAAGGTCAGTTTCTATCCGATGCAGCTCATATATACATGTAGAAAGCACAACATTTTAAACTGGTATGAAAGAAGTTTGTATTTTCTTCCTTTTGATATCCATCAGTGATTTAAAGAAAAGGTATATAAACGAACATACAATAGAAATCTCAACAGCTCTATTATAATGGCTGTGTCAGATTTAAACGCATGGGTTATATGGGAGGCACTCAATTTAATAAATTGTGGGTGGTTGCATTTTTAGAATTTTGTGAGAATAATTATTTTTTTTATTATGGTTGGTTTGGGTCTACAAATTATGCCTCCCCCTTTCCCTCCCATGCGTTTAAATCTGGAACAGCCCTAATGGAATTTTGAATAAGAAAAACACAACTACCAGCACAACACTGTATCAAAGAATGCTCACCCAGTGTTCCCGCCTGCCCAAAATAGAAGGCCGGCCCGACCGTGGTGCCCTTACCCCCGCCCCTCTGCCCTCCAAAGCCTAAAAATGCCCCCTTCTGCCACTTCAAAAAATAAACTTTCCAAATTGCATGCCTACCGGCGTGGCGTTTCCGGTAAAATTGTTAACTGAGTGTAACACTTTAATTAACTGACAATGTCATAAAGTTAAATACCATGCCTTTGGCAGTTTTATCACCTCTATTAATGATTGTTTACTGCTAATTAGGGGATTAAAGATAATTGAACAAATAGGTACTAGGTATATTTATTACAGAATGAAAATGTCCACATGTTATCCTTTTGTAATATTTATGTACAGGATGTACAACATAAAAACTTTATTTTTAAAAGTAGGCATTAAATAAAATTAAAATGTTAAACAATTTTAAAGGCAAACATAAATTGGTTAAAGAAAGTTTTGTTTCATAACCCTGAGTATGAAATTAAAGAAATTTGTATTTTGAACAAAAAAACAAAATTGCACCACTTCCTGTTTAACTTCTTGTATTTATACTCCTCACATAGGAACACTTAACAAATGCTTTAATTCATAACAATTATGGAGAAAAAAGGTAACTGTTAATACCTTCTGCAATGTATGCATTAGTAAAATATTATCATATACTGTCTCACCTGTTATATTTATAAAACTCCTTACTTAGGAGCACTTTGGTGTGCACTTAAAAAATACTTTTTTGTAACAATTTAAATGAGAAAAAGTAACTTTCAATAACATATATTTTAAGTTTGAACAAGTAATTTAAATTTACATATATTTTTATTGCATTAAAAAATCATGTTTGCATGTTTACCTCCATCTTTCAAAACTACTTGTTTATTTTTATAGACTGGTAGCAGTAATAAAACATTGAAATTTCTGATGATTATTTTCCTTACCAAATGTACAAGTTTGTTTAGATTATAATCAAAATGATATGCTTTGCATCATGGTATGATAATTTGATAAAAAAAAAATCTTACTGGAATCAATATTAAGAACACAATTATTTCTAAATGTGCTTGAAATACAACTAAATAAATGTCCTCTAGTTGAGCCTAGCAGTATTCAAGGTAATTTATACACTGTCCAATAGTGCCTTTACAATCTGGGTTATTGCGCTAAAGTGCCCTTTCAGACAAATAGCACCCTTCTGCCCTGAGATTCAAGCTGGAACACTGTCACCGTTACTGAATGTGAAGTCAAAATACTAAACTGGCTGATAGGGAATCGTGCTATATTTCTGTTACAGTATTTTAAACATGTAATGTTTCTATGTTTGCAGGGAGAGTTGAGAATCACTGTTTTACCTACACATTTGACATATGATGCACCATGGGCAGTGAGGAAAATACCTTTGAGATGCACCCCACATTTTGTAGCTTACCATCCAGACAGTAAGGTAATGTGTCAAAATACTTTCATTCTGATAATTGTCAATATCAGCATAATTGTATGATTTAACTTGAAAAGAGTATTGATAATAAAAATCAGTTAGTTATATCTCTTAATTAGCTTAGTTTATATTTATATTTCCAGTCCAGTCTTAAGGACAAATACATGATTTACCCACCTACAGTTATCAAAACAACCAGCCTATTATGTGTAAAAGTCTGTCATTTTATTTCTGTTTTTGGCTCCAAGTATTGATTGTGATAGTGGTGATTGATATTGACTGTTATACAAATACTTTATAATGGACTTTCAATAAAGTTGTAAGAAAGAAAGAATATCAAATATTATAAAAAAAAATCAAGATTATTGTTTTTACGTACAGCAGAGTTGATATCTTATAGCTGATTATGTTTTCTTTCTAGACATACGCAGTTGTTACTAGTACTCCAGAAAACTGTAACAAGCTTCCAAAAACAACAACTGAAGAGCGAGACTGGGATACATTAGAAAAAGGTTGGTCAAAGTGATATTTGTTTCAAGTGCCTTTGGCTTATACCTTTTTAAAAATATTTTAGAAAAGACACATTAATATTATTTTTTAATCATTTATGATGCTGATTTTTATGCCCCGTCGTAGTAGAAGGGGCATTAACAACAAAATTATTTTCATTTACCTGTGTTTAAAGTAATTGCAAATGGCTGATATTTTGGTTCAAGCATATTGTTTTTCTTAAATTGTTTAACATTTCACAGTGGTATAACATGTTACTTTAATTATTCTTCCCTTAGTTTATTTATTGTATCATAGATCAAATTTATTTGTTCAGTGTATGTTCACGGGTATTAATATGTCTTTTGATTGAGTTAAGCCATTTCAATTGATATTTTATAGTGTGTCTTTCTATGTTGTGATGTTACACTATTATTTCAGATAAGGGTGAAGGTTTGGTACCATTAATCGTTTAAACCCGCTGCAATTGTTTGCACCTGTCCTAAGTCAGGAATCTGATGTTCAGTAGTTGTCGTTTGTTGATGTGGTTCATAAGTGTTTCTTGTTTTTTATATAGATTAGACCGTTGGTTTTCTCGTTTGAATCGCTTTACACTAGTAACTTTTGGGGCCTTTTATAGCTTGCTGTTTGGTGTGAGCCAAGGCTCCATGTTGAAGACCGTACTTAAACCTATATTGGTTTACTTTTATTAATTTTGACTTGGATGGAGAGTTGTCTCATTGGCACTCTTACCACATCTTCTTATATCTATTAAGGTTTACCCTTGCCCGTCTGTACATCCCGAAATTGGTTTCCGTTCTCTAACAGTAGTTTGCCTCAACCAAATGTTATGAAACTTATACACAATGCTTATTACCACAAAACAAACTCAGATCAAGTTTGAATTTGGGAGGCATCACTTTTACTGTTCTGAAGTTATGCCCCTTTATAACGTATCATGCAAGTGGGGGCATCATCTGAAAGAAGTAAAACTGTTAAGAATATAGTTATAGAATTACATTATGAAATGTTTTACAGATGAAAGATTTATCTACCCTCAGTTAAACACATATGCCTTACAGTTGTACAGTCCTACATCCTGGGAAGTTGTTCCTAACACCAGGTAAGTGGCTGGTAAAGGGTTACTATCATGCAATTTCACATGTTGAAGCTCATTATTCGTGATGTTTTGTGCAAGTTGGTAAAAAATCAAAGTGCTAGATATTTTTTAATTTTTGCTCAAAATAAGATGGCCATTTTATTTCCTGTTTAATTGCACATACCTTCCCCCCTTTACAAACCTCGGGTATTAAATATCATCTCCTTGAAATTTGCTATACTGGTAACCTTTTTTTTTAAGTGGCATAAAATAAAAATGGGATAATAAAAAAAAATGTAAGTCATATTGATACAGACAAAACAATGGCAAAAAAAACAATGAAAATGACAATAGTCTACAAAACACTACACAGACAACTAAAGACTGAGGAAAATGAACCCTAAATGGTGAAAGTTAATTTGTATTTACAAATCAAAGTAAGCTATCTTCATTAAAACTCTGAGACAAACTTCAGGACTGCACATATCAAAAACAACACTACTGCTTAAATGAATTGGCCAGCTGCTTATTTGATTTTTTTAAGCTTTTGTGTGTTTTTATCAAAATATATGAATCAGATTTATTGATATTTAATTTTGATAACATTGTAGTGTAGTCCTCCAGGAATGGGAAGTTTGTACGACCATGAAGAATGTGTTGTTGAGGTCAGAGGAAAATGTCCATGGTTTCAAATCATTTCTATGTATGGGAACAACTCTATCGCTAGGGGAAGAAAATATCTCTAGAGGGAGGGTAAGTGTCCATGGTGTTTTTATTTAAGTCTGGAATATTTGGATTTTAAAAACATTTGTAGTCAGTGCTTCAGTATTGAATTTTTTATACAAAAATTGATTTTGAAAAGACAGCCTACAAATTTAAGTAAAACAATTTTGAGATTATCATTATTTAGCGTAGGGGGTTATTTAAAAGTGTGCACCACATTTATTAGGTTATTTCAAATAGACAGAAAAAATATTACAATCATTATTTATAATTTAATTCTAAACTACATTTGTAAGGAGTAAATTTTGAAAAAAAAAGTTGGTGATGTCACGGTCACGTGACAAAATTATGTCTATGAGTTGATAGACAAAACACTTAATCAAAATCAGAAGATGTGTTACACCCAAAATTAAATTATTGCTGATTGATTATAACTGACATGAAAAATTCTGCTGGATATTTTATAAATACAATAGCTAGAGAGTACTGATTATTATTTTCATTGTTAAAATTTATATAGATGTAGATGAATAATACACAGTATTTATGATGGTTTCAGATTTTAATACTTGATGTTATAGAAGTTGTACCAGAACCAGGAATGCCTCTTACTAAACACAAAATTAAGGTAAAACAAGAACTTGTTGAAGTCAGTGTTGTTGATTTTTTTGGAGACAATGTATTTGACTTTTGTGATATGAGTGTGGTGATGTACAATATCTGCTAAATTGAAATGGTTAATGAAACCTCAAACAAAAAATTGAAAAATGGATTACTCAGTTTCTGAATTTCATGAACAATTTTGTTTGGCCATTGCAGGAAGGTCAACAAAGATTTGTTTTCCATCTGTATATTTTTTATAGTTCATTTTGATAGTCAAGTTTTTCAACACAGTGACTTTAACGTTACAAAAAGTGGGCCTGCTTTTACTTTAGAGTTCCCTGTACTCTGGTTTATTTATAGTTTTGGGTTAGTTAGGGTTTGTTCTACGCTAATGTTAGGTATAGGGTTAGGGTTGGTTTTCTATAAATCTATAAATGTTGGAACTTCTAAAGTAAAAATAAGGCCCTTGAAATGATATATTTTATCAGGAGACATATCTCAGATAGTAATAGATATGTTTACAGTCATCATTTGTTCAATGCTGCTTTACTATATTACATTTATCATAAGTATCATTGATTGCAGCACAAGTCTAATAACTGTGATAGTTCCAGCACCTGTGGACACATACTTTTGTTCAATAATGAAACAAAAGTCCCCTGTCTGCAGGGCTACTTGCCCAAATATCTTAAAAAACCAACTGTAAAAAGTACTAGGTCAGTATACAAAAATATTTAGAAAACTAAAGACATATTTCCTGTTTTTTTCAGGTTCTGTATGATAAGGAACAGAAGGGACCAGTTACTGCTTTAGCACAGATTCAGGGATTTCTTCTTACAGCTATTGGTCAAAAGGTAATGTCAGCCATTCATCTTATTATTCCCTAATTTTTTATTTGAGTAATAAGTTCCCTGAGATATTGGTAAAAAAATGTTTCATGGTATTTTATATTTATTACAGGCCCTTTTTTGTATGTTAATTTTCATGGATTGTTTCATATCTTTGTAAATAGGATTAAAAAGAGATGCTAGGATATTTTTGGGTTTTTGTCAAGGAGACAGGAACAAAAGATAACCAAAGATATGTAGATTCTTACATACTTTACAATTATTTCTGTTAAACTAGTTACATTAATTGATAGCAGTTTTCATAATGTACAACGAATGTGTCTTAACTGTGCATCTAGATTGTATATTTAAATATCATCTCTTTTAAATCATATTTTAAATCAAATGACATTCCAATAAGATTATAGGACTGATATTTAGATCACATTTTTATACCCCTGCTTTAAAAAAGTGGGGGTATACTGTTTTACCTCTGTCTGTCTGTCCATCCATCCATCCATCCATCCGTCCATCCATCCATCCGTCAGTCTGTCAGTCCGTCCATCTGTCCCATGAAAATTTTTCGTCACATCTTTCTCAGGAACTACAATACAAGGATTTCTGAAATTTGGTTTCAGGGTTTATATAAGTCAGTTATACTGTGTGATGCGTTTTCTGATTGATCACTCAACAACTTCCTGTTTATCGAACACTTACATCATTTTACACAACACATCCAAGTTGAAAATTTTAGTCACATTTTTCTCAGGAACTACATTACAAAGATTTCTGAAATTTGGTTTCAGTGTTTATATAAGTCAGCTCTACCGTGTGATGTGTTTTCAGATTCATCACTCAACAACTTCCTGTTTACCGTCAAATATTTTGGCTGGGGGTATCATCAGTGAGCAGTAGCTCAAAGTTTCACTTGTTTATTTTGTTTATTGCTTTTGAGAAATCAGATATATGTCAAAGTCAGTATGAAATTAATAGTAATAAATAAAATGTAAAAAGTCATAAAGAGAAGTCTAAATTATTGTCAATGGGACATGTCAAATTGAAAGTCTACATCCAACTAAGATATTACTTTTAAATTAACTGCATATTGCATTTGTTATTATAATGGCAAATTTTGGTGAAAACTTCAAAAATATCCCTATTTACAGTATCTGTCCCAATATCATATAGTAATAATATTAATAGATACCAGACTACGTTGAGATGCATTTTATGACCATGGAATTAACATATACACTAAAACATGTATATTTCAGCTATATATCTGGCAGTTAAAGGACAACGATCTCATTGGTGTGGCCTTCATCGACACATTCACTTATATCAACACACTGAGTACAGTTAAAAACATCATCTTAGCAGGGGACATAATCAAAAGTATTGCTTTATATAGATATCAGGAGGAACTCAAAGTCCTATCACTCGTCAGCAGGGTAAGTGTCAGAGTTAAAAACATCATCTTAGCAGGGGACATCATCAAAAGTATTGCTTTATATAGATATCAGGAGGAACTCAAAGTCCTATCACTCGTCAGCAGGGTAAGTCTCAGAGTTAAAAACATCATCTTAGCAGGGGACATCATCAAAAGTATTGCTTTATATAGATATCAGGAGGAACTTAAAGTCCTATCACTCGTCAGCAGGGTAAGTGTCAGAGTTAAAAACATCATCTTAGCAGGGGACATCATCAAAAGTATTGCTTTATATAGATATCAGGAGGAACTCAAAGTTCTATCACTCGTCAGCAGGGTAAGTGTCAGAGTTAAAAACATCATCTTAGCAGGGGACATTATCAAAAGTATTGCTTTATATAGATATCAGGAGGAACTCAAAGTCCTATCACTCGTCAGCAGGGTAAGTGTCAGAGTTAAAAACATCATCTTAGCAGGGGACATCATCAAAAGTATTGCTTTATATAGATATCAGGAGGAACTCAAAGTTCTGTCACTGGTCAGCAGGGTAAGTGTCAGAGTTAAAAACATCATCTTAGCAGGGGACATCATCAAAAGTATTGCTTTATATAGATATCAGGAGGAACTCAAAGTTCTGTCTCTCGTCAGCAGGGTAAGTGTCAGAGTTAAAAACATCATCTTAGCAGGGGACATCATCAAAAGTATTGCTTTATATAGATATCAGGAGGAACTCAAAGTCCTATCACTCGTCAGCAGGGTAAGTGTCAGAGTTAAAAACATCATCTTAGCAGGGGACATCATCAAAAGTATTGCTTTATATAGATATCAGGAGGAACTCAAAGTTCTATCACTCGTCAGCAGGGTAAGTGTCAGAGTTAAAAACATCATCTTAGCAGGGGACATCATCAAAAGTATTGCTTTATACAGATATCAGGAGGAACTCAAAGTCCTATCACTTGTCAGCAGGGTAAGTGTCAGAGTTAAAAACATCATCTTAGCAGGGGACATCATCAAAAGTATTGATTTATACTGATACTATTTGTCTGCCATTACAAGGATCAGATGTTCCTGCAAAATTTAGATGTCACATGAAATAATGTCAGACTCCACAAAGCAAAATTGTTTGTTATATGACATCAATATGTCAAGTGTCTCAAAATCTTTGGTGAGGTGTCACAGAGTCCCAAAAAGGGATAAGGTCTCCCGTATTCTAGTTGTAAGTAAGACAAATAAAAGAGATGGTATTGGATGTATGAACACATTAATGAACAACTTCATCACAGTAATAGTTATAATGTATGATACAAATGAAATCTGTAGACAAAAGTGATGTACCACAAATACACTATGTATTGAAGGAACTTTTTATTGCCATTATACATCTTGTTATCTTTCCGAGCTTGTTCGATTGAATAATCTTAACCGATGTTTTCTTGACTCAACAAAATGTATGTAATATAAATATAAGAAGATGCGGTATAATTGCCAATGAGACAACTCTCCACCAGAGACCAAATGATATAGAAATTAACAACTATAGATCACTGTATGGCCTTCAACAATGAGCAAAACCCATACCACATAGTCAGCTATAAAAGGCCCCGAAATGACAAATGTAAAACTTATGGCCTGATTTATGTAAAAAAAAATAAATGAATAACAAATATGATATACAGAAACAAATAGAAAAACAAACACTGAATTACAGGTTCCTGACTTGGGACAGCCACATAAAGAATTTGGCGGGGCTAAACATGTTAGCAGGTGCCCAACCCTCCCCCTAACCAGGGACAGTGGTGTAACAGTACAACATATGAACACACTATAAAAATCAGCTGAAAATTAACTCATCAGATCAATACAAAGCAGAAAGACAAGTAACAAAAACACAGACCGGATGTGGCAGGGTATTTATACACCCCATAACAAAAAAGACAGATCTGAGAGTACTCGCAGTTACTGACAGCTAGTTCAAAGCCAATAATTACAACTAATAAAAAAATCATGTATCTAGGACTAAAGTGTCAATCAGTACACATCCAACATCCAATGGATTTAGTGTAAATTTCCGGGCTCGGTAATCAACATCTCCTTAAAAATTAGGATGTGCAATCCCATTTGAAATAAGTTTTCTACATGTACAGCCAAATTAACAAACCAAATCTTTGTATCTATGGAAGAATTTAGTAAAGGTTTTTAATAATTTAGTAATACATAGATTATGTTCATATTGTCATTTGGTATTTTAGTACTAGATGCTGTGTCCTTGACTATCCATGACAGTTCTTAGTTAAAAATTCTATACTTGCAAGCCATTTAGGTGGGTCTGGGTGTGGAAATACTTAAATTGGCATCTATATGATTTTATAGGATATAAAGCCCTTAGAAACTTATACAGCAGAATATATGGTGGACAATACACAGCTATGTTTTCTAGGTAAGTTCCTTCTCTAGCCATAACATCTTTTCAAATCTAAATAATCTTCCATAGTACATTCAGCTTTTATTGTGTCTTTACTTTTTAAAAAGTTATGACTTTTGAACATTAGTAAAAACTGTTGCCTCTAATTTAGAACAGAACAATACTTGTAGTTTGCCATTTAACTCTTGCTTTCAAAATAATTATTTAAAAAAGCACCAGAATTTAAGTTTTATTTGGAACAAGATAAAAAAATAAAGACTTTATACAAAAACAAAAAAAACGAACAAATATATAGTTCGTTATAAAGTATGTACTATATTAGGAAAAATCTCTTCAAACAATTATCAATGGAATATTTGATAATCAACTGCTAAGATATTTTTTTTTATGCCCCCGCCGTAGCGGTGGGGGTATTTAGTTTTACCCTTGTCCGTCTGTACGTACGTACGTCCGTCCGTACGTCCCAAAATTGGTTTCCGTTCTCTAACTTGAGTTTTTATTTAGTTTTGCTTTGATCTTTCTGTGGGATAATTTTCCATCTCAAGCTACTCCAAGCTGAGTATGGATATTCTCATTCCAGTAGAGAGAGAACACTATGGCATCATAAGGCAAGTTTCTTAGCTACATCTTATTTCAGTGCTCATGCTATATTTGTTATTACTTTAGTGAATGATATGTTGGCATTTTCAAGATAGTAATTGTCATCTGATTACTATTTCTAATCAAATTATGCATTCAGTACCAGATTTATCCCAAAAAATATTGGAAGAATCGAACACTTCATAATGGTGTAATTTGTTTTTTCAGTGTCAGACAAAATGAAGAACATATTAATGTATGCATATCATCCTGAAGGTATGTAAATATAATGTTAATGTAAAACTTAATATATAAATAAAAAAAAGGAAACAGCACTAAAGAATAGGGTAAGATTCCAAGGGTCATTCTAAACCAATAAGCCGAAGAGAGAGTGACAACACCATGGCAAAAAAACAATAAAAGTACAACCAAGTCCACCAAACACTACATAGAAAGCTAGAATACTGAGCAAAACCCACCCCATCAATTAATTGTACTCTGAAAGAGTTACCAGCTCCTGCTTCACATGACAGCTGTCGTGGTACACCTATGAAATAAGTATTATATCAAATGATTATGCATTATACAAAAGCAAATTGGTAGAGATTTGGATAGTACAGATAGAAGGGATAAAATAAGTATGTTATAACTACTATTGATATGGATGTTACATATTCCTTTGAAAATAGTAAGCGAAAGATTTTGGTAATTACATAGACTGAAGCTACATTTTATTTTTGGCCATGGCGTTGTCTGTTTGTTTTCGATCTATGAGTTTGACTGTCCCTCTGGTATCTTTCGTCCCTCTTCTACAGGTATGTAATATTAGGACTAATTACATAGACTGAAGCTACAGGTATGTAATATTAGGACTAATTACATAGACTGAAGCTACAGGTATGTAATATATGGACTAATTACATAGACTGAAGCTACAGGTATGTAATATTAGGACTAATTACATAGACTGAAGCTACAGGTATGTAATATTAGGATTAATTTACATTTATATATTACTTTATCTTACCTCCTATACATTTCTAGGAATATGATTGATTAAAAGCAACCGTGTGCAGACCATGTATATTCCATATTGGGTTAGAAGGTGGGGCTTATTTCAATATATGGTTAGTAGTGGTGTTACGTCCCTTTATAAAATCAACACGGTGTTGAGGAAAAATCTTAAAGGTTTCAACAGACGAAGAAATTGATGATGAATGATTGAAATAAATTCATAAAACACATTTAAAGCTGACAAGTTGTTATTGTTGGTATTTGTTTTTGTATATACCAATGGAAGAAGGTTCTTAATACTAACGGTATTGAAGACTTGATAACTTTGATAGACCACTAGTCTAAATACCACATGTTAAGATAGTCAGTAAGATAAATTTGTTACATAGTGTGCTAGTGACCTAATACGATATATATGGGGTCAGTAAATTCCATATGGGTGAGAGCGAAGCTCGAATCCCCATATGGAATTTACTGACCCCATATATATCGTATTAGGTCAATAGCACACTATGTAACAAATATTACTGGAGTTGTTTTCATGTTGTTGATATAAACCAGACACATTTAATATTAAGTTTTCAATATCAGCATGTATGCATCATTTTTTCACAAGAAATGAGTAGATTAGTAACTAGAATAATTGAAATGAATTTCTGTTGCTGTCTGCATTATCCTACCAAATCTCCTTATTTTATATCAAACACATAATATTTTGCCTGTTTTACTCACAGCTAGAGAGAGTATAGGAGGACAACGTCTGTTGAGGAAGGCTGATTTTAATGTCGGATCACACATCAACAGCATGTTCAGAGTATTGTGTCGTAGTGATCCAGCGGTAGATAAAAGGGCATACAATGCTGACAGAAAGCACATTACATACTTTGGTAAGATATTATGTATTTTAATCATACTTTCATTGGTACTTGTAATATTTTCTGAAGCAGGTTTGTATTTTGATAGTTGTTTTGGATCCAAACTTTGTATTCGCATTACTCCTTAAACTAATTTTAATGAAATGTCAGGTGATATGAGTACCCGATGGCATTGGCCACCTTCTATTTTATTTTTGGGGAACAAATATCTGACACCTTTGCTATTTCAGCAGATTTGCCAGCTGTTTTGGCAATTCTGAAATACGTATAACTATTCTTATCCAGCAAGCTGATAGTTTATGTAAACTGTGTAAATAAAACTGTTGAATACATCATTGAATCATGAGTAGTATTCACTAATGTTAAAAAAGTGAAATATTTCTAAAGGACAATTGGTATTTCAAAAATGTAGTGTAATTGTGCAAATGGTTGACTCTTAGTAATACTTTATAAAGCTCATGCCTGGGTTTAGAAAACATTTTTCTTAATAAAAATAATTCTTATATAAATATTTGACTAGAATCATTTTTCAATGTAAAAGTAACTATATGCTTTATTTTTTTCAGCTTCATTAGATGGAACACTTGGGTTTGTTCTACCAATCTCAGAGAAAGTATATAGACGTTTACTGATGTTACAGAATGCTATGACAACACAGATACAACATATAGCAGGACTTAACCCAAGGACCTATAGGTAAAGTATATAGATGTTTACTGATGTTACAGAATGCTATGACAACACAGATACAACATATAGCAGGACTTAACCCAAGGACCTATAGGTAAAGTATATAGATGTTTACTGATGTTACAGAATGCTATGACAACACAGATACAACATATAGCAGGACTTAACCCAAGGACCTATAGGTAAAGTATATAGACGTTTACTCATGTTACAGAATGCTATGACAATACAGATACAACATATAGCAGGACTTAACCCAAGGACCTATAGGTAATGTATATAGACATTTACTTATGTTACAGAATGCTATGACAACACAGATACAACATATAGCAGGACTTAATCCAAGGACCTATAGGTAAAGTATATAGACGTTTACTTATGTTACAGAATGCTATGACAACACAGATCCAACATATAGCAGGACTTAATCCAAGGACCTATAGGTAAAGTATATAGACTTTTACTCATGTTACAGAATGCTATGACAACACAGATACAACATATAGCAGGACTTAACCCAAGGACCTATAGGTAAAGTATATAGACGTTTACTCATGTTACAGAATTCTATGACAACACAGATACAACATATAGCAGGACTTAACCCAAGGACCTATAGGTAAAGTATATAGATGTTTACTGATGTTACAGAATGCTATGACAACACAGATACAACATATAGCAGGACTTAACCCAAGGACCTATAGGTAAAGTATATAGACGTTTACTCCTGTTACAGAATGTTATGACAACACAGATTCAGATATAGCAGGACTTAACCCAAGGACCTATAGGTAAAGTATATAGACGTTTACTTATGTTACAGAATGCTATGACAACACAGATACAACATATAGCAGGACTTAATCCAAGGACCTATAGGTAAAGTATATAGACGTTTACTCCTGTTACAGAATGTTATGACAACACAGATTCAGATATAGCAGGACTTAACCCAAGGACCTATAGGTAAAGTATATAGACATTTACTTATGTTACAGAATGCTATGACAACACAGATACAACATATAGCAGGACTTAACCCAAGGACATATAGGTAAAGTATATAGATGTTTACTCCTGTTACAGAATGTTATGACAACACAGATTCAGATATAGCAGGACTTAACCCAAGGACCCATAGGTAAAGTATATAGACGTTTACTTATGTTACAGAATTCTATGACAATACAGATACAACATATAGCAGGACTTAACCCAAGGACATATAGGTAAAGTAACAAACTACTTCAGTGATGTTAATATCATAAATAGACATTTAACAAAAAGAGACATAGTGAGTGCTATTCCATTAAAATGAATGTGAGAGGTTAGGCTGAGGCTTCTGTAATTCACTAATAACCAGCAAACTGCCAGTGTAATTTTTCACACAATCAAATGGACATACAAGCACTAATGACCAACAATCCCTGTCAGAAATAAAACTTTCCTCCCTGTCCTCCCTGATTAATTTGAATGGAATAGCCCCGACAACTATTATTTACGACATGGTGGGGGAGACATAGAAATACTGGAGGTCCATTTTGGTCTTGTAAACACTCTTAACTTGTACAAATCTTGTCAGATTTTTATGAAATTTAAGTCAAAGGTTTTGATATAGTCTAATATTTGATTTTGTTAGTTTTATGGACTTCCCCCTTTTTGAATTTTTCTTGGAGTTAGGTATTTTTGTTCATACTTTTTTTTTATATCAGCAATGTCTTGAACGAGTTTAAAAATCAGTGCTGATGGAACTATTTTTACAGGAGTAATGTATATTTGTAATGTGATTTATATGGAAAACTGCATTATAAGCAATTTCACACCTACATTTCTGCCAGATTTTATGAAATTTGATACAAAGATTTATATCAGCAAGGTTTTTTGGACATGTTTGATAAATAATGCCAATTAACTATTACAGGAGTCATGCCCTATGGAAATAGATATCATATGGAAAATTACATTTTAAGAGATCTGATTCTGACAGTTCTTGTATGATATTTAAGAAAAAGTCTTAAAGAACCCAAAACATATAGAGTCGGGCGCCCATATTCGCCATGTACTCATTTTCGCTGTTATTGTTTTTTGACCGGGTGATAGCGCGTGTATTTTCGTGTTTTTTTGTCAAAATGGAAGCTGAACGCTGAAAACTTTTGCTCAACATGAATATATGATAGATGCTTGTAATTTTATCAAATTTTGCAATTGTATAATGTAAGTATGATAGGACAAGACACCATTGACGATAACGATACAAATCTAATCATGAGGGGGGGGGGGGAGAGGGCACTTCACTACATAATTAATAGGGATGCTGCTGGGGTTCTGTTTATGCAGTTCTTATTTACAGCGAGATTTTCGACTGTGCAAAATATTACAGGACTTTTAAATATAGCAAGTAATGAGGACTTAATTGACCTAATCATATCGGTATTTCTGATAGTTTTCCACACCTATTAAGAATGTAGGAATTTGATGCTTGAGGCCAAAACTGAATATTTTCTGGTCGATGAATGACCAGTGCTCGATACCGGGATGAACAAATTAATTTTTAACAAAATAAGACCTTTAATTTTGATGTAGATAGATATAAGAAGATGTGGTATGAGTGCCAATGAGACAACTCTCCATCCAAATCACAATTTGTAAAGAGTTTAGATTTTCATTAAAACGTATCTTTGCTAGCCAATGTTAATTTTAACGAAGTGGTCCCCCTCTTCTCTTTGTCAAAGATCGCAACCCTGGCTTGGCTAGATTGAATAGACGCGGATGGTTCTTAAACAATTAAAAGAAACGTTTTGCTTATTGATTCAAAACTTCACAATTCAGATGATTTTTTTTTTACGAAAAGTACATATAGTCGGCTATAATAGATCCAGACATAAAAAATACGAAACAATTCAATTAAAAATCTAACGGCATACTTTATAGCAAAACAATTTACGAAAAACAAATATGACAGTCATGAGCCAATGATCCACTACTGCTAAACTATACCTGCTCCTGACTTGGAATATGCTCATAAAGAATGCGGCAGGGTTAAACATGTTTTGGAGCACTAAACCCTACATTTATCTGCGAAATTGGTGTTATAGACAACATAAAAAAAATGTAATAAAATGCTCCGATGGGCACAGCTTGATACGACCGCAGAGGTGGAACCCTGCTTGGTTTTGGCTTCTAATGCCTAAATATTTAAGACAATAACCGCCAAAAAGCAATCCCAAACTTCCTGGTGTGGTACCTTGTACAATTTCATAGATCCTTACACTTATTGTTATACTCGAGTTATTGTCTGGAAATTAAATATCTTGCGGTCGTATAAAAGTATGTTGAAAGGGCAATCAGATCGAAACAAAGCAAAAAATGTCTAACCAAAAACACAGACCAGACATTTTTACATCCTCACAAACAACAACAAAAAAAGACACAAAGTACAGCTCTAAGAGTACTCACAGTTACTGACAGCTAGTTCAAAGTCAAATAACAACTAAAAGATAATGCCATGAGTCTAAGCATAAAATGCATGGTTTGAAAATGTATGCCCATTTGAATTTTTAAATATCTGCGTTGAATAACAAATAAAATAAAATATTTTTGTAGATGGCAAAATATAAACAATATACAGAAGAGCAGCTTGTCACAGCAATTAACAAAGTAAAGACAGGATTGATTTCGAAATCTAAGGCTTCCAAATTATACAAATTACCTAGAAAAACATTATTAGATTATATACTTGGAAAGAGTATTATTGGAAAAAAAGGTGGACAAAAACCTTATCTAACAAAATCTTGGGATTCCTCTTTAGCTAACTATGTAAAATATATGAGTGAAAGGGGTTTTGGTCTGACCAGGAAGGTTTTAAAAACATTTGCACTGTCAGTTACCAGGAAATCATGTCCATCAGTACAAAAACCACCTTCTAAGAAATGGTGTCAAAAGTTTTTAAAGAAACACAAATTATCCTTAAGGACACCCAATTCCCTACAGAGATCTCGAGTTGCTGTATCATCACAAGAAACTATAGATGAGTACTTCAAGCTATTAGATTCTATTATTAACAAACTTGACCTCCAAGACAAACCATCACAAATATGGAATGCAGACGAGGCTGGGTTTGGCAAAGAAACAGACCAAATAAAGCAAAAAATAATATCCCCAACTGGTACAAAAAACCCATACAGACAGCAAATGACTGATGACGAGCACATAACTTTATTAGCATGTGCATTTGCTGCAGGTGGATTTATGCCCAATATGCTTATCTTCACAAAAAGTCTTGTGGAAGTTACGCCTCTGAAATGCCAAAAGACTGGTTGTATGCCACAGCTGAAAACGGCTATATCACTAGAGACTTACCGTATAGCGGGTTATTTTCGCGGGTGTAAAATTTCGCGATTTAGGGGCAACAAAGTATATGAAAATTATTATTTTTTTTTTTTTTGGCGGATTCTTTAATCACAATTTAAGTTTTTGGCGGATACTAAAATGATTGCAGTTAAAAAATTGACAAGTGTCTATTGTAATGGTTAAATGATTGTTTTACCTGCATAAAGTCTTATTTATTGATTATATTTTGATACAGTTAATCAATAGAATACTGGTACTAAGATATTTGTCACAGGTGAACAAAACTCTGATATATGTTACGGTTGATTAGTAACGAAATTGACCGGACCTCTAATGTACTAATTAAATCATAAAATTATCATGAGTGACTTGCAACTAAAATTGACTATAAATTGACACTAATTAATTTGGATTAAATACCTGATAGAGTACCTTACACTCTTAAATTATTAATTATTTTATTATGTAACCAATTAACTAATTAACACCTGACAGCCAGGGAACAATAGCCTTTCGCATTTATGTTGGTTAAATTAATAAACCATTATTGATCCGACGAACAGGAAAAATCGAGTTTTCAAAAAGCTTTAGCTATTAGAAAGTACAGAACGTATGCATAAATTTTCGCGGAAATTAATTTCGCGATATCCCCTTATCCACCAAAATAAGCGAAAATAAACACCCTGTGAAAATAACCCGCTATACGGTATTTGAAAACTGGTTTGAAAAAGTTTTTATTGCAAGCATTGGCTTAAGACGTCCAAACCTCTTATTATAGACAATCATTCCTCCCACTTATCAATTCCTGTCATTGATATGGCTATTGAACATAGTATAGAGATTTTAGGATTGCCTCCGCACACCTCCCATTTCCTTCAGCCATTAGATCAAAATTTTCCATCCATTGAGAAGTGGATACAGTGAGCTTGCCCTAAATATTGGACTAGTCAAAGCCGACATGGTAATAAAAAAGAATAAAATTGCAAATGTTCTGCAACAGGCACAAGATAAAGCTTGGTCACCACATATGATCAAGCAACGCTTCAGAAAGAAGGGCTTGAATCCACTTAACAGTACAGCCATCGATAAGTCGTTTATAAGACCGAATCCAACCACAACCATTCAAACAGAAGATCTCTCTTTGAAAAATGTTGAAACCACACTAAATGACATGTGTAAAACTTGTGGCAGAGCAATCACTAATCCATTGGTGAAGGCAGGTTTAGAACAAAAGGAAAAGAAGAGGGTTTAAAACAACCCAAAGCAGTGAGAGAGGCTAAAAGGATAGAAAAACAAAATGTCATTAAAATGAAGCAATCAAAAAGAAAAGCTAAATCTACAAAAACTTCCACAGAAAGAAAAAAAGTACATAAAAAATCTGATCAATCTGAAGAAAATAGACACCGTGTAAATCCACATTTAATCACAGTTACTGGTGAGGTACATACAGAGATAAATACAGACGAAGAATCTGACAGTGAAGAGCAAATTAAGTTATGTAGACCAAGAGTACGTAGAGCTAACAAAAAATTCAGAGAATTAGAAGTGATTTAATTATTGGTGAACCTAGTTCAGGGTATTTTGAATAAGGATTTTTTAGGGCATTTTTTTTTTTAGATTTTAAATGGTACATTGAAAAGTCTGATATGTGATTTTTTTCTTAGTATTATTACTTTATAAAGAATATGGAATATATCGAATTAATTCCACGAATATTTGATGTGAAACTTTAATAGATACAGGATATGTGGTATACTCTTAACAAAGCTGCTGCAGGGGCTCCTTATGGAGGTATTATATATATACATGTTTAATATAAAAATAAGAAGATATGGTGTAATTGGCAATGATACAACTCTCCACAAGAGACCAAATGAAAAAGACATTAACTACTATAGGTCACCGTACAGCCTTCAACAATGAGCAAAGCCCATAACACATAGTCGTAGACTATTTACATGTCCAACTCAAAACCTTGCCTATTTTAGGTTTCCCCCTCCTTTCAAAAATCCGGAATCTGTATCTGGAGTACTCCTTTAGGTCAATGTATAGATCGTCAAGTTACAGTGTCTGGGCCCCGAATTATTAGCAACAATATGAAAGGGTAACTTTTTAAGTAGAGTAGACTTGATATTATTGGTGTTGGGTATGTGACCTTGATAATCTATAAAATACATATGTTTTGTTTTTATATAGATTAGATTTGTTATTTCAGATTGCAGAAGATGATAAAGACGATGAGATGTTTACGTGTGGTGTTTGTGCGACTAGAGGCAAAAAAACTGATGAGCAGAATGGCATATTATGGGTGGGATCTGACAGGGATGGCTGTCCACTTAACTGGTATCACTATGACTGTCTTTCACGAGATGATCAGCTGACGATAGACATGAGTTTACTATTTTCTGAAGTCAACTGGATGTGTCCTGTTTGTGTGGAAGAAGAATGATCTTTCTTTATTTTACCATTCGATTATATTGGCTCTCGATATATATAATCAACACCAATTGTAGACTGAACAGTTCTTTGCTTTTTACTATATACATTTGTATCATAAAAAACTAAATGATATATTCACTTGACTTTTTTTCTTGTGCATTACCAGTAATATTTTGAAATGGTTCCATACATTTAGAAAATTTTAACCAGCCCCTGAATGCTAACAGGTGCACCAGCAGGGTAAGAAAGTATGTCCTCCTGTAATAAATGTTCTCATATATATTGATCCCCTACATTAGAAAAAAGAAAAAAAAACACCTTTTCAGTTATTTAGCCAAAAAAAAAAAAAGATCCCATTTGCAAGTGTCAAAATATGACGATCTATACTGCCCTTCGTCTGATCTCCTTTCAATTTCCGTCCGCTAGTAATTCTCTCTTCACAAGTCTCCAATAAAACATGGATAATGTATCAATTCAATATAAATGATTAGATATTAAAGTAAATCATAATTTCAATAAGCAGTCAGAAAAATCAGGGTTCGAAAAACGTTACTAATGAAACATGATTTTCACGAGTGTGCTGTGTGGGTTCGTGCTCTAGTGGTTAAGACCGATGGCTTCAGTGCTGAAGGCCCTGGGTTTGAATCTGACTTGGGACGTTGGAAATTTCAGTACATCAGAAGGGTGATTTTCACCCTCCCACACACTTCTCTGGTACCCAGACTGGAGTTTAAACTAGAGTGGGTACTTTGGGGGCCTAGATGTTGCCCCCTACTTTGACCTGGAGATTAATCTTCTGATATCTCTTCAGTTTGTCTGTTCATGCCAAGTTTCCCAGTCGTTCTCTCCGAGTACTTCAGCTTCCTCCACCATAATAACAGACTTCCTGGTGTCCTAGCACTCCCTTTGTGTTGGGATGGGGATTGGCCTTGTAAATAATGTTGTAAATACGTTAGTGACACATCTCCATTAATCCTGAAAGGGAGTGTACACGGATTCCACTGTACCCTTGTGAACATATATTTGTTCCGCATACTTGTTCCCCACTGGAACAAAACTATGGATAATAAATATTCTTGGGAACAAACATTACATAATATTATTTCCACTCTCATAAGATATTTTCCTGGAACTAAAACATCATAGGGTTTCATAATATTTGTTCCTTTAAAGAAAGAGTGTCATGTGTCATGATTACATATCAAATATTCCCCAGAACTTTTATTACATAATAAAAAAAGTCCTGAAACTTTTATTAATCTACAATCAACATCCTTCAATGGATTTTATCCAAACTTAGTAAACTGTTAGTCCTTGTCTTTAAGAATATTGATTTTCAAAGTCAAAGGTGAATATCAAAGATGAACTTGCAAATTTCAGTCTATAACATCCTCGTATACATCCTATAATGAATTTTGCCCAAAACTTAGTACATTGTTGGCAATTTTTCCCACATGTAAAGGTCTTTTATAATTTCCGCATAGCATTGGATAATATATTATATAAGGAAAGTTCCCAATGGAACTTTTGTTATATGATACAAGTTCTTTGGAAAAAATATTATGGGGGAACTTATATTCTGTCACACCCTCGCAGCTCTCAAGGGGTGCTCTGAATAATGGAGGAATCTACCAGTACATACATACAAGTGCTAAATAATAATTTTTTAAAGTGAAATTTTGCTCATTTCGAGAAAGAGAAGCATTCTGATCAAACCTGTAGAATCAAATATTTGTTTTTTTCAACTAATTAGAACTATGAAAAGTGAGTAAATTTAACTTGTGCTATATTATCAATTTATACGCATGCGCAGTTATCGTGAATCTATTTTTCATGAAATTTAGCATTTCAATTTAAAAAAATTGCTTATCTAGTGGTATTGCTGTAGTATATTTTAGTTGTTTTATTGTCGAAAAAGGTCAAAGATATTAAATGACTAACTGGCGAAAATGGGTTCCCCTTGCCAAATAAAAACACTGTTATTCTCTCATGTTTGCACGTGTTTTACTACTGAATACTTGTGATCTCGGAACAATTTAAAAATTGGGTTAACTTTATTAAATAGTTAATTTTATTAAACCAACAAAACATATTAGTTTTCAAGCATCGGCATGCGTTGGGCTTACAAAAAGGCTGTTTAATGTGGCGAATATGGGCGCCCGACTCTATATATCAATTTTTTGACAGATAAAATATGTGCTACAGTGGGGGTATGATGTTCTTATATTTATTCTGTTTTTGGTTACATTATGATTTTTCATAGTGGCCACATGATCAACATAGAGAAATGTTAGATTGATAAAGATATAAACCTTTATTGTACTTTAGAAATTTTGGAATGTATATTCCTTTATTTTAGGGCGGTACAGAGCATCAGACAAGAGCTAAGGAATCCTCAAAAGAACATTTTAGATGGTGATTTGTTATGGAAGTATTTACATCTAAGTATGATGGAGAAAACTGAGATAGCTAAACGTATTGGAACATCTCTTGAACAGGTGAAATACAATTTTCTGTTTAATAATAGTTTAAACATATTTTATTGTTCAAAATGGACAAACAGATTAGCCACAAGTTTTTCAACTGCCTTATGTCTTCTCCAATACATACATAAAAGTAAACATGAACGAACATTACAGATTTATGTTGAATTATAAATATCAATACATTATATATTATATAAATAATAATATTTCTCAACAATGCAACTTACTTGTGAGCATAAAAATGTCAGGCTTATGAGCTTTGTAAATATGTTTGTGGCAGTATTTATACAATTTTGAAAATATTTTATATGAAACATCATTCTAAAATATTCAAAATGGTAAATTAGTAATCTTTGTAAAATCCAGCAGATTTGTAATGTGACTACAAGTGAAGAAATTCCATCTTCAACTTCTTAATTTTTTTTTGCATTATGAACAACCAACAGCCACTTGTTCAATTACTTTATATTAACATAAAGTACTCTGGTTGAAGCATATTGACCACGTTATATTAACCTAATACAATATAGCCTAATTTGATATTAAAGGCAAAATAAATGCTGAAGAGAAACCCAAATTTTAGTCAAAAAATTTAGGTAACCTTGCCTTGTTATAAAACATTTATTATTTTAGTTGCCGATTGAAAATCAGATTTACATATTTAACTATCCTCATACAAAACGACATGTATACCATTTTTTATTGGATGACATCTGCCTTCAATAATAAGGTTGATGGAAGGATTAAATAATTTTTGCAATATTTCAAATGTTTTGTTTTGAAAATTTAATGAGTATTGCAGTAGAAAAAATGAACTGTTATGTGTTTGAAGGATTGCAGGCTTCAAATAATATTTCATTTGCGGCTGTCAATTCCTGTGACACAATAAGGCTTCTTACACAATACAATTATTGGATCTGAATATATGTATATACATATACATATATTCAATCCTAGGTTTGAACGTTGTTTTCAATTTAAACTTGTGTATATACATATATATGTTCTGGTTCAAAGTTAATTACTTTAGGACTGATTTGTTTACCAACATCATGTTTATAATACCATTATAATGAATTGCCTCCCTTTTCTCTTTACAGTTAACAGATGATTTGATGGACATTGATAGATTAACATTACATTTCTGAAGGACACACTGACCTTGTTATAGTTGTTTTGTTATTGGTTACTAATTAAGTGTCCTGTCAAGTGTAAACATTGATGTGATGTTACATCATGTACATAGGGTTACTGTGAGAAACACTGTAGAGCTCATCAGTAGATCAGTGCCACTAAATGTCTGTGTTTATAAGTCTGTGGACGTATGAATAAAAGAAATATACAAATGTGAATTGTTTTATTTTATTGCCAAAAAAAATTTGCGGAAAATAGTCTGTCTGTTATTGTCTGTTATCTCCTATAAAATAAGAGGCAGAAGATACCAAGGGGGACATTCAAAACTCAAAAGTCGAAGGAAAACTAACAACGCCATGACAAAAAGTCGACGATAAGACTAAAGACTGAGCAACATGAACAACGCCAAAAACCAGGGTTGAACTTTGGAGCTCAAGGGCTCTACTCCAGTTGTTGCACCAGTTGTTTTACTCCTGCAAGTAGAAATCTAGTTATAAGTTTCATTTGGTGATATCATAATTGAGGAAAAGAGGACATGATTGTAGTTATGACATTAAGAATATATTCATGGTCATCTGTGACACAGATATTTTATAATGGTCAAGTGACTCTATATTGTTGATATTGGAAGGAATGACTTCAACTTAACCACTTTGAACTAATTGTTCAATAGCTTCAACACTCTATCAAGGAAACCATGGTAGGAGACACAAACTATGTTATCAATTATTCCACTCAAAGAGTTATTTCCCAGACTTGTTTGTTTTTTTGTTGTAATATTTAGAAATAGTTCGTTATAGTTACTGTCTCAAGACGATATTTGAAATTTGAAAAGAAACTTGGATATGATTGATTTTTCTATTCTCGTTTAAATTTTGTTTTTCATGATTTATAATTTTCAATGGTAAATATGCTTTGCTTATGCACTGAAATGTTGAGTAAAGACAAGTTGAAGCACCACTGTTTAAGTCTTGACTTATCCACTGGTCTTAGGAAGTGGATACCTAAGGTATGCAGAGTGGTTAAACATATCGTTATTAAACTATTTAACCCGATAGTGTCCTTCCAAGTGTTGTTGTTCTATAGTTAAATACAAAGTGTGGAAAATGTAAATTTATAGTTGCATATCTCCAGCAACTTGTTTAATGAAGATAGTTATTGTCTACTTTTCTTCAATGGTGATTAATAGATCTGCTATGTAAGTAATTTTGATTTATCAATGATGGTCTGAATGGCTTTATTGTTAAAATTCCAATGAGACGTTCTTCTTTCACTTTGTAAACAAAGCCATGTTCTAATTCAAATAAAACATGTGATGCACCTGTGTGACGTTACAATTAGAATTGTAACATTTATTGTATTTTGAAAGCCAGCAGAGATCAAAATAGACATTTCTGTTGCTGTTACTTGCTAGAAAATTCAATAAGTGAGAGGTTTAGCTAGCTATAAAACCAGGTTTAATCCACCGTTTTCTACATAAGGAAATGCCTGTACCAAGTCAGGAATATGACAGCAGTTTTCCATTCGTTAGATGTGTTTGAGCTTTTGATTTTGCCATTTTATAACGGTCTTTCCGTTTTGAATTTCCCTTGGAGTTCGGTATTTTTGTTATTTTACTTTTGAACACTTTTTAGTTATCAAACAGTAAGGTTTTTTTGTAGAAATGTTTTTGTTCCACAAATAAAAACTCTCTTTGTGCAATTTTGTATACTGAGGAACCAATTTTTTTTTAGATTATCCTTATTTTGTAGTTTCCTCTATTTGATAGAATGTAAACTTAAAACAATGAATATGATTTCATAAAAATAATAATTTGGACAGAAATTGTTAGTTAAGTGACCCACTGACATTGACACACATTGAACTCATTTTATATACTGAAAAAAGATGTCTTTCTAAGGAATTGCAGAAGTGCAACTATCTGCAATAGTTCTATATGAATGTTTTTATTGGTGCACCACCATTCCTAAGTGGAATACCGAAATATGATTTGAACTTATTCACACATTTCTTCTAATCATTCCACCAGTGATTTCGGTCACTTTGATTAAGGGGGTTACAGGACTTTGACCATTTGTTGGAGATTGTAACACTGACACTTTGTGAACGCCTCTGAAACTGTTTGACAGAAAACTCATACTTAGTAGGAGTTTTTACGATCATATTAAGTTGATCATAATATTATACGGTCATTTTGATTTGACCATTTTTGCGGGAATTATGGACTCTGACCTTATTTTGACATTGGTAACACAATGACACGTCGTTGTGACAAACCATTTTATTCATCATTTACACAACGGCAAGGGATTGTAGTGTAGCAATCTTGTCTTGATTAAGTAATTTCTCTTGAGGAAAAGGCAAAGTGTGTTTTGTCTACAAATTTATTCAGAGGTCACTTCATTTGATAAGGATCATCACTGTGTCTAAACTACCCCGGCAAAAATGTTTTGACTCAATAGTATCTAATATCCGGTACGGTAACGGACCATCAACAGACAGAGAATAGGTAGGATTTCTGTTTATTTATGTGTTGTTTTAATGATATTGAAGAATATACATACACATATAACTATTTTCGATTGTGAGATGTTATATTTTCTACAACCGTTCTAGATTAATAGAGAAATGCGTAAAAGGCACACCAAAATGGTGAATTGAGTGAACCTTGCCTCGAATTTGGTTAATTTCTCTTTACATTGTGCACATTGTACTGAAAGGTACCGAAAGAAAGATATTAACACGGAGATTGCAAGACTAGTCACTATGAGCACCTCAATATTTGTATTTCTGTGCATGGAACGAAAGAAATTGGTGAAGACAAAATGGAAGGACCCGGTTTTGTCAATGTGTACGACCCGGTTTCGTCCTAAAATTTCACAAAGCAGACCTGGTTTTGTCATAGAAAATAATGCATAATCGCATGACGTATATTAAAATCTGGCATTCAACAGGAGTGTGGGGGTTCGTTGGAAAACAATTTCTTTCAGAGGATAACTTATAATCTATATGAATCCGTAAACACTTGAATTCTTGCATTATTGGAACAAAAGTAATTTTAATTTTGCTTTGTATAAAAACGAATACTTTAACGGGGAAATACAAAGAAATGAAGGTTTTGTAACGCATTTTTTTTTATATCAATAATGTAAATTTAAGTGTTAAAACTTGGATAGTGTACGGCCTTGAAAATTGAAGGACGCACATTTGATATGTGATTTTCTGGGACAACAGGATGGCTATCTTAATAAATATTCCACTCTACCTAGGGAGGGAGGGGCAGTATGATCGTTTGAAAATAAATATTCTGAACACTAAATGTTCAGTATAAAGCAAAAGAATAAGACAAATGTATATGCTTGCAGAATCGCCCTAGAAAATGAATTTCCATGCGGCGCAAAGGATCAAAATAATAATGCGTTAAAAATCTTTTTACCCCTCCTTGTAATTATAATACGAAGTATAAATTAGTATAATAGTCTCAGGCCATCCAGAAATTGCAATAGTGATTATTTTTTTTAATAATTTTATAAATAAACGGTTCTTTTTATCTCTGCATTGTGTAATGATTATTGTACATTGACAAATGTTCTACATTTTAGTGACGTTGGTCAAGTTTATAATTTTCAATATGCATGTTGGACCGAGGATTTTTTGAAATGAGACGTAATTCCATCAAACGGATTATATACCACCGAGCGTAGCGAGGGGATTTTTTTTTTGGACGATTTTATGCTAAAAAATCATATATAAATCGTGAAAAAAACATGATATAATAATTATTTCTAGCCACCAAAAGGGTGGGGTGCGTACTTCCTCTACCCCCTGGATCCTCCACTAAATTGATATAACTATATCGTACACCATTATGAAATTTA